AATTTAATAATTTAAAACTATTTAATGGTTTATGTTTTGTTTTATATTTTAATAAGAATTTTAGGAGTTTTGAAGAAGGTAAGGTATGAATTATATTGAAATAAACTAAATAAATGTGGAAAAGAGAAGCCAAGTGCACTTCTATTCTCCCATTCTTGGCATCCAGCTTTCCAAGTTAATTTCCTTTCTCTGTTTCCATCATTTCTCATGTTGCTCATGCTCTGCTGTCAAACTCTATCCTCATGCATTGTTACAGGGAAATGTGGTGAAAATCTCTGCTCACTGATGCTTTCCCCTCAAACAAGTTTTGCTGGGTAAATTGCCATCAATGTTACAACAGGCATTTCTGTAGAAGAGGAAATATGCATTACCTTTAGAAGTCTTTGAGAATGTTAATACACATAGAGTATGCCTTTGCAATTTACTTATTGCCATGCCATTTAGTTCCAAAGGGGAACTCAATGTGGCAACCATGTGTACAGCACTCATGTTTAACAGAAAGGAACTTCCCTTTTCAATCTATGACTATTAGCCGTAGTGGACAGGGAAAGTATCTTCAAGCTGTCTCTTACCACCTTCTCTGAAATGTCTAAAAGATGGATGTGAGAAGATGCTTATTCATGTTTGTGCATTGTTTAAAAATTTATTTATTTATTGGTCATTTCATTTCCATACCACCCAATACCCAAAATTCTTTGGGCAGTTCACAAGAAAGTTATTATGTTGATGACAGAAAGCTTGATGGCACTCTGGATAGTTCGTACTCTTATTTTTATTTTATTTAAAACTTTTGCAGACCGTCCCATTACTGAAGTCTCGAGACCGTTTAACAATACAAAATGTTTTTAAAAAATTAAATTTAAAACACAGCATCCAAGAATTTAGCTAATAATAAAACCCTGATTAAAACAGTTAGGGCTTAAAACATTGGGAAAATAAAAAGGTTTTGGCCTGGCACAGAAAATAATAAAGTGATGGTGCCAGGCGAACCTCTCTGGGGAGCGAATTCCACAATTGGGCTGCCTCTGGGTAGTCACCTCCTAATCTCCTTCAGGGAGGGCACCCTGAGAAGGGCATCTGCCCCCGATCTTAAGCGGCAGGCAGGCACATGCTCCTTCAGGTAACCAGACCCTAAGCCGTTTAGGGCTTTATAGGTCATCACCAACTCCTTAAATTTGGCCCGGGCTTCAACTGGAAGCCAGTGTACTATTATTGATTATTATGGGATTATAATGCTGGGAACATTATAATCCCATTATATGGGATTATAATGCTGGCAAAAGAAGAAGGGGATGGCAGAGAAAGAGGTGGCTAGATGGAGTCACTGAAGCAGTTGGTGTGAGCTTAAGTGGACTCCGGGGGATGGTGGAAGACAGGAAGGCCTGAAGGAATGTTGTCCATCGGGTCACGATGGGTCGGACATGACTTCGCAACTAACAACAACAAATATGTATTTATTGGGTGTTCTGTTTGTAAGCCATCCAGAGACATGCAACATAATTGGATTGGATAAAAAATACCCAAATAAAATAAAATAAAAAATAAGTGTAGATGGAAAAGGACCAGCATTATACATTCATATCTTGGCTGAGTCTCAATACCTATGCAATCAACAACACAATACAGATAATCATCCGATGTAATCAGACAATGCATTCGCCCTAATTCCACCCACAAATAAAATAATATAGCATTTGTTATGGATGTGTCACTTGTAGAAGATTAAGGCTTTAATTAGACAAAAATATTTGTTTCATTTGAAACACCTTGCCACTCAACTCAAATTGTTGGGGCCCGCCTTCCTGCTTTGTGCTTACAGAAACACAAACAACAGTGACAGCTTTTAGTGTAGAAGATCAGGTTAACACTGAATGACTTCTTAGACTTCACAGTATAAATATAATGATTCCAACTCTTCATAAATCAGATAGCAAAGGCATTTACGTTCAGTACACCGCTTAGTTCAAGAAGCAGTTCCAGGGTAGTATTAATGCAAAAGTCCCACAAGGCAGCTCAGACACGGATTACATGGTACAGGATTCAAGGCAGACAAGGGCCCAAAGTTCATGATAAATCCAAACAAGAAACATTCTAGGAAAAGGAAGACAACATTCCCAAGAAAGATTGGCCAACCTGTATGATATTCAAAGCAAACAAAAGCCCAAAATTGAAAGTAAGTCTAAGCAAGAAAACTTTATGGTCCATTAAGTTAACATTCTTAGAAAAGGCTTCTAGTCCATGTATTGTCTTAAATGGAGGGGAGGGAGCTGATAGAGTCCATCTGCTCATTTTTGTTCCAGAAAGAGGGATCTAGCCCATACTGAAGTATTATGGCAAAAACGAAGAATGAAGTCAGGCACCAAAGACGGAGTAGACTGTGTTCATGGGAAGTAACAGAAAGGATAAATATGGTAGAAGCAAATTTTGCATATGCTGTTTGTATATATTTTTGCAGAGATGGAAAATAAAGGGATATTCGAGAGCAGGAACGAGGATTATACAGAGGAGAAACAAACCCGGAGTGTATGGGGTTTCTACTGGCAAGATAAGATTAAGGAGAGAAAGGATGGAAAACACTATGTTTGAATAAAGGCAGCCAGGTACCAAGCTGATAAATCCAGGAAAAAAGAGAGCCCACATTGGGTAGGGACTTGTATTCCTAAATGTTAACAGAGAAAGAAAAGTTGAGAGATAGGCAGTGTACATTCCAGGACAGAGTTTGAAGATGATAACTGAAAATGAAGACATGACATTTGAAGGAAGTAGACACTGTGTCAACAGTGGGGATAGGAACTAAATTCGTAAGATGTGGTAGGTGGGGAAGTTGGTTATTCCTGGCGTCAGTGCTGGAATGAAAAGGAGTGGAGTGGGGATTAACAGGAGGAAGGCAATATTGCAGAACATGGAGACAGCCAGGGGAATGAAGCTGCAAGATGAGAGAATTCCTGTGATCTTCTACCCCTCCTCCTAAATCCCATTTTATAGACGGTCATTCTGTTTGTCATGGCAGTCATCTTATTTTTCCACCAGTTCCTTGTTTCTGCCCTCAAATCCCTTTAGCCTTCTAACCCCATCATTTCATTCTCTTTTCCTGGTAAGCCTTTCTCATTATTCTGCATGGTCTTCCTTGCAGCTTGTTATCCTTCCTTGGCTACTTAGTATAATGTGCAAATGGTGGTAGAATTAACTGTAATCATTTCTTCCAATCTAGGATGCTTTTAAGAGGAACACTCTCAAAGGCTTCCTGAAAATCAATTACATGCTGCTGAATTGCTTCTATGGAAAAATTTAATGACAGCTTCAAAGCATGTTGCAAAGTTGATGAAGGCTTTTCATACCTAGGATGGGTGTTCTGTGATTTACAAGGAATTGAATCCTATACTTAATAAATCCTTGTCTGTCAAGTCTCTTCCACCCAGCAAAGTAGGCTGATATTCTTCCTGATATATTCCTGGAATGCAATAGTTTTACACAAAGTCAACATGTCATATTGATATGCTCTGAATGCTTTGAAATGGAAGCTTGGCTTGATAGTGATACTCATGGAAATAAGGAGTTGGAAAAGAAGTACTTGGGTTGAGTCTATGCTAAATTTTAAAAACTGGTAACATTGTTAACAGAGCCCAATTCCTAATACAGGAATGTAAAGTTGAAATTCTCCATATTGTTATTAGCATTTGTATTGTCAAAATAAACCTTAACATGACTAGCTGGCTAGCTGAAGAGATAGGCAAATGTCTAATAGATGAAGAGTTATGCAGGATTTGCAATACCCCCACAGCATGATATTAGAGCAGCATAAGAGACCAACTTTCCCAGTGATCCATGCCAAATGTCAAATGCTATAATTCAAATTGTTATCCCTAAGCATTGATGGGAAAGTATTTTTGCTGAATGTATGCTACAGAAACTGGACCATTTCTCAGGTGTATCTTTATGTTTCTGCTTTACATCCCATGAAACACATTTAATTTGGTATGCTAAGCTATACTGAAAGGAAGATGTAAAAAGAATAGACAAATTTCTTTGGGAAAGGGGTTTCCATCTATGAATCTACCATGCATCTTGGGATTTGACAAAAGCAGACGACTGTACTGAAGTCAGTGAGCAAGTACTAAAGTCAAGACCTATTTAGATACCAAAATTTCAAATTATGGCATCTGTGCTTTTACCATTCACCTGTTCACCTATTTATTCATATAGCATTTTTTTCTTTTAAAGAAATGCCCATTTACTTTTGGATAAGCTTTGATGCAAAGAAATACATAAGGAATTTCTCGTTGCCTGTTTCTCCAGATGACACATTTTCACTGAAGAATATATCCTAGCAGGATGTCAGAAACACCAGCTACTCTACTTAGTTTATACTCATTTGCACTTGCTGCTTTTCACCTAGATCTTATGTCATGAACTGTAGAGTTATACACAGGAGCTCTTGAATCTGCAACCAGAAAACTCAAATTAAGTCAAGAGAATAAACTGGGTAATCTACCCGGCCATATATATCTGGGTCCCCAAACTGGTTTCTGTAAGATGGTGATGCTCTGGAAGTTTCACATGGCAGTCATGGGGGCAAAAAAACCTTGATTAGCTTTAATGAGAAATGGAACATGACAGGCCTCTAAGTGGCACTGTAGGCTGAGATCTTAAGTGGGTGCATCAACACATTTTTCCCAAAGGGATGAACTACTGAATAGTGTGCACAATATCACACTATTTAGGGTGCAGGGTCAGGAAAGTACCTGTTGATGCAGTGAAGGCTATGGTTCATTTTTCCAATTATCTAGATTATTTCCTCTGTCACACTGAATTCTACCATTGATGCCTTTTTCCCTGTCATGCTGAAGACATTTTGTATTCATGTGATTATGACTGGGGATCAGTATTATTTAAATAGATCAAATCATATTCTTTAATGGTCTATCCCAATGACACTGGATTCAAGCAATCTAAACAAAAGAAAATGAAGTCGCATGACCCAACCTTGAAACACACAAGGCTACAGAAGCAGACCACTTGACGTTTATTAAACAAAACATTCAAAAATACATATTGCCTATCTCCTCCTCTTTGATCATTATACAATTCCAAAAGAAGTAAGCTCTCCAAGGCATTCAGATTTATTATAAACATGAGGAAAACTAGCCAAAATCTCCTCCTCCTCCAGGCCTGGCTAGTTTGCCACTCTATATGAAGAGTATGGATGAAGAGTACAGTCCTGTATTCTGGTGATCAATGCAGCCATGTAAATAAATGACTTCTGTGACATCTCAAGGGGAAAAACTTCAGTCAGAAATCTCACTGTAGAGAGTGAGGTGAAGAAACGATGTCTTGAAAATGAATTCCAGGAACAGCAAGAGGCCAGAATGCTTCTGACTCACCTTTGATAGGGATGCATTGAAGCAGATTTGATATTGGTTTTTATTCCACTGGGCATCTTACCTGGAGATGGTAAAGGAAATGGGTTTAGCATTGCGATAAGAAGAAAGGCCTGTCTCTCAAAAGACTGACAGATCTGGGGGAGATTTCCTCTAGTTCTTCCCCAGGAATCACGTCTTCCTCACATACACTTTCTGGAGAAAGTAGAATTATTCTCTCTCTCCTACAATCTCCTTCCCATCTTCATTTTGTGCAAGTAAATCAGACTTGTTTTGATCAATAAGAACATAAAAATCCTATGTATTCCAACAAGCACATGTGAATACCACAGCCTTCTTCTACTGTTGACCCCAGCTATTATTCAGTACAGTAGCCACTGACAGCACTAGCCTTATATAATATATATGTAATTGGCTGTGTAACAGCATGTTCCATCTCAAAGCTCACAGCTTCCTAAGAAATGATAGCATGAATCTCTAGGCTATCATATGTCCTCCTACATATGACATGAAGGGAAGCGGAGCTACTACATATATTGCTGAAGACCTCCGTTATGGCTGTCTTTCTAAAGCATGTATGCTCTTATCAGAATAGGCATTAATTTCACTTGGACACCAGTTCGTCTTGTCCCAACAATATTTCTTTCATTTAACGTTCCCTCCTGCACTCCAGAGTCTTTCCAGTACATCTGAAGGACTTTATTTACCTGGTTGACCTGCTTGTGATATCTGCACTCCTCCAAGCATTTGCTGCTGTTGGCTTTGTGCTCCAGACATTTGTACCTGTTGCATGGCAGAAGCACCTGCTATGATGGTATTGCCACCTGGCTGACCAGCCTGAACAGGTCCTGCCACACTTGGTGGACGCCTATTGGATAGTCCCTTCCCGAAGCCTACAGCTGCAACCAGCGCATTGGTATCAGCAGGGTTGAATGTCTGCTTGTTCTGCCGTAAACCTGCAGGATGGAGGAAGGTTCGACCAGCAAATTAACTGAGTGTTCAGTCTTTTTTTCCACAACAAAGCTATTATTATAATAGTTTATCTTAATGCCTGTTATATTTGCTTTCTATTTCTAGACTATTCCCGCAGGGCTATACACACTTTCCAATGCCTCCTCCCGGTACTCCAATGCCATACCTCCACTTTCAGACTCTCGTTCCTCTTTGTTGATTTTCTCCAGCAAGTTTGAACACATTTTGTTTAGGCTCTGAATCTGCTTCTGCAACCATAAGATATGTATAGTAAAATATGTCAGTTAAACAATATACTACCTTTTATTTTCATTATCTCATTCTAGAAAACTACAGCAATTTCCTCCTATCAACAAATTTTCAGAAATGGGGAAACAACAATCTTTTACACCTTTGCACTCATGAGCTAGACATGAGGCAGCAGCCTCAAGGAGATCACCAGGCAGGAGGCAGAGGTGCCTGATCTCTTGTCTGATCTTGAGGTCATGCTGCAGCCACTGAGTGAATCAGGCACCCTCATCTTCTCCCACCTGTCCAAGAGCAGACCTCTCTATCAGCCAGTACTAGTGCCTGCTCCACCATGCTGAGTGGGCCCAGGTCTCTTTGTCAAGAAGAAGTGGATCCTGACCAGTCAGCCAGTGGCTTGTGAGGTCTCCTCTCATGTTGCCAGCAAGAATAACCTCTCAGTGCCACTAGGGCAGGGGAAAATTTCTCTGCAGAGATCACAGGCCCACAAAGCATTCTCAAGCCAATTCTGAGACCTCATATCGGTTTTCTTCCGTGTTTAATGGTTAATTAAATATATTGTGTATATAAAATGAAGTTAACATATTGCAAACACTTTAATTTACTATATAGAAATGTAATTCATTGTGCAGCCCCGGGTTCTTTGTTGAAGTCTTCATGCAACCCTCAAGGTACAAAAAGTTGGAATGCCACGCCTTACACTGTCCAATTTAATTGAGCTCATTTGCTTCCTAAAATATTTTCCCAGGAGTCACATGTTCTCCCGAAATATGCATGATATAGTGATAAAACAATATATAACCCTCTCCCTCCCTCCCCTCTCACACATACACAATCACAGACTCAAGTAAAGCATAATGTTCAAACTTCAAAGATATGCAGCATTATAGTTTGGTCTATCTATGTCATTAACTCCATTTTTGAAAACCTTCTTTGCTTTACAAATGAAATTGACAGCAAACTTTTAATGCATGCCTTTATTAGTATCTGATTAGGCTACCTGGAACAAGGTAAAATGGTTTTATATGCTACAAAGGATTAGGCTTAATGCAAAGGATTAAAAGCTAGAGAAACAAAACTGCATTACACAAAGTGCCTACACAAAAATTTAGTTACAAAAGTTAACAATCAAAATGAAGGAATGTAGAACAGCGTAAACAGCAGACACTCTTACCTGTGCCACATCAGTACCAAGGCGAGCTGCATCTGTGCTCAGCTGCTTCTCTTGCTCCTCTACCTCAGGATCAGGCTTGGTTCGCAGATGATCGGGTACAACCTCATGGCTAAAAACTGGCACTCTTCCTTCTGTTTGCCGCTAGAGCATTTGGACTATCAGTGATCAAGGTCATACTTTACAGCACAGCCACAGAATGCAAAGCTGAATCTACAGGCCCCTTGCAAAGGCTTGATACACAGCCCTGGCTGCCAACTTATGGGGCTATGTATGAAACAGCACATACAGACCGATACAGAATGGAGCGTGAGGAGATAAGAGGTGCAATCACCTATATTCTTTTTTGGTACAGCAGGGATTGGAGAACTGCCCTAGTCCCCCTGTACTATCCCATCCCTCTCTTTCCTTGGTGTCTGGCTTGGCCTACATGCGGCGTAGTGATGTGGTAGAAATTGTACTACTTCAGGCTGCAGAAGATACCATTTCTGAATGCTCTTCCACAAAACCAAAGAAAAATGAGAGGAAAAAAATAGATAATCAATGAGAAATGTTTTTATTTTATTTATTTATTAAAACATTTTTATGCCGCCCCATTCGCCGAAGCCTCGGGGCGGCTTACAACATAGATAAAACAATAAGTTAAAATATCCATATAAAATAATCTTAATTAAAACACACATTATAAAATAAGCCGCCCCGGCCAGATAAAATTCAATTGTATTTAGCATTTAAAATGTTGCTTAAATAAAAAGGTCTTAGCCTGGCGCCGAAAAACAAATAACGACGGCGCCAGGCGGACCTCTCTGGGGATGTTCCAATCTCTTTACTGTTCCAATCTCTTTACTGTTTTCTTCTCACAGAGTCTGCAGGTGGGAGGCTCAATTAAAAATTGATTTCTCCACCTGCAGTTCTGAGTCCTTTAGTATGCTCACAGTTATTCATATCTGCTCTTCTATTAAAGGTATAACATGCTATATAACCATTCCACCACCTCAGGGGTCTTTCACCTCATTTACTCCTCTTTCTATATACCAGTGCTCTGATGACAGAAAATGGAGGCAGGGGAGAACTCTCCTGATTTCACACCAGTTCCACATTTCCCCCTTTGCAGAGAGTGAGTATGCTCTACACCATTTGCATCTGATTCCTCTCCCAATCATACCTATGAATATATCTTAAAATGTTTTATGGAAAATACAGGTATGATTCTATTGTGTATATTAATTCACTGCTCTCATTTCACCATGCTCAACCTGTCACTCAGTTTCTCATTTACCCCTTGACGCCAAGGAATTAGTCACATAGCTGAGAAAAGATGTAGGCCAGATCCTTACCATAATCTCTTCATCACGGTCTGGGGATAGCACCAATGGAATTATAACCTGGTTGCGTAGCAATGGGGTCTTCTCATGCTTCAGTACTTTATTTAGGGTGTTTAGCTGTCCTGAGAGCAGAGCAAAGCTGTCTAATACTGAAGGCCTATGGAAGAAATGGGGAAATGAACATAAGCAACCCATGCTCCATTAGATCAGGGATCCATATAGTTGAGCAGTTTGTTCATACAGCAGCTAACCAGCTGTCCATGGGAAACTCACAGGCAGGGCATGAGTGTCTGTACACTGTCTCTGATACTGGAAGCAGCATACAACCATCAGGACCAACAGCCTTCTTTTTCCATGGATTTGTTCAATCCCATGTTAAAGCCATCCAGACTGGTGGCCATCACTATATCTCATGGCAGTGAATTCCATAGTTTAACTATGCATTGCATGAAAAAGTGCTTCACTCTGTCCTGAATCTTCTGGCAATCAGCTTCATGAGATGACCCCTGGTTCCAGTATTATGGGAAGAGAAAAATATCTATTCCTATCAAAAACATCTCCCTTTATGTCAATTTATGTCAAAATGTGCCTAAATAACGTAATGGTTTTCCCTACCCTCTATAACTAAGATTGGCCACATAAGCTTTCTCTCACCCTCTTACCAGGTGAGGCGGTCATATTCATTCTCCAGCTTGTAAATGAAACTGACCAAGGAATTCTTCAGGTCAGCCACTTGACTGATGAGTGCCTCTAGAGATAGCTCAAGCTGCTTCTCCTCTCTCTGGAAAAGACAGAAAGTAAGCTTAAATACACCACATCTCCAAAGAAAGAGGCAGACAGTCTCTCAGTAACTCACTTCCATATTTTCTTATAGTATAACCAGGCTGTTTATTCTCTTTATGTCTGTCCAATCACTTAAACTCCCTAACTTTTTCTTTAGAATGTTTCAGACATAGTATGACAAGTCAGTAAGTTAAAACTGTGTAGCATGAGCATAGGTGAGATTTTGAAACAAGCATCTAAGCTTTTATAGGAAGTATTTTTGATCTGTTGCACTTTAAACTTTTGCAAAAATTCTCATATATCTATACATGCAAGCATGCAGGCAGGGAAGCTAGCTCTTTCTATTTTTTGTTTTTTAGAACTGAAATGCCTAACACAAGTAGATACGGGTAAGTAATATTTTTGTACTTCTTTAGAAGGCTGAGGTGTGCAATTGTACTCAGTCCAGCCCATATTAAAAATAGCATTGGATTTGTAAAATTACAGAAAAACTCAACTCCCAGTTGCAATCTTTTACCCACTTATCTAAGACAAGGAGGAATGGGGGTGCAATATATGTCACTAAAACATACACACACCAAGACAATTATGTGCATTCTTCAGAGCATGGTTTTATTCCATGCTACACTTATATAGAATATACACAAATGGGATTTACAATAAAACGTTGCTGGATATCCATCCCATCATGCTAACAAAAGTACTCCTGTTTAAGGTTCCTAGTAGCCAATCATATCTTTCTCCATTATAAAAATGCAAAAACAGGAGCTTATTGTACCAGGAGTCATTTCAGTTCACTGCTGCTTTCTGCCAGTAATATTTATATCTTAAACCGTCCACCAATTTTCACTCCTGCTTTCCCTGATTGTAATTTAGTTTTCCCCAGTGCTTTTTTTGGTTTAAAAAAAAAAAAAAGGTGCGGAACTCACGATCACCGGCAGTAAGTGCACGACCACACACACCAATCCCAAGCAGAGCAGCAGCGCCCTCACTATCTCACTATCAGATAGCAGACAGAAAAGCAGCCTGCAGGCACTATGTTAATGATGTTTGCTGCTGATCTGCTATGCTTCAAAATCACTTCGTAAAATCCATTGGAAAAAAAGGTGCCGGAACGCAAGCCCTGGTTTTCCCTATATGTTCTGCATACAGATCGAATAGGGGGAAAAAAAAAAAAACCCCATTGCCTGATGCCTTCATCTATACGAAGCCATTCTGTTTCTCCATATTCTGTCCTAGCAGTAGTTTCTCGTCTATGATACAGGTTATGCATCAGGTGTGCTGAGGTACACTTATTTCTTTCACTTCCATCCATTGCTTCTTATGCTTCACACAGACAAAGGCTTTCTGAAATTTTTTGGTATGCTCCAGTAACCAACACATATTTGTGATAAGATCCTGTGTATCTGCTCCTTTTCAGAATCTAGAACATCAGGTTTTTCTTGCTCCATAAAGAGTATAATTTATTACAACACCATGAGTATTACTTTGCTTAGTGCAATGGTCCTATTATTGCTGCACTACTTAGCAACTCCTTTATTGGGACATGGAATATACATTTCCAGTCTGTGGGCCACTGAGTTGTTTTCCATATTTGTTGGCATATTCCTTTAAGGATTTGGAATGATTCTGTTTCTGCAGCTTGGAATACTTCTAGTGGTACCCTATCTCATCCGCGTGTTTTGCTCCTTTCAAGTGCTCTCAGAGCAGGTTTTACTTCACTTTCCAACATTGCAGGTTCTTCCTCATAGTATTCTTAAGATGTGCATCCAAGAGTTGGGAATGCTACTTTGAAAACATTATACTTTGCAAAAAGTAATTGTTAGCCTAGAGCAGTTAACAGTGTGTGTGTGTGTGTGTGGGGGGGGTGCATATTATTGTAGCTGTCAGCCTATCATTAACAGATACTTTGGGGCATAATCCTATAGCCTGCTAGCAGTGTTCTCTCTCCCTCTCTCTGTGTGTATGTGCATGTATGTAGGGAGGCGTTATAGGAATACCTAGAGTCCCAGCACTGAGGCCCTTCAACTATGCAGACAAATGCAGAATACCTGCCTCACCTTGTTTGCAACTCACATGGAAAGTACTGATCCAGTTGCATCTCTGAGGCTGGAAACCAACCTTGGAGAGTGCTAAAAGAGCATGCAGCATGGGCAGGAAGGAGAGGAGATTGGAACTGATGGCTTTCTTTCCTCCCACTCTGTGTTGCTTCGTCTTGATGGCCAAATATAGCTGTCTACATGAAATGGCAACCCATTCCAGTATCTTTGCCATGAAAACCCCATGGACAGTACCAAAAGACAAAAAGATATGACGCCGGAAGACGAGCCCCTCAGGTCGGAAGGTGTCTCATATGCTACTGGGGAAGAGCGGAGGGCTAGTACTAGTAGTGCCAGAAAGAATGAAGCGACAGGGTCAAAGCCGAAAGGACACTCAGTTGCAGATGTATCTGGTGGTGAAAGGAAAGTCAATGCTGCAAAGATCTGTACTCCATAGGAACCTGGAATGTAAGATCCATGAATCAAGGCAAGCTGGATGTGGTCAAACAAGAGATGACAAGACTGAACATCGACATCTTAGGAATCAGTGAACTAAAATGGACAGGAATGGGTGAATTTAATTCAGACGACCATCAGGTATACTACTGCGGGCAAGAATCCCTCAGAAGAAATGGAGTAGCCCTCATAGTTAATAAAAGAGTAGGAAAAGCAGTACTGGGATACAGTCTCCAAAATGACAGAATGATCACAGTTCGAATCCAAGGCAAACCATTCAACATCACAGCAGTCCAAGTCTGTGCCCCAACCACTGGTGCTGAAGAGGCTGAAGTTGACCGGTTCTATGAAGGCCTACAACACCTTCTAGAATTAACACCCAAAAATGATGTCCTTATCATCATGGGGGAATGGAATGCTAACGTAGGAAGCCAAAAGATAACTGGAATAACAGGCAACTTTGGCCTTGGAGTACAAAATGAAGCAGGGCACAGGCTGGTAGAATTTTGTCAAGAGAATACGATGGTCATAGCAAACACTCTTTTCCAACAACCCAAGAGACAACTCTACACATGGACATCGCCAGATAGTCAACACAGAAATCAGATTGACTATGTGCTCTGCAGCCAAAGATGGAGAAGCTCTATACAGTCAGTAAAAACTAGACCAGGAGCTGACTGTGGCTCAGATCATGAGCTTCTCGTTGCAAAATTTAGGCTTAAACTGAAGAAAGTAGGGGAAAAGCACTAGGCCACTCAGGTGTCACCTAAATCATATCCCTGATGAATATGCAGTAGAGGTGACAAATAGATTTCAGGAATTAGATCTGATAGACAGAGTGCCTGAAGAACTATGGAGGGAGGTTCACAACATTGTACAAGAGGTAGCAACTAAAACCATCCCAAAGAAAAATAAATGCAAGAAAGAAAAATGGCTGTCTGAGGAAGCTTTACAAATAGCTGAGGAAAGAAGGGAAGTGAAAGGCAAGGGAGAAAGAGAAAAATACACCCAATTGAATGCAGAATTCCAGAGAATAGCTAGAAGAGATAAGAATGCCTTCTTAAATGAACAGTGCAAAGAAATAGAAGAAAACAATAGAGTAGGGAGGACCAGAGATCTCTTCAGGAAAATTGGAGATATGAAGGGAACATTCCATGCAAAGATGGGCATGATAAAGGACCAAAATGGCAGGGACCTAACAGAGGCAGAAGAGATTAAGAAGAGATGGCAAGATTACACAGAGGAACTATACAAGAAAGAGCTTAGCATCCCTGATTACCATGATGGGGTGGTCACTGACCTCGAGCCAGACATCCTGGAATGTGAAATCAAATGGGCCTTAGGAAGTCTGAGCAACAACAAAGCTAGTGGAGGTGAGAGTGTTCCAGCTGAGCTATTCAAAATCTTAAAAGACAATGCAGTACAAGTGCTACACTCAATATGCCAGCAAATTTGGAAAACTCAACAGTGGCCACAGGATTGGAAAAGGTCAGTTTACATTCCCATCCCAAAGAAGGGCAATGTCAAAGAATGTTCAAACTACTGCACCGTTGCACTCATTTCACATGCTAGCAAAGTTGTGCTCAAAATCCTACAAGCAGTATGTGGACCGAGAACTACCAGAAGTACAGGCAGGGTTTCGAAGAAGGAGAGGAACTAGAGCTCAAACTGCCAACATACGCTGGATCATGGAGAAAGCTAGGGAGTTCCAGAAAAACACCTACTTCTGCTTCATTGACTATGCTAAAGCTTTTGATTATGTGGATCACAACGAACTGTGGCAAGTTCTTAAAGAGATGGGAGTACCTGACCATCTTATTTGTCTCTTGAGAAAACAATATGTGGGTCAAGAAGCAACAGTGAGAACTGGGCACGGAACCACTGATTGGTTCAAAATTGAGAAAGGAGTTTGGCAAGGCTGTATACTGATGCCCTGCCAATTTAACTTATATGCAGAGCACATCATGAGAAAGTCAGGGCGGGGTGAACTACCAGTTGGAATTAAGATTACTGGGAGAAATATCAACAACCTCAGATATGCAGATGATACCACTCTCATGGCAGAAAGTGAAGAGGTACTAAAGAGCCTCTTGATGTGGGTGAAGGAGGAGAGTGCAAAAGTTGGCTTGAAACTCAACATTAAGAAAACGAAGATCATTGCATCCGGTCCTCTCACTTCCTGGCAAATAGATGGGGAAGAAATAGAGGTAGTGACAAATTTTATTTTCCTGGGCTCCAAGATCACCGCAGATGGGGACTGCAGCCAAGAAATTAAAAGACGCTTGCTCCTGGGGAGGAAAGCTATGGCAAATCTAGATGGCATAATAAAAAGCAGAGACATCACCCTGCCAACAAAAGTGCGTATAGTCAAGGCTATGGTTTTCCCAGTTGCAATGTATGGCTGTGAAAGTTGGACCATATGGAAGGCTGAGCGCCAAAGAATTGAGGCCTTTGAATTGTGGTGCTGGTGGAGACTCCTGCGAGTCCCTTGGACACCAAGGTGATCAAACCAGTCAGTCCTAGAGGAGATCAACCCTGACTGCTCTTTAGAAGGCCAGATCCTGAAGAGGAAACTCAAATACTTTGGCCACCTAATGAGAAGGAAGGACTCCCTGGTGAATAGTCTAATGCTGGGAACAATAGATGGCAAAAGAAGAAGGGGACGGCAGAGAATGAGGTGGCTAGATGGAGTCACTGAAGCAGTTGGTGTGAGCCTAGATGGACTCTGGGGGATGGTGGAGGATAGGAAGGCCTGGAGGAATGTTGTCCATGGGGTTGCGATGGGTCGGACACGACTTCACGACTAACAACAACAACATGAAATACGAGCAAGAGAAGCAGGGTGGTTGAAATTCCTGTCACCACACTTCACGTCCTGAGCCTCTGTATTTGGAGACTTATGTGCGGCAAGGGCAGATGACATAGGATCATAACCTAAGTTGCAATAGTCAGTGTCAGTTAGTGTGTATTTTCTTAAAATGAAATCATGTAAGGAAACATGGTACTGCTTTTCAAGTTTTACAAGTGTTCCAATAACACATCTATAAATATCATTTAAATCACATTAAACATGTTGCAAGTTTTTCCTCAGACATTTCAGGTCAAATACTTGTGGTATAGTAGACATATATTATATGGTATATAAAATGCCATACAGTTTTAACACCATGTATTAAATACAAATATTAAATAATGCTGTGTTAATTTTAATACAGTACATTTTAAGTCTCTGTTACTTACTAAATACAAATAAACATACTAGTGTTCTCTACGACTTCAGAACATTTTCTGATTCAAACCAAATATTTACCTGTGCAAATAATCAGCAATGAAACTGTTTCAATGAAATTAATCTAACTTGCATTGGAAAGTTCCCAATCCAAAATTGTCAAGAAAAACCACATCATTGCTTATGAAGTGTCTTATTCCTGAACCAGCCTGCATGTTTAGGCACCTGCATACTCTTTGACTGGGTTAAAGCTAAGCTTCTATATGAAAATCAGAAAAGGGGGATCTCAGCATCTTTGCCTGAGGACCCCAAAACTCCATTTGATCTATCTCATGGTCCCTGGAAGATATAATTGAAATACCATCTTTCTCTTTCTGTAATTTCTCTTTGTTTGCTTTTTTCCTTGCTTTTGGCTCTAGTTTAGTAGTTTTCAAGGCAAAAAAGCCTTACAAACATCTCCAACTTTTAACTTCAACTAAGCATACACAACTTATAAGGATAAATCAAGCCCACCCTCTTTTTCATTTGGTTACCTCGGAATACACAGTTTTACAGATTGGCCTGGTCACTGAGCCATCCTCACAAACAATTAAGGAACAGGCAGATGTTTTACACCGCCAGAATAATAACCAAACGAGCACTTTACAAGTGAGGGCCGCTTTAGTTTTCGCTGAGCACGCACCTATACATATTTACTCTGACGCTGAGTCCCTCTAGGTTCAGTGAAACTTACTCACAGGTAAACGTGGGTAAGACTGCAGCCGAAAGCTTTCTGAAACTGTCGCACTATCGCCAGGAAGCTCTACCTAACGATTTGCTTCTCGACAAAGAGGCAATGGAAGCCTCAGCCTCCCCACCTCCGTCCCACTGAAGGTATAGGATATTAAACAAAATACACCAGACGCAAACGCCACACTCGGTTACTTCACCTGCATAGCGGCGACACCACAGACAGCCTTAAAAACGCTCCCCTGCACGGCGGCTTGTCATAGGCGCAGCTTCCCCTTCCGGGTCGGAGCGTCAGGTGGTTGAACTTTCCCGAGTGGGAAGGCGCCCGCTATGGCGGCCTCTGAGAGACCCGATTCGGAGGTACTGTGCGCAGGCGCACTCTGTTTTGCCCCGCGAACTGCATTTGGGGGTGCTTGCTTGGTGGGTGCTGGGTGCTTAGCGTCGTGCGATGCCTCTTTGTCCCGTGCATCTTTGCACGTGCTCGGCTGGACATTTTTAAGCTTCGTAGACAGGGGTGTGGACTGTGAAAGGGATGGGAAGTGGGGGCAGAAGGCGTTGGTGGGTGGCAGTGAGCACAAATGCAGGTCCCTGCTTGGGGTACTTTCTAAGCGTGGGTTAGGTTTCGTATGTATAAAGCGAGGGTATCTTTGCTAGTGCCCACCAGATGCGTTGGACTGCAAACACCGCGATCCTTTGACGAGCATAAAACTAGCGGATCGCATCTGGAGGGCGCCAGGTTGGGGGACGCTATCTAAGATACTGGCTAAATTATACAGCTGTGGTTTACAGCCTTTACAGTGGAAAGGAACCGGAAGCATGAGGCACTTAAAAAAATCATTTTTAACCTAATTTCTTGCATCAAATCAAGCTTGCCCATTCTCTGCTCAGCAGTTTCGACATCCTAAATAACTGCATACAGAACATCAGCTCAAAACTATTGCAGCAGATAAACACTGTTATTTGGGCAGGGGAAGGGTTCAGAACCTCCTCCTCCCCACCAATGCCAAACTGCTATATTTTGGACTTCAATTCCCATCAGCCCCAGCTAACATGGTCACTGTTCTGGAAGTCTGGAAGTTGCAACTGAAAACATTTGGGGAGGACAAGTTGAGGGGGAGGCTGGTTTAGATGGAGTTAACCTATTTTCCTAGGATAGTCCTGGTTGTTGAGAGATGAATGTAAGCAATAGATACCTTGTGCTGATCAATTGCACAAGATAACCCATAACAAGATATTGTTATGGGTTATCACTGTATCACCCATCCACCCATGGCCCTGATGCACACTTTGGAAACATACATGTGGCAGAATGCTCAGTCCAGGTTAGCTTACTACATCTCTCATTCACTGGGAAGTTCTATGCATGTTAATTCAGAATTAAGTGTCACTGAGCTTACTCCCAAGTATGTGTGTTTAGGATGGCTACCTTAATTGGCTGTTAAAAGAAGTGAAAGAATAGATTAATTAACAAGGCTAACTATCCATGTAGCCCAATAACCTGGATCACAGTGACCAGGTTCTCTAGGGGAGAACAGTATAAGAAACATTGGGTGCTATTACGCCCTGAACCAAACAAACGTGTTATTAAATGAGACATATTATAACTGATACAGCATTCTATTTTCATTCATCTATCTTCTGTTTGTAAGATATGGAACTTTCCAGTCTGAGAAATAAGCTGCACGTCATGTGCATACTGATATGAGTAACTACAGTTGAACTCATTAGAACCTGTTAAAGAAATTCTTGTTAAAAAATTATTTGCTGCCCCATTGTAAGCACAACATATTTTTAGTACTTGACAATAATTTCAGTGATTTGATTTACTTTCACCCAACTGTTTGGAAACGGAAGGCAATTGATGGCAGCTACCAAATCTTGAAAATATGTATGGGCTTGCTATTCAGTACATTAATCAATACACTACAACCTTTAACAAAATTTCAATAAAACAAAGTCAAATTAACATTCTTTGCATCTTTTTCTAGTCATTTTAGCAATCTGCCAGTGGGATTGCTAATTAAACTTGCAGGGACTCAGACTATATGTATATTTAGACAGAAGGAAGAATAAGCTCCCAGCATTCCCCAGTCAGCCATGTTTGCTGGAGAATACTAGGAGTGGTAGAACATTTTTCTGTCCAAAGAGATAAAAGATTGCACTCTAAATCACAAAACAATCAAATATGCCATTTTACTGGTTCTGTATTTCTTGCTTTTCAGTCCATGTAACATTATAATGCAATCATGAAGTATGTTGTATTCGTCATTCTGTTTTGGTAGTATAACATCAAAGAACAATTTGAGTGCTGACAAAGTTTCTGAACCATAGAAGAACATTGGTGTCCTTGTCTTTTTACCAGTCATACAGAATGGTAGTTCTCTTTCATTGTTACTTGCAGATGGAGGAGGCTGGGCAGGTCTTCCTCTTGATGAAGGAAGACTATCGGATTTCACGCAATGTGCGCCTAGCTTGGTTTCTGGGTCATTTAAATCAGGTTATCTGTGCAGTGCCTGAACCAGAACTGGTGAGTTGTATACAAGATCTGTTTTGAATAACACACTACAGTGGGGGAATCAGGAAAGCTTTGGGCTGGTGCAACTTCAAGAGGAATGACACATCCGTAGACGAGCATTCTGTGATTTTTCTCCCTTACCCCTTCCTGGCTTCCAGCCTAGCATTTCTTTGCATCAGGGTGGACACCCATTTTGTCTCTTGAAGACTGGAGTCCTTCAAGGATAATCTGTTGGGGGCCACATATCAGTAGTGGGTGTGGTTGAGGTTAGAGATACATATGACCACAGCCACAAATGGATCAATTACTCCCTTGCACCCTCCTGTCATGCCTTTCTCTCTCTCTTCCTACCTAACAGATTGCTCATGTCACATGTAGGGAGATTTGAAAGTAGGCATGTGTGAAGTTCGGCCAAGAGCAATTGGTCCTATGACAGGCTGCTCACCCTTGATTTAGTGTTACTTTTGTCTTTAAAGGTTAAATCAGACAATGAGTTGGATGTTCTCAGCATATTGCCGAATGGCTGGCAACCTGATGAGCCTGTACAACGCAGGCCATACCTCCTAGTGCCTTCCACACAAGTCACTTTCCTTGCACGCCAGTACCGTTTTGTGATTGAGCTGGACTTGAGTCCTTCTACAGGAATTGTGGTAAGTTGGTTAGCTTATTTCCATTTCCCCTTCCCTGTACTCTCTGGATGCTTGTCCTCCCCTCAAGGAGGCCTTTTCACTTGGAGGAAGTGCATTTTTTATGCCATTCATACAGAGGTTCTGTCTGATGGGTACCTTGGCTAGTTGATTCCTGGTAGTGAGTAGTAATTGTTCACATTGTAAAAGTCTTGAAAATATAGCCTATATAACATGTTTCTTTTAAGCTGGAGACTCCTGTCTCTGGGGCAACTTGGGCAGACATTTGTTACTTTCTCAATTTTTTTTTCCTGCAGGATGACTCTACAGGCGAGATAATTTTTGATGAAGTCTTCTACGCCCTTTCCCGGTGTTTGGGGGGATTGTTGAAACCCTTCCAAATCCCAGGCTCAGATATCATCTACCAACCCAAGATCTTTATCACTATCCAAGCATATTCTTCCATCATTGGCTTGCAGACACACCAGGTAGTTCTTATGTCTTCTTTTCCTCCAGCCTGGTAATATGAGAGGCTGCTATCTATTCTGCTATCAGAAGCCTCAAATAGGGAGTAAGAGAGAAGCTGTAAAATTTCCTGTTGCTGAGCAATGCAACACAGAAGTTGTCTGTACCAGCCTAAATAACTTCCTGACCAGAGCATGCCATGTGGGTACATCTTCCACTTCGACTTTCTATATGTTATAGTCCTGTGGTGCACAAACTGTTCAGCCTGGAGCATCATAATTGAGTATAGTGGTACCTTGGCTCATGAACTTAATCTGTTCCAGGATTCTGGTCGTGACCCAAATTGGTCATGAGCCAAGTTAAATTTCCCCATAAGGTTCAATGTAAATAAGGTTAATCCGTTCTGTAACCATTTTTTAAATCAGAAAAATGTGAAGCAAAGTGACAACAACAAAGATCGCGGCCATCTCCCCCCTCCACCCCAATACGACCGAGATCACGCCTGTCATCCCTGCATGCGCCGGTCATCCCGGCGCGCTGGAGGGTGGTGGAGAGAGACAGGCATGATTGCGGGCACACTGGGGGAGGGAGAGATGGGTGCAAATGGTACACTGGGGGTTGAGAGATGGCCACGATTGCAGTTCTGTTCGTGCAGGGAAGGCGTGCCTGATCAGAGGCGCGCTCCTGCAGGAAAGACAGGTGGAATCTTGGCCATCTCCCCCACAGCTCTGCCTTGCTGCTCCCGTCTTTCCTACAGCAGCGCGCTTCTGATCACGCACGCCTTCCCTGCACGAATGGAATTCCCTGCGCGATCGTGGCCAGCTCCCCACTCGGGGGGGGGGGGCAGTGAGATGGCTGTGATCTTGGTTGCCACTCAAAGCGGTGTACACGACCCAAGTCAAAATTTTTCAGAAATTTTTGTTCGTGACCCGATTGCTCGTGAACCAAGACATTCGTGAGCCGAGGTACCACTGTATATGCTGGGGTCTGTAGCCTGTCCACATACCAACCCCTCCCCCACTGTTCCAAATCTTTGAACCCTGGATTTCTAGTCCTGGTAAGCTCTCTGTGTCCACTATTCTCCAGGTTTCTTGCAAGGAATTGTCCAAATAATGTGGCAAATAGGAAATCAAGCAAGGGAAGTGAAATTTATCACTGTAGCTGGGTCTAATATGTAGGAATTGAAAGTGCGATCTAACTTCATTTGTGATATAAGCTAAGCTACTCTGGTGCAAGAGGAGGAGGAGAGATTGGCAAAATCTATGTTGCGGTCCTGTCTAATTCACTGTTTATGATGTGATTTGACGCTGTGGAGTGAACTACAGTGTTAAAGGTTGCATCAGAAAAAGTGGATGGAGTTTCTAAAACATGGGCAGTACTATGTCTTTGAATCTAATTACACACCCTTTCAATTATAAACATTGTTCTTGCTTCATAGTATAGTGCAATGCCATGCAATATGAGAAGGTCTGTATCTTTTACAAAGCTGAGAGCACACACTACTGTTGATAAGCTCTGATCCTGTTGGGCAATGTATTTGTATTGCCTGGACACTGGATGGATCTACAAATGAGCTACATCATGGATTACGTGTGCTAAGTCAAAATATGAAAACCCTTTTCTGAAACCTGTATGCAATTCAGTATAATATAATATATATATTATAATAATATAATTGCATATGTTATTACATTCTTGTAATTTGTTCTTCTGCTAGGCATTGGGGGGCATAAGAAGCTATGCAGAAAGCTTGCAGAGCACTGCCCTGTAATGGCAAGAAATGCTTCACATCCAGTCCTTCCTGGGACATCACCAGGCACTGCTTGCATACATTCAAACTTACCTTTCACAGCGACAAAGGTGACATATTGTCTCTAAAGTACAAACAGACTTGAAGGTTCCCTTTACCTGATTGATTTACATGCTTGTGTGCAATCACAAAACCAGAATATACTCAATTCTGAATATTGTGAGGTGCTAAGTACAGTCTTAAGTTTCCCCCTTGCCATAATTCTTGCCTCCAGCTACAGTTCAGCAATAATTGTATGTAGCTTTGTTGTCACAAACAATGTATGTCTATTTGCACAGTGTTTCCACAGTTTCAATATGCATGTTTAGTGAAGTGTTCCCACATAACTTTCCAGCTTTGAAGACAGGCATGCAAGGTTATTAAGAACACTTCCCATATCTTTAATTCTCTGTTTATTTAATTTATCTCCAAATGTGCATATATACCTGCTGCTATTTAAATAATCTGGTAAGTAAGGTATCACCCATGGAAGCAAATCAAACAATCTTTGAAGTGCATTAAAGTTCATTTTGTGGGGCTGCCAAAAGCTGTACTTCTGGGCTTATTTGTACATCACGATAAGCCGTCTTGAAAATAAGCCACAGTTTCTTTGCTTACCCATATTGGTCCTGACAACCAATCAAACACTGATGTTTGTTGTAGTGTGTTTTCCCCCGTAGTTTTCTAGCATGTTAGCATGTTACCTTTGTGGCACAATTGCTCTTACATGAATGTTCTATGGAGGAAAACTTCTCCAGCTTCCCATCTTTCTTGGATCACTCCCACCCACTTTCAGCTCAGCTGGCACTGTCTTCAGAGTTTCAGAAGTAAGAATTTTTATATTTCTGTTCATAAAGTGTGCAGTCAGGCACAGCAAAAATAATAACAAACCCACACATTTTTGCATTTATTACATATGCTTGTACTCCTGTAGTAAGTACATCTGCCTGTCCTGGAGGCAGATGCTTTCAGAGCCAAAGGAAGTGCTGAAGCAGGGTTTCCTTGCATCTTTTCATGTTACCTCCTGAACAAGTTTATTGTGAGTTTATTGGCTCCCCTCCTTTTGGAATAACTACTTTATACACATGCTGCTTTCTTTTCAGGTGCTTCTCAGGTGTCCAAATGTGTTTGTATTTTTTAATTTTTCTGATTTTTCACATGTGTGCATGTGAAGAGATTTGTCTCGCCATCATATAGAGTCTGCAGTAGTACATTCAGCTTGTCAGACTTCTGGAGTTCCCTGTTGATAGAAGGGCCAAAATGGAATAAGCAATGACTTAATCACACTTTTTTCCCCCTTTCAATGAATTCAAGGCATTTTACATAATTCTCCTCCTTTTCTCAATCTTATCCCCACAACAATAATCCTGTAAAGTAGGTTGTCCTGAGAGTCTGTGACTGCCCCGGAGTCACAGTTGTGCAAAAGTTACTGAGCAAAGCACACAGCAATAAGTGATTGAAAGGAGCAATTCACTTTTCAGATTATCTAAGGTTCTGTTGGTAAACCACTCACCCCACTGTAGAAAAAAGTATACCAAATTTGAATGAATAAAGACTTCCACTGTTTCTGGCCCAGGTGCTGTTCCAGGGTTGCCTGCTGGATGAGACCAAAACAGAGGCCTTCCTGCAGCAAGTTTATATACAGCTGTGCACCTTTGAAAACAAAGTGGCTGAGATGCTCCAGCAGCAGTATGAGCCAAAAACTCAGGTGAGAAGGCTACAGCAGCTTCGTATGCTTGAATGAGAGGGAGGTGTTTTTCTGTCTGCCCAGTAGACCCATTGTGGGCTTCTCCCCATCCAAACTATGCCATAAGCCTCTCCAAAACAGGGCAGAGATGATGAAAGTGCTGGACTTCAGTTACTCCCATTATCAGAGGTAGTGTACCTGCTCGAGAACTTCAGCATTCATACCCTACTTGTGGGATCCTGTGAGCAACTGGTTTGCTGTTGGGTGAACATTATACTGGATTAGATGGACAATTGGTTTGATCAGCATGGCTCTCATGTTCCACACAGAGGAGTTTTTAAATGTAAGAACATAAAAAAGCGAGAAATATATCTCAAAAAAACCCTTGCTCTACATAGCCTTTACAGACATTAAGGCAGCCTTTGATTCCATCTCAAGGGTTAAATTATGGAAGAAATTAGAGCCCACTAGCATTGATAGGCACCTGCTCCTACTCATTCAGATCTTACATAGAGACACCATAGTTAAAGTAAGATGCAGTGCTCATGACCAGCTCAAATGCTGTTGCAATGCAAAAAGGAGGCAAACAAGGCTGCATTCTGGTCCCGCTTTTATTTAATTTCTATATTAATTCAGTAGTGGATGAGTTAAACTATATTAATTTTCACCCTCCAAAACTTGTAGGGAGACACATAACTATTTTAGTACATGTAGACAATGCAGTTATTATCTCAAGGACTCCAGTAGGGCTTAGAAGAGCATTGCAGAAGTTGTTCACATACTGCGAGGAAGAAGGCATACCAAAAAACAAAAATCATGGCCTTTGTCAAAAGACTAAAAACTCAGTTAAGGACAATAAACCAGCATAAGATTGAGCAAGTTTTTCAATTCAAATATTTAGGGATAGTTTTTCAAGATTGTCATATTTTCCAACTGATCTTGCCTCACTAATTTTTCAAGTTGATTTTAAATCTAACGATAAAATCTGTTGAGCAGAAATTAGCTTTTTTAGGCCTCCGCTCATGGACTCTGCTAGATATGGGGATTGAGCAGCCAACAGGAATCCTGGCAGCTCATTGCAGATATTGAGAGAGAGAGTGATCTTAATAGTGTCTCAGAATTCTTTCTCAGGGAGGATTCTAGATATATTGCAAGGACTCCACCTTACCTTGCTCAGTTGGAATTACATAAGCATAGGAGAGCCCACCTTGGCCCACTTACGAGGAGGGATGGTATAAAAAGATCCCTTGGTCAGAGCGCTTTGGCGCCTGTGGTATGGAACAGGTAGAAACCACAGAGTATGTCCTGCTGGGGTGTATATTTTATAGGGATATTTGTGCTGCATTCATTTCCCCTTTGATGAACTGATTCCCAGGCCATACAGGACAACAATATGTCTCTATATGACTGTCTGACACTGACCCGATATCTACATATAATGTTGTCAAATTCTTTGTAGCCATGATAGGCATTTGAGAAAGGATGTTGAAAGAGTGCAGACTGAATTATTTGGCTGGCTGGATGAAAGATAAAGTCCAGGGAGTAATGCCTTTTACATAGAGTGGCTGTGTATACAGGTCTACTGTTAAAATAGTATACTGTGATGACGTGTTTATTACCTGGAATGGGGACATTGTATATAGCATACAACTTAGAACTGGGCTATTGGCACTATTATGTGCACCTTATAACCAATGGTTAATATTTGCTTATTTTCTTCCAATATTCCAGTATTGTCTTTTAATGTTTTACTTTGGTCTGGTCTCTGACTGTAATAAAGAATTATTATTATTATTATTATTATTATTATTATTATTATTATTATTAGTCTGTCAGGTACCTGAGCAAATACATAGCAGTCCCACAGGAATGGGTTAGTTGCATGTGCTTTGATAGAGATTTGTCCTATAGCAACCTTCTCTAACCTTGTGCCTTCCAGACTTGTTTGGACTACAACACCCAGAATTCTCAGTCAATGGCCCTGCTGATTGGCAATTCTGGGAGTTGTGGTCCAAATGCCTCTGAAGGCTTACAGGTTAGGGAAGGTTATCCTGTAGGATTTAAAAGCAAGAAGAGATGTTTGAAGAAACTCCTGAACTTACTTTTCCAGCAGAGCAGCCACATTTTCTTCTTTAGTAAAAACCTTCAAGGCCTTGTGGGACCCTGTCTTAGGTGCTCTAAGTGTGTTGATGCTGATAACAAATCCAACACTGCCATCACCCTCTAGATTTGGAAGAATCTAGATGACAGAAATACTCGGTTTGCAAGGCATATTTGCCACTATTTTACTCTATTCTCCTTCTCTTCATCCTTTGGCTTTCCTTGTGACTACTGGAACATTTTTCTGTTAATTTGTTTAGAAAGAAGGGCAAACTTTTTCTAAGTGACAGAACCCAAACTGTTTTCTGTTAGGTGGGGTGTTTGAGATGATAGCCCCAGGCAAGAGTTTTGCCTGAAACTGTTTCAGCATGACATACAGCAAAACTCAATGATGTCTGGAATTCTGAGGCAAAAGAGCTGGGAGGCTCTTGCAGGTACAAGAATGAGTTTTCACCTCTGACTTGTTCTGTCATTCCCTGCTGGCAACTTTCTTCCAAGAATTTTCAGGGGTAAATATCAGTGATAATACCAACTGATGAATCTCAGCACATTCTCAGTGTGAATGCATAGATGAGTTATTTCCACTGCCTGCCCACCCACAACTTCCTTCAGGCACATTTTGAAAGAGACTACACTTTGAATTGGTGATGCTGAGCTGGAACACTGGGAACTTGGCCATTATCTTCTGGCTAAGCAAACATGTTATAGTGCTTTCATTTTAGAATTGCCTGGACCTCCATATGTACACAAGATACAAGTTGCATTTTTGTCTACATGTAAGTTTGTGAGTGTGTTGGGGAAGCAGATTTAAATAAAAACAGGCTCTACTAAGGATTTAGAGGGGGAGCGCTTCTTGCACTTGCAATCCGAGGTGGGAAACCCGGTGCTGTGGCTGATAGGAACTTTGTTTCTGATTGCAGGTGGACTTGACATCCCTGAACCAGGAGCGCCTGTGTGATGCCCAGGAGCCCTTGGGAAGGAAGTTGGGTGTTTCCATGGTCACAGCTGATGTCGGGCTTGTCAGCATGATTCGCCAGGGAATTCTGGCACTACAATTGCTGCCTTCCAACTCCAGTGCAGGTTAGTATGTGTGTCTTCTTCCAAAAATTGGCAAGAGGCAAAATGCAAGTGGCTACTGTTGTAACTATTCCAGAAGCCAGCAGTTACATCTGGATCAGCCAAAGGAGTTAGAACAGAGGGGAAAGGCAGAGTCCAGCTCAGCTCAGGAGCAAAAAGACTGCAGAAGCACTTTAACTTTGCAGGGCGAGGACATGATGAGAGTAGAGTGTAGGACTGGGATCCCAGAAGATGCAGGTTCTGGTCCCAACTTGGCCATGAAGCTCACTGGGTGACTTTGGGCCAGTCACTCATTCTCAGCCTAACCTACCTCACAGGGTATTTTGTGGGAATAAAATGGAGCTAAGTAAGCTGCCTTGCATTCCTCACCGGGGGAGGGGGGGGGAAGGTAGGATATGAATGTAATGTAATAATATTGAGTCATGGTCTTGCTGACTGTGGAACCAAGGCTGCCCCAATGCAGTGGGCTGTTACTGATTCATTGACTTGGAGGGCTGCACGAATGGTGGCCCACTAGGTTAAATTTATCCTGTAATTTTCAGCATGTTCAGAGAAGGCAGAGCCTCCATGCTTTCCCAAGGCTGAGTTCTCCTATGCATGCGATGGAAGAGGAAACTACACGCAGCAGATGGGGTGACTGAGCTGTTCTCACTTAGCAGCTCCATAGGTGTAGCAAAAGGGAAGATTGATTATGTGTAAATGATGGTTAAATCTAGATTAAACTGCTGTTTTAAGGGATTGAAAGCAGTGTGCTTATTGCAAAGTAAAAATATTTGCATTTTTACAAATAGTGCACTCTTGGATGGGCTGGACGCATAATACCTGAAAATCAGTTTCACACACATACAAAGCAAAGTTTGTATTACAGTGATGAGGAAGAGAATGATTACATGACATTTATGTCCTCTCTTTTTTCCACTTGCAATGAATTCAAGGTGGCTTACATAGTCCTCCCCCAATCCATTTTATCTTCACAGCAACAACAATCCTGTGAGGTAGGTTAGGCTGAGAGCAACTGATTGCCAGTCACACAGTGAACTTCATGGCTGAGTGGGAACTAGAATCTAGATCTCCTGGCTTCCTGGATCAATACTCTAGATACAATGTTATGGCTCCCATTGGCTGTAGAATATGGTCAGCTTAAAATGCATGAGCTGCAGTGGAGTGCTGAGGCCAGTCCTTGCCTGTGGAACATGGGTCTTACATGGAATGATATTGTTATATCCTGCGGTTTTACGGATGAGACCAGAGACTAGTTGGAATTTTCGAGAGGAGGTTTATTACCTGCAGGGACCACACTCGTTGGAGTGCGGTCCCGAGCAGAAGAAAGCAGCGTTTTTATACTCTTTTACAACTATGCAGGTGCTTGAATAACAGCGAACAATAGGGGAACCCCACTGAGCCCCATTTGCACATTTTTCATGCTAAAGCAAGCGAGGGTACAAGGGCGTAACGTCTGCGATTATGCTTGAGCGTAGCCTGCTTTGTGGTCAGCCTTGCGTAGCGTGCACATTCGTTGGGGTTCTTGTTCTTACGCGAACAGGACAGCCTGATCATGCTTTTTACCCGTGACGAGCCATGTCCTGGTTGCATGTTCGATTAAGAGGGGGGTTACAACAGATGCCTATGTGATATGTATCCCCTCATCCATGTGGGGAAAGAGCCGTCATACATGTTTTCTAGCTTAAAGTAACCATTCCTGACATAAATGGTAAATCTGTTTTAGAGTCCAGTTCTTTCCTTCCTTGGTGGAATGCCTGCACTCACCTATTTCCTGCTCATGGTGGGTTTTGTTGTGTACAGGAATTATTGTGATCACGGATGGCGTCACCAGCGTCCCAGACGTAGCTGTTTGTGAGACTCTGCTCAACCAACTGCGCAGTGGGACCGTGGCCTGTTCTTTTGTTCAGGTAGGAACAGTAGGAACACGTTCACAGTTGGCCCAGGCCTTAGAGAAATACTAGACTATTGTCTAGATTGCAAACTCCAGCAGACACATCTGGTATTTTATGAAACACTTGGTGAGAGACGTGCTGCCTGCACTGTGGATATATTTACTTTTTAAAGAATGCTTCTAGATGAAGTGGGAATACTGATCTTTGTTGGTGATGTCACCTGGCAGTAATATTTAGTTCAGAGTGACTCATGTGAATCATAGTGGTAGAATAATGAAGTCTGCAATCCTACGCTCACTCACTTGGGAACTAGTGCTAATGAAGAAAATCAGTATTGTAGTCAATTCTTGTTTATTTAATGTGTGATTATTTATTCTGTTCTATGTAGGGTAAGGCATGTGGGGGGCGGGTTAGTTTAAGTTTACATAAGGCAACCTCCTTCTTGAATCAGAACTGACTTTGGTTCAGCCCACAGCTTTGAAGCAAGTTGCTTGTTGAATAAAGTCACAGGAGGTCCATAATTGAGCCATCCCATAACTTCTCCTGTATTTGTTCCAACTTGCTTTTCAATTGAGGCCCTGCAAAAAGGTACAATAAGCTATTGCTTAAAGAAAATGGCTTAGAGTATAGATAGCAAGTCCTTAAAGAAGGCTAGTATTCAGATCATTGGTATGAGATTAAAAATTTAACTCCATGGGAGTTCACCAATGCATCCATTACAGAAACAAACCAGAGGTTAAGTTGATGGCTTAAAGCCTCTGATCCTTGTCTCTGGGGCTTAAGAGAGAGTGGCTTGGCAAGGAGGGTAGGTCAAGTGTTAGCATCTATTATGTGTAGATAATTAGTTTGAATTATTATTTGTGGTTTAAAACTGGAGCTTGTGGGGAGTAGAGAGTCGGCACCAGGCTGACCTCTCTGGGAAGCATATTCCATAGTCTGGGTGCCACCGCAGAGAAGGCCCTCCGAGTGGTTACGCTCCATACCTCCTTCAGAGAGGGTTCCTGGAGCAAGGCCTCCCCTGCCAATCTTAAGGGGCATGAGGGCATGTAGGAAAAGAGATGTTCCTTCAGGTAAGAGAAGGAGGCCTTCCTTATGCCAACTTGGGAAGCATAGATCTGTTTCTATGTGTGAAATGTATGTATTCCATGTTACAAAACTTCCCACTCCTATCTGCCTTCACTTCAGAGACCAGAGTGGAACAATAGCATGCCAATATCTGCAAGCTTGTTTCAGTGTGCATGTACAGCCTTGGCGTATGTCTCCAAGGGCTGGTTAAAACTGAGCTCGTTGGCATAAGAGGCAGTGACTGTGCAAGTGGAAGCTGTCAGTGCTTGTGTGCTATTTTTTCTTCTGCAGGTGGGGGGAGTCTACTCCTATGATTGCAGTTTTGGTCATGTCCCCAATGTGGAACTCATGAAGTTCATTGCCATGGCAACATTTGGTACATACCTTTCCACATGTCCTGAGGTGGAGCATTCTAGTTTGGACCTGAACGCCTATCACAGAGCTTTTCTTCTGTACTCCTTTCTGCGCAGTGGGGAGTCCCTGAACCCTGAATATTACTGTGGTGAGTTTATAGAGAGAATTTGTTTCCTCACTTTATCTACTCTGTCAAGGGGACAAGAATCTTGAACTAGGTTGAAATATGGAATAGTTCAGTAGTGGGAATGGTAGAATGAAGGGACTTTGGAGGATGTGCATTCTTTGCTTTCGTCTCCCAAGCTGGCCATCATTAAGCAAAAACACCTACAGATCAGTTGAAGAAGACTAGTTCTTCAAATTTAGTGAAGATTATGCTATCCCTTTCAGTCATCACTTTTACATCCTAATGTGGGGGTGGGGGGGTGGGGAACGTGTAGGGCACTAGCCACATGTGGTCCCTGTGACCTCCAGAACTGGAGGGTAGGGGATTTCAAAGAAAACAAAAAAAAAAAAAAAAAAAAGGAACCAAAAAAGGTGTCTGCAGATTATTAATGGGAATTTATCAGCAGTTCACAGACTGCTTCTAATGATAACTAAGCAGAGGTCTGGAGAAGAGTTCCTCCTGAACTCATGATCTTTTCACTTAATAAATAGCAATAGCACTAAACAAATATGCCTGATAGAACCAGTTTGTCAAACTGGTTAAACTTCTGTAGTTCAGGAGCAGGGGAAGATTCTCATTCCTCACTTCAAGCTTTTTTTTTAAAACCTTTTTTTAAATAGTAGAATCAGGAAACTGTGCTCCACCCCTAAACCCACAACATGAATGAGAGACAAGGAATTATTGTAGCAATAGCATGTTGAAAAACATGCTTAGGACTTGCTGCACTTTTTTGTTAACCCAAACCAGCCACAGGGAGCCCAATATGACAGAAGGAGGTTATGTCTCCTCATCTCCTCATACTCCTCATACTATTTTCCTCTGAAAAATCCCCCTCTCACCTGCCCCCAAGCAGCTTTTGTCCCCTGAAAAAGCTGTATAGATACTTGTGGGAAGGAGAGGCAATTGTTGACAGAATTAAGCTTGTTCCCACTCATCCTATGGTCCTGATCCAGGTGAGGGATTTTAGTCATGAAAGGAGTACTATTTTAAACACACTGTAAGCACAGCATGCAGTTTGGCCCTTGGTTTTTAAGTCCTTGTGGGTATGTATGTGTTTCTGCTTAAAAGTTTCAGTCTTGACATCTTGCTCTTTGTGGTGGCTGCAGGGGAACCTGCAGTCTTGAAGTCTTCCAGGGCCTGCTAGTGAGGCTTGAGCAAATTATTGATGGGGGTGGTGGCCTTCATGTGATTATCTACTGTTGTTGCAGTGTCCCAGCACAGACTGTTCAACGAGCACCTTGTTTCTGCAAGCAGCAACCCTGCTTTGGCTATGCGGCGGAAAAAGCATACAGAGAAGGAGGTGCATGCTGACCTTATCAGTATAGTCTCTGTACGGCTGCGAGAAGGTTATAGCATACGTGAGGTTAATGTCACAAAAGGCAAGTTCTCCCTGTATTTTTTACTCTGCTTTCTCATGCTAGGCCTATGTTCATCTGATGCCAGCTTTGCATTTTTAGAGTACAGCTTACACCCACTATGTACTCGCTGCCAGGAACCCTCATATAGAACTCTTTTTATAATACAAAAATAAATAGAATCATAGAATAGTAGAGTTGGAAGGGACCATGAAGGCCATTGGGTCCAACCCCCTGCAGTTGCAGGACACCAATTTACACCATTCCAGTCATTAAATACATAAAGAAGAACACAAAAATAATTGAAATAACAACCAACTTTCATAAAATCATAGCTGAGAAATACTGTATTTATAGTGTTGTAGCAGGCCTGTTTGTATGACACAACAGCATAGCATGGGTTTTTTAACCTACAGTGAGGTTACAGTGTGTTCAGAGCTTATGCAGCCACCATTGCTTTGGGGTTGTCATATGAATCTGGTGAGTGTTGTTTGCATAACCTACACTCAGCAGTTTGAGATGGCGCAGTAACTCCCAAGCTGGGGTTGCCATGGCTCATCTTGAATTGTTATTTATTTATTATGCTTTTATACTGCCCCATAGGCCATTTGGCTCTCTTGGCAGTTTACAAATTTAAAAACATGTAAAGACCATAAATAATCATATTAAACAAACAATAAAATCAGTGCAGCAAAATCGACAACCCACAGTGACTATAGTAAAATTAATATACCGCATAGTAACAATAGAACATGATTAAATCATTATATATTAAAATATCTGGAAAATAAATAAACCTGGCACCAAAAAATAAATAAACCTGGCACCAAAAACTGTTACATACATATTCTTTTCATTCCTACCTAATTTAATGTATCCAAGAAAAAAATCTCCTTATGATTCCAGAAATTAGAGATATCCTATTTAGAAAAAAAGAGATGGGTGAAAATTTTCTTGCTGCCAAAGCCTTTACCATATACCATAATTTTGCCTGTATCTCTTGTGCAATTTATAAGACCACTACCACATGAAATAAGTAGGAATCTCCAAAAGAGGCTGCAGACCCAATACAATGGAGACTCTTGAAGTATGCAAAAACTTACTGTTCCAGCAAGATATTCCAAGTCCCAATACATCTGATGCTGTATGACCCTTCCGCAAGCAAATACTTGCAGCCAAATGTAGCTAAATGAAAATGGAATTCAGACTAGCACTGCTATTGCAGTGGATGTTTCTACCTTAGATTCAGAAAAGTCCAATTTCCTTCAAATGCATTTAGACTTCGATTACTCTTTGGAATAATATGTGATATATCTGTTCTGTAGTCTCCTTTGCATAACATTAGGAACAGGACCAACTTTGTAAAACTGCTGCTAAAACAAGTTTTCTCTTAGGTATAATAATGGGAAAGTCTTAGCTAATCTTTTTACTTTCTTTTCTGTGGAATGTGCTTTTCTATGGAATGTGTAAAGGTTATACAGCACTATTAAGTGGAGAAGTTGGGACTTGTTAATAGTGTTTATTTGGCCAGCATTCTGAAGAATGGGGGTGGTTTTGGTGGGAGGTCCCTGGGTCTAGTTACGACCTTGAATCATTGCATGAGGAACTAACAACAGGTGGGAAATAGTGTGGAAGAAGGTGGGAATTAGTCTTGCAAAGAAATGAGTTGCAAGAGCCTCATTTCAGAACAGCAGACCTATATTGGAAGGCAGGCACACCTGCTTTGGAGTCAGTCCCATCTGAGGTACTGGTGAAGGCCTACTATGGTGCTTCAGGCAACAGGAGATGCTTCATCTTACCTCATTCCTCACAATCCTATTTCATGCACACAGGTAGCACACAGCTAGAAGTGAAGCTAGTCTTGCTATGGAAGCACAATATGAGAATTGAGTACCTGGCAGTGGCCCCATGGCCCCTGGACCCTTTGAAACGTAGCACATGGGTGGAAGTGACTATGGAGGGCAGCTACGATATCTTGCATGACATCAGCTGCACAATGCGGAAGCCTATCACCAGCCTGTACCGCACAACTGTGATACGCCGTTTTTGGAATACCCTGCAAAGGTGAGTCTGCAGAGCTTCAGGATTTGTTTGAGATTTGCCTTCCAAAGAGTTGCACTGGGCATATACCTGCTATCTTGCTTGTTTCAAAGTGTGTGAAGATGAGACTGTTGACTCATATCATTTTGAGCTAGAGAGCAGTGCTGCTGCTTCTTGTAAGCATTTCATTTCTGATCTGTTGCTGCATGTGTATTCACATGCATCCAGGAATTAGCAAGAAAAGCAGGACAAAGTCTGACGTGCAGATTTATATGCTCTGTTTCAACAAAATGGAGAATATCTAGTTCTGAAGTGGTGATAAAATAGCTTCAAGCAGCCATTTGAGTCCAGAGTTGCAGACTTCATTTTTGCAGGATTTGTCTTTGATGTGTGTATGCTACAAAGAGAAGAAATAGCTTTGTTCTTATGCTAACCACATAGCGCATGGACCAGTATGCTACATAAAATGCATAGACAGGCAAAGGTAAAGGTAACAGACTGTGGTAAGTAGCATTTGCCAAATTAAGGCCAGGGGTCTAGAGGCTACATGTCTAAAGCCAACTTGAGACTTCAGTAGTAGGCGGCATATAAATGGAAATAAGAAAGCAAGCAAGCTTAGGTGCTGGTGAAGTGGAGGGCTGCAGGAGTGGAAATGGGTGGACTTAAAGGAAGAAATGAAAAGAAGAAATAGATGCTGTAATTTGGCTTCATAGTAGGGAAACACAAAGGTCTTTACGTCCTGCTTTGTCACAAACAATGGGAAAGACACTGTGGGCCTAAGTGATCCTCAGATCCTGCTGAGTTTAATTACAAGTCAAACTGGGGTGAAAGCCTCAAACCATGGATAATGCTACCAAAAGTAGTTCTAACACAACTAGTACTTACTGCACTTACGGGGAGATCAAATGTAGTGTAGTGATTAAGAGTGAGGGACTGAGACTCAGGAGATCCTTTCTGAGCAATGGAGCCATCTGGGTGACTTTGAGTCAGTTATAGACTCTCAGCCCAACTTACCTCACAGGGCTGTTGTGAGAATAAGATTGAGCGGAGGAGGGCAATTATGTAGACTGCCTTGAGTTCCTGGGAAGGAAAAAGGTGGGGTATGTATAAATTAAAAGAATGAATGAATGGAGGTCTGGCCACTATTAGTGAACCCAGAGCTCTCACAATTTGTTTTACAAATAGAATTAAAATGCAGAGCCTTCACACAGAGAATAATAAGCAGAAATAAACAAGGAGATTGGAAGAAAGGAGGCAAGGGAAGGAACTACCTAAGAAGTTATGTCGAATCGTTTAAAAGGTGGCTAAAGTGGTTGTGCTTTGACTTGAGCTCTTTGGTAGCAGCTTCCCAGCTTTCCTGCTTGATTGTTGGACTTAAGCTGGCAACTCTGCACAAGGCACAGGCCTTCACAAGACACCACAAACAGAAGTAGGGTACACTGCATTATGTGAGCTTAATGGCTTTGGACTCAATGGATGCTTCAATTGGGGTAAGTAGAACAGTGAAACTTCCTTTCTGGCTGGGCACAAGATGCCTCAAGGCAAAAAATTAGACCTCTGATTCTGGAATTGTATGGTAGGTACCAAAGTAGAGCAGGGGATCATGGTCGTAAATTATCATGAGAATCAACTTTGGGTTATTTTTTAAAGCTGAGCTAAAACTCACAAACATGCTGGTTGCCCAGGCAAAAAGGCTTTGGGACTGTACACAGGAGGAGGCAGAACAAAAGGAACAGTAATTCGACTTTGGGAGAATGGAAGGAACCATGAAAGAGGTTCTTCACTACAAAGGTATTTCAGAGGGTGCCTTGATGACTGATTGGATAGAAACACTTCATGACCGACCCATAATTCCTGCTCTGAATTGACCAGTTTACACGTGTGCTTATAAACTGGAGGGCAATGACCCAGCTGTCAGGAATTGCACTCCCCTTTAAAGGAACAGGTTTGCTGTTTTAGGTTTCTTCTTGATAATTTCTTTGTCATTTGAGGCTCAGGTGGCCTCAGTGCCATGGAATGTCTTCTACCACCTTTGGTTGGTAGCCCAGCTGCATTCTGATTGCCTGATTGCCTTGAATGTATGAGGAAACGGGTGGAATCCGTCAGATTCTCTGAGCTTGGCTTCTGCAGTGCACCATAGTTTGAGTTCCTGGCAACCAGAAATTGATTTCCATTTAGTTGGTATTTTTTATAGGTTCTGTAAGTAATTCCAAAGCCGTCAAAACTGAAGCTTCCAGGTAGCCTGAAGTGCCTGATCTTGCCTAATCTTGGAAGTTAAGCAGGGTCAGGCCTGGTCAGAATTGGGATGAGTGACTTGAGTGTATGATTCTATGATTGTTATAAACTGCCCAGAGAGCTTTGCCTATGGGCAATATTAAAAAATGGAATAATAATAATGGGAACAAGTTCCTTTAATTGGTAGAGGAAGCACATATGTAAGTACTCCTGGGTTTTTGTAGCAATGCAGGGCATTATTCTTGTTCTTGGCAGCCTTTGCTATGGTTTTTGAAACAAAATGGGTTTTTGAGCAAAATTGTCCTGGAAACATAATTAAAAATGCAAAGCACAGCTGCGCCTGCACAGAGTCAAACTATCTGAATTCACCTTCAGTGAGCGACAGCGTTGGGACATAGGAGACTATAGTATTGAACAAAAAAGTCAACTATGCTTATAGGGAATGCAGTAACTGTCTAGGGTAGATCAATGACCATTTAGCATTGATGTGATATAGAACCTTGTGATTCTTAAGGCTGGGGCTGATCTTATCTTTTCAGCATCAACCAAACCGACCAGATGCTGGTTCATCTGCAGTCCTTTGACAGTGTTCCAGAGCACTTCACCATACCTGAAAGCACCAGAAATGGGGTGCCTCTCTTCTACATTCCCCCAGGTTCCACTACACCGGTATATTCTTTGCTGTCTCTGACCCTTGCTTGAAAGAATGGAAACCTAGTTCCTGTATCTAATGTAACTGGTCCCTGTTTGGACATTTGCTTCCCCAAATTTGAGAGCTGTGCTGAGTATGTTAAACTGCATGTTGATCTCAAAGGGCGGGAGAACCAGGCGTTGAATCCTACTGGTGAGGGAGAGAGGCAGGAGTGGGGATATGGTAGCTTCCTTTATGCATGTACGGGCTGTAGGTTCCAGCCTCTGTGCTTTGTCACTTTGCTGGGATACTGCATGCACTAGTTTAGTCTTTTCATGCCTGTCTCAGATAGTCATGTTCTTTCTTAAGAATTCTCTGGATTACCCAAAGGCATGTACAAATTCATGCCCTTTAAGGGGTTTCAGTGGGAATAGTCTGAGGAGGTGGTTAGGTTCTTGGCTAACTAGAATCATTACCTCTGATGGGAAAGCAACAGGTTTAAGATAGCCTGAAATTTATAACTTCTGAGATGAACATTCTGAGTTCCTTTGGGTACTACATAGCTTAAGCAACTTTGTGCTTAACTGACTACTAATGTGATACTTTAGTCGGTGGGGAAGGGGGGGTTAGATCCCTCCTCTACAAAGCAAAAAACAGAATGTATTTTCCCCCTTTTAGGTACTGTCACTGCAGCATAGCAGCTCAGACTCCTGTCACTCTCAGTTTGCAGCTTACTGGAAGCCCATCCTATCTATGGATGCCAATTTTTGGCAAAGATGGCTGCACATGCACCGCATTGTGATCCTCTTGGAACATGACATGTACGTAGGCTGCGTTGTCATGGTTGTGGGTCTTATGTGAAAGCATGCTCAGAGAGGGCAAGATCTGTACCACACTGGCTCCTTGGCTAGCAGTTACTTACTTACTTTATTTATTTAAAGCTTTATAGACCATCCAGCTACTAGCATCTCGGGACGATCTTACAGTAAAAGCAACATAAAATGAAATGAAGCACAGTATCCAAATAATTCAAATAAGATGACCCACATTGAAACCTAATCAAACATTAAAATAATGGGAAAATAAAAAGGTTTTAGCCTGGTGCTGAAAGGAATAGGGTGTTGGCGCCAGGCAAACTTCTCTGGGGAGTGCATTCCATAACTGGGGTGCCACCACAGAGAAGGCCCTTCTCCAGGTAGCCACCCTCCTAATCTCCTTCATTGATGGCTCCTGAAAAAGGACCTCCACCTCAGATCTTAAGAGGCAGGTAGGCACAGAAGCCTGAGGTAGCCCTGTGTGTTCTTGTTCGTATCATCTAACTGTTGCTATGTGCGTTATTTTTTTCTAAGGGCCAGGGGTTGGAAGACGACCATATTCTTGAACAGTGGTTTAACTTTCCTGATATGTTTCACAGGCCAGTACCAAAGCATTTGCATACTCCAGGTAATAATGGCCGCTACAGCACTATCCAGTGCCGCATCTCGCACTCAGCTCTGACTTCTTTGCTGCGTGATTGGAGCAGCTTTGTGCTGGTGGAAGGCTACTCCTATGTCAAACTCATGCGCAGGTGAGTGGTTTGATATGGAGTGGAAAACAAGCTCTTCTGAGGTGTTACAGCAGGGAAAGTCTGCTGGCAGGGAGTGGGGGGAGATTTTTGGTAGGATTTAGGTTATCTTCCTGTTCCACAGCAATTGATCCTTACAGGCTCACTGCGTAACTACTCATCTCTCTTAAGAAGATAATCTTCAGGAGCAGGAGGGGCATGCTTAATGTGTAGTATATTACACTGTGCAGCAGTTATGCTAGCTTTGGAGACTGCACTATGACATGCTTCAAATTCAGAACTAATCAAGTGTCCTGGATTGCAGGGCACCTGCTGCTAGGCATAGTTTGAGCATGAACTATACCTAGTTGCACCTTCCATGAAACTAAGTTACAGAGATAGTATTCCAGCCAAAAGCATATTGTTCATTGATGTCCAGATGTTCCCATTGTGTGGAGATGTCATTGGGTGGTCTGTCTCTGTCTGAACACGAAACAACCCCATTTTCCTGCTGAACTCATTTGACCTTGCATTTCTTCCTTTATTTTTCAAGTGGAGGTAGAAGGACAGGGTTTCCAGCTTCAGAGTGGAGCTTTTCCCACTACCTGCCTTGAGACTCAGTAGCACCATAAAGTCATCCCAACTTCTATTTCTTGTCCTCTGTCATGCAGCTCTGAGGATCAGACTCCTTTTTCATTCTATGTGGTACGGATCATCTCCAAAGCCCCTTGCATGGTTCTTCGGCTGGGATTTCCCATTGGGACACTTGCAAGGATCAGGAACAAAGTGAGTGCTAGAATTTCTCTCTCGGTCCCAATGAGCAGTCAGCAAAATGGCAAAAAATGCATGTGTTTATCTGATGTTACTCAGCAGCTATTTGTCAGAGTAAAAAAAAGCAGTTCAGAACTGTGCGACCTGTACTTTTAACTGCATCTGAAGTTGTCTTTGTGTTTATAGACTAGAAACCAGGCTTAATTAAAAGAGGAATTGTTACCAAAAGCCAGCTGGAGGACCCATCTTCCCACTCACTTCCAGGGAAGGAAAGCCTTCTAAGAAGCAACTTCCCCCCAGTGATATTTTTTAAAGAGTTATCCCTATGGTATATCTGCTGTTGCTGTATGTGTTGGAAAGAGGCAGGGATGTCATGTCTTCCGGGGCAGTTCTAGGTATGCAGAGTTCTAGAAGAAATCCTTTTGTAGGGCTGATATTTTCTCATTTCTGAGGCATCAGGTAACATCGCTGGCAAGTGTACCAGAGGGATTCTAGGACTAAGTGTAGGCAGCAGTGCGGCTTTGAGAGAGAGAGAATGAACAACAGCAGGGATTCAGAAGAAGGGATTCAGTCTTCACAGCAGTTGCTCTTATTCATATGAAAAAGCCTGCCAAGTAGGCTTTTCAAAAATATGAAAAATATTCAAAGATATGCCTATTTTTCTCACATATTGCCATCTACTCATCTTACAACAGATAGTAGAAGAATTAAGAGACCGTATCCTGCAGCTGCGCTTCCCACACAGAGTGCAGAGCAAAGAGGCAACTCCAAAAGTGAAGAGGAAAGTCCTTGGCAGCAGCTCCCCATCAAAGTCACCTCCTGTGCCTGGGACTCAGCCAACCCTTTCAGATAGACCTTGCCTTATTGTGTTGCACAAGCCTCTGGATAAGCTTCTCATCAGGTAAGAGATAAGAGGTGTGTGTTCATTAATGTCCTTAGAGTTTCATTGAGTCTGGAGCAAGCAGACCCTGGTATGTGATAGCTGCGAGGGTAGAGGTCTTGGATAACCTGTAGACTGGGGCTCCTGGTATTTCTCAGCTTCCCTACTTCTGATTGTGTGCATTGCAGACAAATGCAGGAAGTAACACATACTTTATCAGGGCTGAGAATTTCAACACAAGGACCAAGTGCTATTTCAGAGCGTTCTTCTGAAATAGAGAAACTCTTAGAGGCCACATTTCAGCATTGGGCAGGGTCAGCTGAAAAAGAGGCTTGGTTAAAGACAAAAGAGGTTGGGCAAACACCAAAAGTACCAGTGTACCTTAGCTTGAAGCTAAGCCTTAAAAGAGTCATTTTGTTCTTTTTAGAATAGGAAAAACTGCACAGTAAGTCGAAAACCACTAAATATTTGGTGGCTATGGGGAAGGGAGTGGGGCCAGTGGTAAGCCATTTGGGAAGAAGTGGAGGACTACATTTAGACCCAAGCTTGAGGTTCAGTATGCTTGCCTTATTATTCTGGGAATCTGCTTTCACTCTTTACCAGCTAATATTTACAGCAGGCTTCAGACAGCCATGTTCCCTTCTTCTGGCCCTACCTGCTTTCCTCCAACAGTAGAGTGTTGCCTGGTTTCCTAAATCTGGGGTAGGTTTCCCCACTTTGAATTGCCACTCATAAGGCTTACTTACTGGCAGTAAGCACATTAAGCTACAATATGTCGGTATCTTTTGTGTTTTGGGTCCTTTCCTTTTTGCTTTTGGCTCCACCCATCCCAGGAATGTGGCCCATGGGAGATTCCCCAGAACTCAATTTGGGCCTCAGACTGAAAGAGGTTCCACACCCCTGACCTAGAAGTTAGTTTCTGTGGGAATGATGAAGTGTCAAATGGAAGTTGAACAAGGTTTGTTAGGATCAGAGCATTACCTTCTACTTATGCAATTTCCTCTCCTGTGATTACTACTCCTTTCCTGTTGCTTCCTCAGTCAAAATATTCATGGGTTGCCCTGTATCTCTTTCCATTCCTGCATTGCACCATCCATGGTTTTATTCAAAAAAACATAGGAAACTCTGCCTCTGCACAAATATAATTCTTAACTGAACTGAACTAGCTAACAGAGGGCTGCATGTTTCTCAGGGTGCAAATAGTCCTTCCTCTGCATGATGGGATGGGTTGATGTTATGGAATCCAAGAGGAGAAGGCGCAGGAGCTTTTCCATGGGTTCTCAAAGTGTGGCCTGTTGAGCCCAATAGTTCTCAGTGTGTTCATTTGCCCCCAGTGCACTTACTACATTTCCTTTCCTTCGTTCCATTTCCTAGATATGAGAAACTGCCCTCTGATTACCGTGTTCCTTGCCTCCTCCTCCCCCTGGAGAATCCCTCCATGTCAGGCCCTCTCACCATGGTGGCCAACCGCACAGCTTCTTCCACTCTGGCCTCCTTGTCTCGCTACTTCTATCACCAGCGCTGGATCTGGTGCGTGCAGTCAGGGCTGGTACCTGCAGTGCCCATCACAGCTGTGGCCCAGCTGCTGTCCACTCTCACAGAGTAAGTGTCTGGATCTCGCAATCCTGTAAGTGTCACTCTCACAGAGAGTGAACTGGATCCTGCAAACATCACTGTAGAGATAAAGGATAGTTGCTGTAGTGATTTTCTTGAGTCATTTCTCTGTCTTGCAGTTGCTCTTGCCAGGAAAGGATAGCTAGATCAATGTAAGGAGAAAGTGTAGTTGAATTTTTCATAAGCAAAAGGGGCATTGTATTAAGTTGCATTCAGAATATGGGGCATACAGTGGGTAGGGAGCCTAGCAACCTTAACAAAGTTCTCATCTGTGATGTGCAGAGTTCGTCTTTCTGAAGGCTTCCATTTTGCATCCAGTGGTGATGGGATTATCAGCATGGTATTAGAATTACCCATGAAGGTAAACCCTGTTTGTTGTTCCTTTCTTGTTAGCCAGTCCTGGTCTCTCTGATGCATTATCCAGATCCCAAGCATTGGTTTAACTTGTCTTTAATGTAAGGGAGCATAACTTACACTAGTCCTAATGTTCCTGAGTATAATGCCCCAGCATATCAAAATGCATGTCTCCTGCTGTTCTGAGTATGCTGAAGCAGTTTCCAAGGTTATTGATTCTGCTTATCTGGAAGTTCTGTGGGAAGAAATAACATACAGGCAGTGCTGCTCCCATCCTGTCTGTTGGAAGGGAGTTGGAGCTGGCTAAGCCCTGGGGGCAAGGGCAAGAAAGGCATACTCACAAGAGGTTGGTGTGAGAATGCTAGCGATCCCATCTTTCAGGTCTGTCCTCAGAATCGTATTGAGCCAGGGACCTGCTGCATCTGGGCAAAGTGACTACTGCCCAGCTGCTTCAGGACTGCAGAGCAGTGTCTTAGAATGGCGGTGGCAGAAGCGCAGGCCATATTCATGTGCATTTCCTTCCACAGACTGATTCCTCAAGGGAGAGTGGAAGTGAGAAGCATACCTGCATTGTGCAATATGTATTGTTCCCTCCACATTCCACTTCTACTAAAGACAGGTAAGAAAAAGTGTCCTGCCACTGTTGGCTACTTGCAGGAACAGAGCCCCCTGAGTGCGGTTAGAGCTATTATTTGAGATCAGATTTCCAGAAGACATCTGACTGGGATTACATGACATGATGAATCCATCATGGGCAACCAGCTATGGAGGGTTTGGAGCAATAAGCCACCTTGGCAATTCATGAGTTGTTCAACCCATGATGGATTGTTCTGTCATCTGGGCCTAGGAGACCAATCCTATTGCGCTTTATAAGAAGTATATGTGATGAACTGAAAAGTTGCTTTTGAATGAGAATTTACTTTATTCATATTACTGTTCTGCTCCCAACAAAAATAATTATACGAAGGGTAATGCTCGAGTGATGGTCACTCCAAAGTGCCTCTTTGGCAGTGGTGGAGCAGCTGTGATTGGTGGCAGTGTGGGCAGAATTGAGTGGCAAAGGAGGTTTCCCCAAAAGTGGGTGGTGAGTATACCTTTTTGGGTGTGCTGTCCTGTTTTTAAGTGTTGCCCTGATAGATCTTGGTGCCCTCCACCTCTTCCATGCTTCCCTAAGCCTTTTGGTAATCCAGAAAGGCCAGGTACATCAGGCCTGCTTTTCATGAATATTTGCTTTCAACAGCTGTCAAAAAAGGGGCTCGTTAAACCTCTCTAACAAGTATTTTGGGAGACAGGGAAATATGTGTAGATTCCATGTCTCTATAGTGGAGAAGGGGAAAGAAAGTTAGAAGCAACATGAAAACTGGGGCAAAGTAAGACTAGTGTAAAGAATTTGTTTTGTTCAGACAGAAAGGTTGCCTCTATTGGTAGTGTGAATCACATGCCTACCCTAGGAACCAAGTTACTGAGTTTTCTTTTAGGTAGGGAGGGTTTATTCTAGTGGCAGTGGTTAAAATGATTTGTAGCTGAGACAAGAATCTTTAGTGGTGAGGTTGAATTGAGAATTTTATTAAAAACTGTGGCAGTGAGTTTTATAGACTCAAGCCAAGTTAATTTATGTGTTCCATCACATCTGATGACATTGTCAGTATAACTTAACATTGTGATTTTTTTTCCACATGTGGGCTTTAAAATAGAACTATTTTAAAGCTAGGGAATAATGGGAGTTGTAGGACTTTTTCTGGCTAAACATACAGAGGATTGCACCCTAATTGACTGCTAGAGAATCTAACTCTAGATTCTACAATAAGCCCAGAAATATGGAAAATTCTGCAGAAGAAACCCCAAACTGTTAAGAATGCACAATTTCTTTGACATTATGACGCAGTGATTCTAGTCACATACTGGGAAACTGAGCATGACTTGGAGCATCCTTCAATATCTGTCAGTAAATGTTACGTTAGATCAATAATTTTAATAAGGAATGGAAGAAATGGCTTCACAGGAAATCCTGTAGAGAGGATTAAAATGCTTTTTTTTTTGCCTTAGCTCCATTATTTCCAGATACTTTGCATCTCCAGCATTTCTATTAAAAATCTTATGACATAACTTTTTAGAAATGATTTGTGGTAGGGGGAATAATGGCCAGGTAACAATATATAAACACCCTGTTTTAAATGTGAAAATAAAATATTTTATAATCCAAAGCAGTGCGGTTTTGCAGGAAAAACTGGTCTTTGGAAAAAGTGCAGAAAAATTTTTTCCATTTGTTTCCCCATATTTTTTCAGTCCTTCACATGGCAGGTGGTGTGTACATCTTCTTAAATATACACAAGTAAAGGGTTTGTTTGCTCTCATGCCCCTGATGCCTAGCCTAGGAGTGATCTTTTGTGTGTAGTCTGGGAGTAGGCAGCCTGGGGCCTGGAATCCTTTTGATAAGCTACCCACTGAAGCATCTGTCTGGCAATTAATTCTGAACTAGTGTGAAGTCCGTACCTTTACCCTTAACATTTTAAAGATGATTCTCTTTGGGAATGTAGCCCCCTTTTGATTTCCTGAGAAACAACCTGGTCAGCCCTTTAGCCAAGATTCCTGGGCTAAAAATGGCTTTGTCTTCACTCTTCACATGTACTTCACTTTCATCTTGCCTAATTGGGCTGCTCAGGAAGCCACATCGCATCCTGGGAAAGGCCCAGTTGTTCCAACCACCAGGCAATTTAATATTTTGGGGAGACAAGGAGGTGCTATAAGGGAGACACGGTGGAGCCACAATGATAGCCATGTAGGAGAATGCAGGCATGATCTAGCCCTGCTCATCTTTCTTTCTTTGTCATCCAAGTTTTTCCACAGATGATGACAATGATACTGAGGTGGAGGCCATTGAAGTTGACATGGAGCTAAACCTTGTGACAGAGTGCTGGGTGGAGCCGCAGAGCGGTTGTGTGGACAGTGCACTGGACAGCTCACGGCACTTACATGGCCTTTTGTATCAGAAAATCCCCAAAGCGGTTTGTTCCTGTAGTGGGGTGGGGACAACTGTCTTGGCAGCTGGTGTCTCCTGGTGCGGGTTTTGGTCCCTCAGCCTGCAGGGGAACTGGGATAGACATTTTCCGCATGCCTCTTGGGGGCGGGGCGGGAATGGAGTCTTTGGTCTATATAGTCAAAGTTTATTATTGCTGTAAATGCTTGTAAATGGGATATAACTGGGAAGGAACTTCTTTGGACTAGGCTTTTCTTAGGAATGGTCTACACAATAGCTGGTCCCAGTTTATCCTTGTGTCTCTGTTTTCTTGAGTAGCACTTCTGAGGCTTTTTGGCTTTTGTGGCCTGGTGGCCAAACCCTCTCTTACTTCAGATCCTTGTTCCAGCTCTACCCACGAGATCTGACATGCATCCACACCATGCTTGCCTTTGAGTATATCAGCCAGCTGTGCCAGAACAAGGACTGGGTATTCCCTGCATGTGACCAAAGGCCTGCGGCCGCCGAAGGTGATTGTCCTATCAGGTACTTTCTGGGCATCTCTGGTCAGGGCTGTTCCTGTAGAGCTGGTCAAGATTATAGCCCTGCTTTTTGCTCTAGGTCGTGATGCTGGAAGCGGCTCACGTGTGAATGAGATTCCTTTCCAGTTTGACCTCATGAAGCTACTGCCCAAGTGTCAGCAGATTGAAATGTTCTTTCTGATGCTTACAGGAGGCAAGTTACCTTGGACTCAGGCATTTTTACACACACCACAGCAGGAGGAACATGTTCAGGGGTCAGTCCTGAAACATTCAGTGTTTCTGGAACAGTCAGTAAGAAAGCTGTGGGCCACATATCCCACATTCCTGGGTAGGGAGGTGGATATTCTTGTCTGTCTTAACTTTACGAAGCTGTCAGACCTGCATGTCTGGTGGGTTGAAGGTTTTGTTGGACCAGCAGTAAAAGGATTTACCCATCTTTTTTTTGTCCTGTAGCAGAAGAAGATGGGACCTCGAAGGATTCTTCTTTCTTGCCCAACGAGATGCTTCTTGGCCTGTTTCATGGCTGTCTCCAGCACGACCTCAGTGACAGGGAGATCACGCTGTCAGGCACAGATCACGTAACTTTCATGGAGCAAGTGCTGCAGCGAGAAAGAGATGGCCACCCACCCCCATTTACACTACCATTAGTCCAAGGTAGGAGAAGCACACGCAGCCGTCTCTGCCTGGCTCTGTTCCTCTGATTGCTTTTTACCACCTTGGTTTTCTTTCTGCAGAACCTCCAAAGGCCTCCTTTCCCCCTGAACGTTTGGATCAAACAAACATTTTCCACTCTGCTGGCAACAAAGACACAGCTATTTCTGCAAATGCACACCAGGTACGATAGTTTTTGAGCTCATTCTCAAATGGCCAGGAGTGCTAGAGAACCATGTATGTTTCAGTATTAAAATGTTATCTGTTGGCTGTCTCCCCCTACATAGATCTTTCTTGGGACTTGTCTGGGCTGATTCAACATGTCTTACGACTTATATGAGTGTATTTCAATGTATTTTATCATGTTGTAAGCTGCCCCGAGGTTTCGGCAAGGGGCGGCATAGAAATGTTATAATAATAATAATAATAATGATAATAATAATGATAATAATGAGAAACCTGTTTGACTGCTTGCCTTGTCCCAGACGCTGCATACAGAAGCATGGCTGTCCCCTGACATTCCTTGTCCAAGGAAACACATATTTTTACAAGGGAATCATTCAGCCTTGCTTGGTGCAGCAATTTTGTTTCTGTAGGACATTTTATTTGGGCCTGAGGCATGAATCTCTAAACTTTCTGGGTCTGTGGGAACTAGCACAGATTGACAAGTGTAAGGGTTGGGAAACCAATCTCAAGAAATGTTAAGGGTGCCACTGTGACTTCTCTCTCTTCACTCATGCTCTTCTCATTCCTCTCTCTGTCTTTTCACTATGACCTTTCTTTCCCACTTCTCTTTTGCCCTTGTTCTGGCTCCTCTTCTCTTTTTTCTCCCCCTCTTTCTCCATTTTTCCATTAATTTGCATGAGCTAAGGAAAAGCAGTCTTTATGGACTTGTATAGAAAATCAGCAGGAGTGGAGAAAAGATCACACCCTCCAGCAAATACCAAGTTGCCTCAAGGGTTCTTGGTAGAGGGGTGAGAGCTTACACTTGCCTGCTTCTCACCGCCAGCAATTTCTTCTTATTAGGGGCTTCTTTCCTCCACTTCCACTCCAGTTGTACAAGTAAGTGAAGGAATTGCTTCATTCACTTGAGTAGGAAATGAAATAGCAGGCACCTCAGCCTGGTCCTATGTCTATACTGGTACCTGTCAGTGTTGTTGGATCTAAGGGACTGTGTAAATGAGTGCAGAGAGTAGTCTTCCATTGATAACAAAACGTCTTCTTCCTCTCAGGCTCCAGACAATACAGAGGGGTCAAGAGATGATGCCTCAGCAGCATCTGATGCCTTCTCCCCCCAGTGGAGATGCTATGCCAAACTGGTAAATCCGCAGCATCTTTTCCTCACCTTCTTACCAGCTACATTCCCAGGTAAGGGATTCTCTATATCCAGAAGGGAATTGAATGACTGCTCAAGGAAAGTGATACCACCTGAGCCTTTGCCTTTAAATCATATGAAAATTAGATAGATGTTGTCAGTATTTTGTAGACTAGGCATAGGGCTGTCTGATGAAGAAACAGGACTGAAGCAAGGAAAATGCCACTGGTATAAACTGTGCAGATTGTATCGTTGTGTACAACCATTTGGTTTGCCAAATTTATTGAGTTTTCACCAGGCACCGTCTACACACTTCTCACTCTTTGATCAGTAGTAACTTTGGGGCTTTTTTTAAAGAAAGCAAAAATTTAAACTTCCTATTGCTCCTCTATTTTTATGATTGTTCATGTTTTACTTATTTTGTATTATATTTTATCATCTTATTTTATGGATTGTTGCAAAACGTTGGCTATAGAAAAGTGTGTGTGTGTGTGTGTGAGAGGGAGAGAGAGGGAGAGAGAGAGAGAGATTCTTTCAACTACCACTGGATTCAATTTTTGTGTGTGGTAGAAAAGTTTCAGCATATATATAGCTCTTCCTATGCAGACTCCTGTGCAGTCCATGCACAGACTTGGACACACTAAGGACAGATTAGCAAATAGTTTCTACATGAGATAATTACTTCCTTGTTCTCAGAAATCTGCAGCTGAGAGATTTCCCAGCATTCTTTCTGTGTTGTGCCATGTGCAGTAGTGGGAGAGAGAGAGAGAAAGGAAGGATCATATATACTGGACATGCTGTGACTGTGGCTGTCTTGAACTATGATATTCTCTTCTAGACATACAGAGATTGATGACTTATGGGCCAGATAAACCTTCACAAGATGCAGAGCTGACACCTTCCCAGCAAGCCCAGGAGCTGGAGAGACTGGGGTTGCTTCCAACCGTCAGTGTGACACCAGCCAATGGTATTAGCTTCGCATTGTCTATGCAGCACAACCCCTCCTTTGTGTTTTGGATTTTAGCTTGGAGAAGTGGAGGTAGTATTAACACTCTGGCTGGAGGCATTCATTTGCATATAAATTAGGCCAGGAGTGGATAGAATTCAGGTTTGCAAGACCTACTTTGTTTTTTTTTACCAGAACTCCAAGATCTACCAACTAGAACTTGGTGCCGTTGTTATACACTTACCATTAAATAATTCTGCAGCCATTAATTCAAGTACCCAACTTATGGCATGCATAGAGTTGTCATAAGTTGGAGGCGATGTGACAGCATGTAACAATAACATACTAGGACTGAATGGAGCTCACTCTCCTTCCATGCAGAAATCTGCTAGAAGTTACCCCAAGTTTTCTTCATTTCATCAGTACAATTTAATATGGGGTAGGAGTAGTTTTGCTGCAGCTGCTGTTAAGTAATTAGAAATGAGAGGTCTTTTGCACCACTTGCCACATGATCCTCTTTTATACTGGGGATTCCAGGGACTGAATCCACACAGGAACAGATGGCAGTGGATTCTGGATGAGGAGCTTGTGTTCTGCCCCTGCATGGCTGCAGGGGGCAGCAGAGAACAACCTGCAGCACTGAAGGGAAATAATGTATGACAACTCCATTGCTCTGAGTTGTACATGCTGCGCTATGTGCCATGCCAAGCTCATAGAGCAGGCATAATATTCTTCGCATTTGTGTTACGGGCACAAGAAGCCATTTCCTTTCCCAAGATATATCTCATCTGCAGAAACTGGCCAGGACTCTGGAGATCGAGAAGTTGCACCAAGAAGAGAGAGGTGTATCTCCTTCAGTAACCAGCCATCTCAGCCTGATATGGGGGAGACCTGCCGAGCCCGCTGCCCTGTCTTTGTCTACAGCTGCTCCTTGGAACTCCTGCGGGAGCAGATGATCAGTGCTAGGTCAGATAAGCCTCTGCGGGATATTTTTTTCAGGTGAGGCCAAACTGCTGTTCACAGGACATTCAGCAGCATCTCTGCCTCTAAAAGGGCAAATCTGGGGATTTGAGACAATCACTCTTCATTTCCTTTGAGCTGGGCATGGGCATAAATAAGCCTATAAATAAGCTTTTGCATCGGCCCAGAGTCCCAGCTCCTAGTGAGCTTGTCCAGTGTTCACAGGCTACCTGCCAGGAATTGAGCCCTTTGCACTGTACAAGCAGCACTATTCTTCTGACAATAGTGAGTGGGAAAAAAGTTTGGCTGCTAGGCATGGTGGCTGGGGATGGCTGTTGGTTGCACAACAGGGGTCGGACTTCCTCTTGGTCCTGCTTTGCAGGACCAGGCCAAGCAGGAGAGAAAGTCCGTGGATTCTGGAGGGATGGGTTGTGAAAGGCTGCATCCCAGCTTTAGGCTGAGTGCTAGTGCTGCTGCCAGAACCGAAGAAGGATGAGTGTTATGATGAATGATGGGGGCAATGGATGATGGCCTGCTTGTTCATACTGTTGGGTGCTTCTGCCTTCCAGAAGCCAGTCTGTGGAGCGCCCTACCAGTGCTCCCTGGCTAGATTCCAAGCACAAGGAATTGGTGAGCTACTGCACTTTGCTGCAAGAACATTCCCACCAATGCTATGTAAAAGGTAAGGGTCAAATAGCCTGCTGGGAGAGGTTTGGGGTGGAAAAAGAGGGATGTCATACCTAGTTCTTCTAAACTTGGGATGGTATCTCTTTAAGAGTGCCATTTCTGCCTCTTACCATGTCAGTCTTCCTTGGTGCATCTGTTCGGTTGCCTACTGATTGATTCTCTCCTTCTCTGCAGGGCTGTTCCGGAGCCTACAACAGGGTTACAACATTAGCTGCCCTGACCTGCTCATAGCCATGGATTATTGTGAGGAGCTTTTGCAGGAAATAGACATCACCAGCTTCCTACTTACATTGTGCAATCACGTGCGCTCCTTCTGCGAGCGCCACCAGCACCTGCCCACCAGCATTGGGGGAGAAGTGACGCAAGCCTCCCAAAGGCAGGGAGTGCTTGTCTCCGTTTCCAGGTGGGGTGACATGTTCCTGTATACAGAAAGAACAGAAAGGTTGTACAGAGCACCTTGCAAGGATTTCCTTTGCTTTCTCTGGGTGTATTGAGTTGCTCTCTGCTGTCCTGGAGGACTTTGTCCTAGATCATCTCTTTCCTACACAGTCCTCAAGCATCAGAGGATTTCTAGAGTCCAGCTCTGTACCAAGCAGTATCTCCCTCTGTAACCCCAGAAAGGTGCCAAGTGAGTTGAGGGCCACTCAGTGTGTTTAAGATTTGGAAAGAGGAAGGGGAATGCATATCCGTATTTAATGTTCAAGACAGTAATGACAACATAGGGGCAGGTGGAAAAAGTTTAGAGCGTGGGATCTGCACTGCAAGTGATCTTGACTGGTCACATTTTTGTGGTGGGTTGTAAACAACGAATACTAAAAATGGGACAGAAGAATTATAACAAAAATTTGAAGAAAAAGGTAATTGTTTTCCCAAAAAACAAAAATATTGTTCCCCTAAGTTAGGGGTAGGCAACTTTCAAGTATCCAAGGACTAATTTCTGTCCCCACCTCCAGAAACTACCAGGGGTACAAACAACCTGCTGTGCTTCTGACTTTGCTGTTGAAATTTTGCAGACTATAAGCCTGTATTTTTCTTGTCAAACTTAGCGTAACTGGTGCATCAGCCTTGTTTTAAAGCAAAATCACACTCCCCTGCAGTTTCTAGGAGCATAATTTTGCTTTGCTTTGAGCCAGTCCTTTGCCATGTACTAGGCCAGTGGTGGCGAACCTATGTCACGCGTGCCATAGTGGGAACGCAGAGCCCTCTCTGTCGGCATGCGAGCCAAGTCACCCCAGCATTGCCCCAGCAGCCGAGCATCAGATAACAGCGTACATAGGGGCCATGCACATGCTCGGAAAGGAGTAGTGCTGCCAGGCAATGGCGTCACAAGCCACAACTCGTCCGAGCTTTCACATGGCCGGTCAGTGCACTGCCAAGAATAGCTAGCTAGCTAGCTAGCTGGAAAGATATGCTTGGACTGGCTGTGAGGTGTTTTTTTCTAAACTAAAACCTCAGTTTCCAGGTTTTATTGCAGTGTTAGCACTTTGCGATAAATAAGTGGGTTTTGGGTTGGAGTTTGGGCACTTGGCCTCTAAAAGGTTCACCATCGCTGGGCTAGGGTTAGAAAAATGAGGTGTCCTGGCGTGATTTTGATGGTTGGAATGTGTTTATGATGAAATGATGAGCAGTGTGGAAAAAGCTACTCAAGGAAGGCTTTTTCAAAACTACATTATTTTCAATTGAACTTTAGCCCTATATTAGGGTTAGCGGTGTGCACCAGGGCAGGGTTTGGGTTTCAAAAATGAGGTGTCCTAGCATGGTTTTGATGGTTAGATTGTGTTTACAATACCCAGAAATGATGAGCTGTGCAGAAACAAGGAAGACTTTTTCAAAATCGCCCCTTTCATTGGTATTTTACCCCTATATTAGGGTTCAGGGAGTGCACCAGGGTAGGGTTAGGCCAGTGGTGATGAATCTATGGCACGCATGCCACAGTAAGCACACAGAGCCCTTTCTGTCAGCATGTGACCCAAGTCACCCCAGCATTGCCCCAGCAGCCAAGCATTGGATAACAGTGCACCAAGGGGCCATGCGCATGCTCAGAAAGGAGTAGCGGTGCCAGGCGATGATGTCACAAGCCACGACTCATTAACCGTGACTCGTCCGAGCTTTCGCATGGCCAGTCAGTGCACTGCCAAGGATTTACATACATTTGCTTGGACTGGCTGTGAGGTGTTTTTTCTAATCTAAACCCTCAGTTTTCAGGTTTTATTGTAGTGTTGGCACTTTGTGATAAATAAGTGGGTCTTGGGTCGCAGTTTGGGCACTCGGTCTCTAAAAGGTTCGCCATCACTGGGCTAGGCTGTACAATGCAAGCATCAGTTGCCTCGGGGTTACAGGTAGATGGTAGTTATGACACATGCCTTGTGTTCAACATTCCTGGCTTTTTAGCTTCATTAGTCAACAAAGCCGTGCAACTACAATGGCAATGTCATTTCAGCCCGAAGCTCCATGTCTCTTCTGCTTCTGGCTGCCAGACCTGGAGCTGGAAGTGACATTGCAATATGACTGGGACTGCGTACGTCGTTCTCTTTGTTTTAGAGAGGCAGCTAGCTTGTGGGGTGTATTTTTTGTTTTTTGTTTTTGCTTGTTTTCCAAAATATTTTCGTGGTTGCAACTGACAGTGCTATATCCGAGGTACAGCAAGTAAGCCTTGTCCTCTTCTTGGAGCCTCCAGTTCTAGGATTTTTGCAAATAGACCGTGGCACCAGTGACGGTAATGGAAATGGGAACAGATGAGTGCTGGAGAAGAATCTAGGAGGAAAGAGTAGCACACTGTGCCTTGAAATAGAAAAACGTAAAGAAAGATGATAAAATGCCCAATCCTATGCATGGCTGACTGGGGAATAGGGAAGTTGAGGGATTTTTATGTTTAAGCTTACATTGTGCCCCAAAATGTGCAGTTTTCTTTAAAGCTGCTGTGAACAAGGTGGTTTCTGGTTTATTTCATGCTTGCTCGAATATAGAAAAACAGAAGTAAAGCAAATAGTGAAAATCGAGGATAGGCAGTCTTTGTATCTTGTTATAGTTTGTTTTTGTGCATAAGAAGAACTGGACAGTTCACTTGAATTAAGTACTGAACAAGGCTTGATGTTTGGGGTTTGGATTTTTTAACCCTTCCAATTTTTATATTTAAAACTCTGGGGAGATCAGCGTGATAAACTGTACCAAGTAATAACAGTTGTAGTAAATAAATTATGATTTAGTCACAATATTAGTATTAACAATCTCACAAAGATTACATGTTGGATGCAAAAAAATCACCTTTCTTCATTATCCACATTACTCTTTTAAGCATTTCTTCTTTCTTTTGTCTGCAATTGCCTGAATCAATAAATGCACATTGATTTGAATTTAACAGGATTATCCACTGATCCCCCTCGTAATCTCTTTATAGTATGGAGGCTCTTGAAAAATCAATTGACTAAACTTCTATCAAATTAGTTTTGGGAACATTTTTAGAACCATAGATTAGGCAAAGTTAAGATTCTTTCTAAAAATTGTTACATTTATAGCCTGCCTTTTTTTTTCTCTTGCAAGGAATCTAGAGTTGCTTACTTTGTCTTTCTCTCCATTTTACCCTCCCAACAGCATTGTGTGTAAGTTAAGCTGAGAGTCAATCACTGGGTTCAGCTGGCATTAGACTCTACCATGGCTTGCAAACTGAAAGCCACATTAAGTTTACATGTTGTCTAAACCCAGCATTTCTTCCAAGGGATGATATGTAGGCCCCTGTGGGATGGCTTATAAACAACCCCAGTTGCCCATGGCTTGTTCTAGGGATGAATTAATTCACAGTGACTTTATTGTTTGTCTGAACCCAGACAACAAAATGAATCATAGGCAACCCAACACACTGGAAAGTGACAATGGACGACTAGCCAAGGGACACTGGGTGACTGCCTTCCCTAGCCAGCCCAAGTGCCAAACCAACACTTGGAGACAGCTGGGAAAGGCTTTCTGCTGCACCTGCTGAGAGCCATTTTGCACTGGCTGTGGCTTCCCTACATCTCTCAAAAAACCCTGGAGGATTGTGCATGTCCCCAAAACAGGTTTTCTGCAGGTTCTTGGCTTTTTCCACTGTGCCCTTGCTTTTTTGCAGCACACCCCCAAAACTCCATTTCCAGCTTTAAAACAAACTGAAGAAAATGCTGTGTCAAATTGGAAAGTTGTGCCTCATTTTTGGGGGCTGGGGTGCTGTGAAGCTCCAAGTTGTTCCCTCAGTTTTGCCATTTACCTCATGTTGCTAGCACCTTGGGAGGTAGTAAAACTGGAGGGAATTCCTCATGCCACCGGGTGTGAGGTTGTAATTTAAAAGGATAGGCCTACCTTCCATACAGGGCTTTCCTCAAGTTTTAAAGTGACTTCATGATGCTTTCATTTGGGGGACACCTGAGGCAGTGCACCTCTTACAAGGAAACAGGAGGATCACACTGCAAAAAGTGGAAAACAGTCTCTTTCCATGAAGCACTTTTTTTCTGGAGGTTTGAATGGAGGTTTGCTGTCATGCTTTGACGGGAAGGTTTTGTGCAAACAACTGGGGTTGGCATGGGCACCTATGCCCACCCCTCCAGCCTGTTGAGTATCCACCAATCTGTCCATGTTGCACCAAAGAGACCTAGTCTCAGTGTCATGAAAAAGCCCAGTTCTCTTAGTCCCAGTAAACGATCAATGTTTGTTTGTTTGTTTTGAAAAGAGCCCTTCAATATCGAGCATACCTGATTGTGTTCAGTATTGGACTTGAAAAAAAAAACCCAATGGGCAAACGTACACAGGCTCCCAAGGTATTTCTGGACATCCCAGGGATGGGGGCATCTTCTGTATGAGCTGCAGAATGATTGTGAAAGCAGTCTTTAATCTTGACTTTCACAATTTATTTTTCTTATAAATACAAATTGAAAAAAGTCAGGCTAAGGCCAGTACAGCATGATTCACAATGCTCAGTGCTCAGTCTTGATGCCTCTACAGTGTCCCTGCAATATTGCAGGAAGATTGGATAGAAGCAGGGGGAAAGGGTGATGGAATATAGGGACACGGCTCCCGTTGTGCCTGATCCTTCATCAGGCCCAGGGGAATTTAACCCGCAGTGCATGGGCAAAATTCTCAATGGGGTTCACATGTTAGGAAAATCATCCCAGAGGATTGTAATACCTTATGCTGGTAAACTAAGTTTTGGTCTTGTACTTTTCACCCCTACCTAGATTGAGCAGAACTGATTCAAGCAATATTTTATGCTCTTCTGTTCATTTTCTGAACTGACTATATAATCTTTGAGGCCTGGATTTGTGAACAGAATCATAGATTTTTCTTGAGTTCTGTCCATGGATCCTGCTCACTTCTTCCACTAAAGTATTTGCACACAAAGTAATCCTTCAACCATTTATATTTCTAACTATTCTTTCTTTCTAACCCAGCATGGCACTTGAAATATATGGAATCTAAGGGGAGTATGCCAAGTGCTTCTAACCTAGAAGAGTTAGAAGGTGCTGTAAGAATGGGGGCTGGACCAAGGTGTTGCTTGTTTTTGACTTAAGTATCTTGAACCCCCACTGTAGTGCTGATGCAGAGGATTTTAGTGAACCAGATGCCCCTGTCTCTGCTTGTACTTCCCAAGAGCCTAGCCAGAGCTGTCTGGAGTTCCCCCTCTCCCTGCTAGACAGCAGCCAGCCCTGTCAAGCATATCCTGATTTGCACAGGATTATCCAGGTAAGGGGAAGAGTGCTTCATTGAGGTAAACTGCTTTTATGGTCGAAATATGCTGTCTACATCATATTTTTATCTCTTTCTTCAGGAGAAGTTCTTGGAGATTGGGAGCTTGCATTTTAAGCCAGTACCATCAAACCCTCATTACTACTTCTACTGCCCACCTTCTGCCAAAAAAGAGGTAAGAGGATGTGCTTGTATCTTTGCATCTTATGGGAGCTGGAGAGGCCATCAAGAACTGGAAATGGAAGGATACAGTGCCTATAGTAGGAGTGTGTGAAACTCAAGCGACTTCTTGTCTCTGCTTAGGAGGAGTCCTCACAGGACCATGCAGATAGGAAATGCAGTGAAGATGTAGAGAGCTCTGAAACTGATCTGGCAGCTGATGAAGGTAAAGAACTCTTTCTTGCCTTGCTGAGGAGTCTCCATAACAGTTGGATATTTTAGTGGTGGGATTTCTTTTAATCCTTGGCTAGGCTGGAGAAAGGGTATGTATGATTACACACATATGTGCTTTGGAAGAGTTTTGATGTCTCTTGGAACTAATGCTGCTGGATCACCTTTCCCCCTTAAGGTGAGCAAAGTAGATGTAAGGGAAAATGTGTAAATGATCCTGGCCAGGTACTTTGAGGAAACTGAGGCAGCAGAGTTGCTAGTACTAGGCCCCTTGTACATGCTTCAAAGCATTGGAAGCTGCCTTATACTGACAAAGCCATTTAGCCCAGTCTTGTCAACAGTGACAAGAAGTGACTTTCTGGGGTTTTAGCCAGAAGTTTTTCCAAGAATAAAATCTGCTACCTTCTGCATACAAAACGTGCTCTATCCTTTTGCACAGAGATTCAGTGAACCAAGCTAGTCGTATAGTTAACTTCCAACTTTTCTAGAATTGCTTGTTTCTGTGAACAGGTTCCAAGTTCCTTTCCCTTCTGCTGCTGACACAAGTTGTCATTGGAAAGCACATGGTCCTGTGTTACTTGATTTAGATCAGAGGGCCTGTGGCCCTCCAGAAGTTACTGGACTTCTGTCCCTGTCTATTGGCTATGTTGCCTGGGGCTGATGGGAACTGAAGTCCAAAAAGGCTATATATTCTCCACCTAGATGTAGTTGGAAGATGCCCATGGACGTTAGAATTCAGATCATAATACTTAAGCTGCCCTGAAACAATCAGCTGAGTAGCCCTAATGTCCTTTTTAGCAGCAGAGTAGCTAAAGCTTGACACAAGAACTGAGTAAATAGCTGCCAGAGAATACCAGTGTCATGCAGACCCATAGAGATCTTTGGAAACATACAGCCAGGCAGCCCACTTATTAGCAAGATTGCTTGTACTTCAGATCCAAACAGGAGGTAGGAAAAAGAGAGTGCAGGGTGATCCAGGAAGAAGTTTTAGCAACACTTATTGCTCATTGTATTGCTAGGTATGTAGCTAGCTAGTATTACAGAAAAGTACACGGGTCAGTTTGCCACCTTCAGTAGAAAATGCACATAGATTTTTTTTTAAGAGGTTGTAGTGGATACTGGCCTAAATTTGTAATAAAATCCAGTCCTCTATCGGTGATCATCAATGAGCCAATCCTGCAAATCAATATGCATTTAAAACTATGCCATCTTTGGTTGCAGTATTTTTATTAATAACTGCTACAACCCATGCCCATTTAGTTTGACATTCCTGAAGTAAAAGTGGTTAGTCAGCCATCACGTGCAGTTTAACTTGTATACATGTAGTTGTGTTTAATGTAATCTAATAAAACTGCTTGATATGTTTCCGACAAAATACTCCCACAAGATGTCTCCCTCTCTCTCTACTTTTTTAAAACTGACACCCATTAAAAGAGAGTGTACACTAATTGGCTTCAGGCACTGCAGAAACTCTGCCGGTCAGTAGTGCTGTCCACTTGTACATCTGATCAGGAGGTTCTTCCTGTGAGACCCAAAGCCTAAGGCAACCTGTCTCCTTGCTTTCAGACGGATGATGCAGTTTAGCCCCATCAGGCTAAGTGCTTTGGAGAGGACTGCTGCACTTGACTGCAGCCCCTTCATTCTTTGAAGGCCACTTTTCTCCCACACTTTGAACCTGACCAAAGAATTCTTCTCCGAATAGGGAATGCGTCAGCCTGTGGCATCTGCACTGAGAGTGACCCAGAGCTGGAGGTGGAATATCGGGAGCGGCTGGACCACGAGTTTCTAGAGGCAGGCTCCCCATCAGACTCCAACACTGTCAACCAAGATGAGGACTCTTTCAGTGTGCTGGGAGACTCTCTGGCAGAGCAAGAGCTGATGGAACAGGACATGCCACCCCTCTTTGTGCACCTAACCTGCTCTGTGAAGCTGCGCAGCCAGCACAGCTCCATGCCTGTGCGCTCGCTGCCCACCTGCCTGGGTGAATGGGCATCAATGGACCTGGCAACTGGTCTGGGGGTGGCGAGGCTGCTGGGAATTGCATGCCTGAACCTGCCAGGGGAGGGTTGCTAGGGAAGGCCCCAGGGCTGGGGCCTGGCCTCTACTTGGGCACCTGGCGAAGGGCATAAGCATTCTCTCACCTGAATAATGTCTGTTCCTCTTTTTAGGAGAGGTGCTGGGCTGCCTTGAGAGCTGTAAGGCACTGCATGCCATTGACCTCTCTGACCTCTGTGTGACTCTTGACATTTTTGTCCTGACCCTTCCCCTGGAGATTGAAATGGTGAACGATTTGCATCATAACCGGTGGGGCCCCAGGGTTTATCTCTTTCCTTTATTTCATGCTGCTCTTCCGCCCAAGAGGCTCCCAGACAACTTGCCTAAAATCAGTTAAATGGGACACAACTGTGCAATCTAGAAGGGAAGGGGGAGTATTTTTGGCAGGGTGGTCTGGCGTTGACTGCATTTCCTTCAGTTCAGCCTGCTGGAATGGCTGCTAGTGGTGAAAGCCTGGTTGCCCACTGGGCTGGCTTGGGCTGTGGGCAGGGAAGCCTCAAAGCCCCCTTGGGCTGCAGGATGCAAAAGGGGTTGTCTAGTCTCATGGATGAGTCCAGTCACTCTTTTCTGTGCTTTCTACAGGTATACCTCGGAGAGTAGTGTCTCCTTCACCCGTTCACCAGGGCGGCCCTCCTCCTTCCGCTCAGATGAGGAGCTTATGCACACCTTGGATAGGCTGCCATCCACTGTGGATGATGGGTACTGAGCCACTTTATCACCTTTAGGCTGGGCTACCTTAATGGCCAGTGTGCCTGACCACTGCACTCTTTTGTCTTCTTTTCAAGGCATCCGGCACTTTCCAATCTTCCTGGAGTGCACAGACAAGCTGTTGAAGCCACGATGACAGAAGTGAGTCCATCTGTCCTTGAAATGCGGCTCCTCTAAGACTAGGGGAATAGCTCTTTGGTCTGCATCCTTTCTAGTACCCCATGTCTCAGTCCTGGGGAATGGTATTGGCAAGGGCCAGGCTCAGGCCAAAGGCCCAGCTGGTCCAATATTCAGTTCCCACAGTGGCCAGCAGCAGCTTGTGGAAAACCCACACGCAGGGTCTGAGTGCAAGACCACCTGCCCACCCATGTTGCATAGCAATGGGTGTACATAAGCAGATGCCTTCTGATATATCAAGTCTAATCCAAAGTCATCCAATTTGGTTAGATATTCTGGTAACAAATTCCATTCTTTAACTATGTGCAGTATGAGGGATTCAGCTGTTAAGCAGCAAGGCCTGTGATATGTTTGTGTCTGCACTGATTGAGACTTCACTATCTCAGATCCGCTGGCTCCTGGATGACGAGATTGTGTCAGCATTGAGCCACTCACGCCCAGTCACTGCTGACACTTTGAGCCGGGTGGCAACTCATGTTTATAGTTCTCAAGGTCGTCCAAGCTGCCATTGTGAAGCTGTCCCATTGCAGTTTGTGTTTGGGCCTGAGAGCTCTTTGGAAAGGTTTCGCGAGGTAAGTGAGATTCTGAACTTACCATTTCTTTTGCTACTTCCTCGTACAGCACCTACTGTCTATAGCCATTAAATTTCAGACCCTAAGCAGTATCCCTTGTAACTTATTTTCATCCTGAAGATCTAGGACCTCTGTCCTCATCCATTCTGTTCTGTTGCATACCTATAAAGTCTGCACCTCTGTAAGAATATAAGAATATAAGCCATGCTGGATCAGACCTAAGGCCCACCCAGTCGAGCACTCCATCCCCACAGTGGCAAACCAGCTGCTCACAGGATCCCTCAAGCAGGATGGGTGCAGGGTCTCCTCCTGCCCAAGTTCCTCAGCAAGTGGTGTATGCAGGCACGCCATCTCTGCTAAAGGAGGTAGCACATAGCCAGCAAGGCTAGTAGCCACTGGATGGCCTCCTCCCTCATGAATCTGTTTAATCTCTTTTTAAAGCCATGCAGAGTGGTGCCCATCACCACTTCCCATGGGAGCAAATTCCATAGCTTAACTATATGCTGTGTGAAGAAGTATTTCCTTTAATCTGTCCTAACCCTCCCACCAATCAGCTTCATGGGATGATCCCTGGTTTGAGTGTTATGGGATAGGGAGAAAAATCCGTCCCTCTCCACACCAAAACATTTAAAACATTATTTTAAACTCCTTTATCGTGTCCTCTCAGTTGTAGCTGCTCCTCATAGTGGACTTGTTCCAGCCTCTTATTTGCATTGCCCTGTGTACTTTTACCCTCTGTACTTCTCCAGCCCTTTGCTTGCTCCTCGCCACTGAGGCACCATTGTTCTCCTTGCAGGAGTTCCAAAGAATCACCCTCCCTGGCTACGTGCTCAATGCTGAGGGGAATGATTTCTACTATGTTTCCATTAGTCGCCTGCATGGCCCACTCAGCGGGCCCAGTCCTACAGTCACTCTTGAGGCTGTGACAGGAGGCAGGTGTGAAAGCAGCAGCAAAACAGAAGGCTCCCTGCTGTGTTCAACGCCCCCCGAGGATGCCCATGGTCTCTGGACATGGCCAGCAAGTGAGAACAAGGCTGGGCTAGAGTCAGGAGAATTTCTGGACTTAAGCGGCCATGTGCATGATGAGGTAGGTGGCTCGAGCCATTTGAGACACATCATTAGTTCTAGAGTTCCAAGGATGGTGGCTGGGAAGGGGACTTCCAGGGTTGCCTTGTGCTTTGGAAGTGAGCTCTACTACCTCTTTGCTATGATGCAGGTGCTGGTTGAGGTTCCACCACTGGATCAGGTGAGTGCTTTGGAGCATGGTTCCCCAGATGACGAAGCTACTTCTGCCCAGCCACAAGATTCATCTTGCTCTTTAGAGAAGCGGAACAGTGAGAAATGTCTCTCGGCAGCACCATCTGTAGCCAGCTTGGCAGACTCTGTGACCCCTGGCAGGGAAGGTGAGAAGCCATCTCCTGCTGAATGTTTGTAGGACTCAAGTGATGAGAGATGCTACAATTCCTGTCCTATTAGACATCATGGCAGCCTTTTACAACCTTCCATCCTCAGATGATGTTGGACTACAAACCCATCAGCCCTGACAATTAGCCCTATGGTTATAAGAATTATAGTTCAACACGGGCTGGGACGTTGTTGGGAAAGGCTGTTTTAGACTAACGCTCTTTTATGTAAGGCTGTTTTATGTTGTATTTACTGAATGATTACTGTAAGCCGTCCAGAGACATGCGGTAATTGGACTGGTTAGAAATACCCAAATAAATAAATAACCCCATATCACTTGTTACCACCTTGGTTGGAATACATGAGAGAGGAAAATAGGAGGTAATAGTCTTGTATCTGGAACCATGTAATGCACTTCTACATTTCATATGAACCAGACCTGTTTCTTTCCCTCACCCCTCTTCCTTTCACCCCAAGAGACTTGGGGGTATCTTTTGCAAGGTGGGGAAGAGATTTGGCGTACTTCTCTAGGTTGTCACCAAATTATTTTTGCTTTCATACTTTTTCCCCATGTTGTTTCTATGACAACAATGGTAATAAACATATGTGGACCACTTCACGAGAAGCATATTTTGTGGTATTACGTAAAACCAGTCTCAAATAGAACAAGAATTAGTTCCTGAGAGTACCTATAGTTCAAAAGTTTCAATGTTCAAAACTTATGCAACTGTAATAAAGTCACAGAACTGATGTCATTTTCAAAGAATATATTCCTAAATACATTCCCAAAAGAATCTAAAGATCTTGAGATGAGCAGCACCCAGCGTCATGAAGGAACAAATGTTTCCAGCTGTCCATGGGAACCTGCAGGTGATAGGCAGCCAAGAGGGCTTCTCAGCCTAATACTGAAAGCTGTAGAATGGCAGGTTATATTTACTGAAACATAAGCCAATATAGGAAGTGAAATATAATTTGCTCATATTTTTATAAAGAATCTGTCTCTGAATTTGGCTGTTCTAAAATTAAGTGGCTAGCTTTTGGGCCCCTAATTTGAACATTTGTAGCCTTTTGGTGCTTCATTTCTGCTTTATGCTCAGTTACCTTCAGAAGATCCTTTCCCAGTTGTGAATTAGTATGGGCATGGGGGAAGTTGTAAGGCTGTTAAGTGTGTTTGTAAGAGTGGTGTGTGTGATTTTATTTCCCCTCTATGAGGGGTTGGTCTAGTTTCTGTTTTGTACAGGTAGATCAGTCTCTCTGGAATGGAAGTATTACACTGAAAGTGAAAGCATTTTTGTCTGTTTTCCTTAATTCTCAAATTCCTTCCTGATCTTAAAAACTATTCAGTTTCACCTATTGCATTCTTCTTGAGAGTGTGTTTGATACCTTCATGACATACACCGTCTGTTACTGCTATATTTGCATGTCATGTATTGCTCTCTAATATTTAAATTGTTTGGGGGATTGATTGAACCAAAATATGCTATGCCACATTTAAAACTGTGATTTAAAGCTGGCTTTTTTACCCCAGCCCTGGCTTGTAACAGCAAAGGTTTCTCCTCACTCTTTCCCTTCTAGGGGAGTTTGTGCTTTCTTCATAGCTCTGCTCCAGTATTGATTTTTCTGTAATCCATATCACTTTAGTGCTGTTGGGCTCATGAGATTGTAAAGCTCTGAAAGGCTACCACATATCTTAAAGGGTTTTTTATGAAGTCAATCCTGCTTAGTTTTTGTTATCAAACAAACCATGCAGCAGCTAGGGGTTTAGAACAAAACAAAACAGCATTCCACTTGGTGTCAAGTCGACATCCTTTTCTTTCCAGGCTAGTTTCCAAATGCCTGGGCTGCAGCTCTCCAGTTGAAGGGTTTGCGAAGGATCTCTGGTTTATTAGAATTAACTGAGGTCCCTAGAGACCTGACAGGGACCTCACTAGGGTTTCTGTCCTTTATTTTTTCTTACAGGCTGTGGGAAGCCACGCCCCGGTCGGGTGCAGAGCTTGGTGTCAAGCCAAGGTAGCGTGGATTCTGATCTTCTAGGTGAGTGGATGAGTTAGCCCCTCTTTGTGTGAAAAAGAAGAGAAAAATCAGGGGGATGTTGTCCTTGCACAGGTTTATTTTGATGAAGGCTGGGACACTGGACATGGGGCTGCATGGGAACATCCAGACCTTCCAAGAGCCTCTTATTGCACTCTGCCTCCTGTCCAGGGTGGATTGGTTTAGCCACTCACAGAGCATGGGGGGCATTGCAATTTTTCAGGGTATGATGGTGGCAGCAGTGATTCTGAATGTGAGGAGGCAGTGATGAGTGACCTGGAATCCAAGTGTCCCCTCATGCCTGACTTTTGGCTGATCATAAAGATCCATCAGGACCGGGTGGAAGTTTATTCACACACACGGTAACACCTCCTTTCCTATGGCCCCTGGCAGCAGTTTTGACTCCCAGAACAGTGACTATAGCTTTTCCCCAGAGTTGTGAGCCTTCTTTCCAATTTTCCTGACCTTAGCTTAGAGTTGTAACTGGCTTTTGAGTTCTCCTGACATTACTTGTATTCTGTCCTACTCTTTCCAGCACTGGGCTGGCTGGGTTGTGCCAGTGACAGTTTAGTGCTCTATCTGAAAAAGAGCAAAGAAGTTATATCCCTGAACAAAGTTGAGGTCCGGCCAGCCATAGATCCCAGCTCCTCCCCAAGGCTAGTACATTTTAGCACCTGTCTGTGCTGTGATCCCCCCCCCCCCCGCATCCCTGGTTTTTTCTTGTTCAGTTAGCCCAGCAACAGGGAAGGGTATCATCCATATAGCCTGTTGCTCTAAGAAATGGGAGCTCCCCCAAGAACACTTCTGAGTCCTCTCCCTTTCCTGTGTAACCAGCAGCAGCCTGAGTGCAGTGAAAGCGACACAGAATGAGGATGGGGAATGTGTGCATCTTCATCACACTGTGGTGAAGAAAGTTAGTGAGATCTGCCGCATCGTTAACCAGGTAAGTAGGGCATTCTGAAGCTATCATTGTTGTCCCTTAGATGGCAGGAATATCTCCCTAATAGTTCCCAGTGGGAACTCTGCAAGCTCATAAATGTAATTCTGAATTATGCAGATAATGAGTACATTAAAAAAGCAATAACACTGGTCACTAGAAACACTAGGATTATCTCCCAGATCTTTTCTAACCTTAGGATCTTTAAATGGATATATTATTTTTTTAAAGTGTGTAGATATATCTTTTTGCTTGAATCATAAGGATTGGGAAGTCAATATTTTAAAGAAAAAGTTAGCGTTTCCAGGTGCTGGATAAATATACCAGATTCTGTAAATACTTGCAAAATGTATGATTACAAGCATGCAGGAAATACACCGTCCTTGAATATAAGGCGGGTACCAACTCCTAGTTCTGCAGTCAGTTCATGGTAATTACTAACACAAGAGAAAAATCTGTGGCTATGACTACATGGTGCAAGTCAGCATTAAGCATTTCTTTGCTCTGTCCTTCCTGTGTCTGCAGCGGTTATTGCTACAAGACCTGCATGACAGCCACATTTGCAATTCTCTGTTGGTTGCTGAAAGTGAGGAAGATATTTGGAAAACTGAGACACCTTTCACCTACCGGCAGCGCATGGGACCGGATGGTAGGAACTGGAAAAATTGACCCTCTTCAGTTACCCTACTTGTGGTAGACACACAACCTTCTTACTAAACAAAGAAAGAGATTCCTTTCCCCTTTTCCCCTTTTGATGACCTGTGGTATCTTGAACAGAGAATCTAATTCACTAGAGTCCTTTGCCGGTATTGTACTGCTATAGATTTCAGCACTGGACAAATGGGTTTTCTGTTTCAGCTACCTTGGAGGTATGCATTTGCTTTTTACTCTTGTAAAAAGTACTCTTGTAAAATGCATATTCCTGTGGGAGAAAAGTGTGTATGTGTGTGTGGGGGGGTGTTTAGAAGGACTAGCTGATGGTCAGCTCTCGAGAGCTGGCTTGCTGAATAGCCTTCTCCCCTGTGCAGACTATCCAGGAGAGGAGAGCTATCAGCCCCGTGACTATCTTGCTGCCACGATGCAGTTCATCCCTGGACACTTTGCCTGCGATGCAGTTTGGAGCACCACCATCCATGTCCATTCACGGCTCAAGATGGGTCCCAACATGGGTGTTGCACGTGGTAAGTATCTGGATGTAAAGAGTATTTGCAGGTAGGTTTATAGGGTTCCCACATGGTGTGTGCTAGTGCCCTCTTAGATCCAGCTGGTGGATGGAACCAATTAAGGTTTAGGATTGGAGCTAATGATAGGTTAAGTAGCAAAGGATGGAATTTAATTAAAATTAAAAAATGATGTGAGGAGGGTCTTAAGTTAGGATACAGACTAAGCAGTGTTGCGCCATGGCAGAAAGTGTGGGCTACAAGTACAAGAATTATTGCTAGTATGTCATTACTTTTATATCCCACCCTTTTCCTCTTGCAAGGAACTCAGGATTGCCTATATAGTTCTTCTCTAACCCATTTTATCCTCACAACAACTTCTTTGTGTCAAGTAGGGTAGGCTGAGAGTGAATTATTGACCCAAAATGAACTTCAGAGCTAAGCAGGAACTATAACCAGGATCTCCTGGTTTCTCAGCCCAGAACTCTAACACCAACACCATTCTGGATGATGACAATAGGGAAGATTAGCCAGAAAGCTAAACTCATGTAATCAAAAACAATAAGAGAATTTTTTAAGAGGGAACTTCCCTGATGGGATGAAATCCTGTTAGTATGAAAATCTGAGAATTCATTAGAAATTTGAGTGGGTGTTCATCTCTACAATGTCAAAAAACCCTGTATTTTTCTTTTAAAAACTTCTGTTAAGAAATCACATGCATTTAAAACCAACCAACCAACCAAACAAACCCAAGGAAATCCCAGTATAGGTTACCTACCATCTACAAGAAGCCCATATTTGAAATAATTATATAGCAGTTCCCTGATCAAGAATAGCTTGGTTTGAAATGCATGGAGTTAGAGACACTCAGTAGCTATTATTAACATCCTTACAATCACACACACACATTTAAAGTGTGTATGGCAGTAATGGGAAGTGCAGTCATTATGAAGACAGGCTGGATGAATATACTGGACATAACATGAATGGGAGAGAAGTGATGTCTTGATGTTTAAAGACAGCAGTGGGTTGAATGTCTGACATTGGGCTAAATATTCCATTTGGGAATCACCCCTCCACCTTCCCTCTCCCTCTTGCAGCCATCCAAGCTTTGCGCTCTGTGCTCAATGCCTTCTCAGTGGTTAACAGAAAGAATATGTTTGTCTACCAGGAGCGTTCAACCAAATCTGTTTTCTACTTACGGTAAGTTCCCAACACCCTCACACAGCCTTCATTGTCGTTGCTCAAAGTTTATCCATGTTGCTGTTTCTCAAATCCACCCCACCAGCAGAAGAGCCAGCTTGCACTATGGCCCCTTCGTTTCCTCTGCTGCCCTCTCTCTTCTGCTTTTTGCCTAGCCTGAGAGCAGCCACGATGGAGCAAACCAAAGGAGTGTCTGCTCACATAAACAGGACAACTCAAGTGCAGTTATCTCCTTCTGCTTGTGCTCCCAGCAGTTGGCGTAGAGAGGCACGCTGCCCCTGAAGCTGGAGGCCACAGATGGCCATCATGACTGATAGGTCTTGATCACCTTGACTTACCCTCTCCTCTTTGTCACTGCTGCAGACTCTCTGAAACCACCTCTGGTGGGAAAGGCAGGGAAGGTGAAATCCAGAGCCTTGCATGTCGTTCGTTGGCACTTTCACGCAGCCAGGAGCCCATCTACATCGAGGACCTGAGCGTGAGTGTCTCTTTCCCTCTAAAGAGAACACCGCACCCTTACATCTCTGTGTGTGGGAGAGATGCACCCCGCATGAGCTCTGCTTACTTTCTAGGAAGACTTGTGTGACTTTGTATCTTCTCAGGCTTCTTTGGATCTTCTTGATAGGGCTCTCGCTCATCCCTGGAGACAGCCTCTTGCCGCAGTGTGGATTCAGCTCGGCCCGTGAGCCAGGTGGACAGGCACATCCAGCTAGTGGTTCATGGAGTGGCACAGGCAGGTAGGCAACACACTCAATCAGTGTAGTATCAGAGGAAGCAGAAAGGAATGTGGTTGGAGAGACATGCAGGGACCAGCAAGGTACCTGTCCCCTCTGGTATGGGAAGGTAAGACAGACACTTCAACTAGTAACTATGGCCCTTAAGATGGGGCTAAGTGTTGCCCCTTGAACTTCCATCCCCCTGAGCTACACCCCTCTGGATGTTGAAGATGGTAGGGGCAGGGGAGACACCAAGCAAAAAAGCAAGATGGCATCTAGGCTTCCTACAGAGCACCCAAAGGATCAGACTTAGCTTGCAGACAGACAATGCTCAATTTGATCCTTTTGGAATGTCATAGCAGTTCCAGGCACCATTGTATTTGCAAGAAAAATCTTATGAAACAAATTTTGGGGAATTCCTCTGAATTTTGTGTGGTGGCTGGGGTCACCGTGGCCAGTGGGGACCACATGTTGCCCACTGCTGCCTTAATTTCTTAAACCTTCTGCATTCTGTGGTGGGGACAGGATTGAGGAAGCAGCCTTTTTCTTTGTTACCATTCTTTAGTCCATCATCAGCCTTCTTGGAAACTCTGTATATAAGTTACTAATACCATCTTTACGATTTTCCAATGGAGTTCTGGCTTTTGCCGTAGACATATGCCACAGCCATTCATGGGAAGCCAACCCCAGGCCATGCTCTTGTGACTCAAATTCACTCTAAAACACACACAGACGCGCGCACACACATGTTCTTAAACAGCAAGTAATGCAGGAGTCGCAAAACCAAAAATGAAAGATGAAAGCCTTGGATGAGGTTGGGAGACGGCTAGAGCATAGGTGAAGGAGATCACGGTATGAATCTGACCGAACACACTTAAGAGCCCACTATCGGGCCTATGCTGTGGCGGTGAGAGTGGCAAAGAAGAAATTTTTCACTGCTTCCATTGCCTCCTCACAATGCCGTCCAGCGGAGCTCTTTTGGGTGGTGCAGGGGCTGGTACATCCGGGCCCAAAGAGAGATCCCGTGCCACCCCCAAAGGCCCGCTGTAATGACTTTGCCACACATTTCAGGGAGAAAATCGCTCAGATTCGTCACGAGCTTGACTCTACTATTGAATCATACTCTACTGGGGAGGTGCCAATGATGCCGTCGAGTCCACAATTAATGGATGAATTTCAGTTGCTGTGGCCTGATGATGTGGACAAGGTGCTTGGACAAGTACGTCCTACCACCTGCTTACTAGACCCTTGCCCATCTTGGCTACTCAAGAAAGCCAAGGACGGGATTGGGACCTGGATCCTGGAGGTGGTCAATGCCTCTTTAAGAGACGGCAGGGTACCTGCCCCTTTAAAGGAGGCGCTAGTCTGGCCAGTCCTGAAGAAGGCATCCCTGAATACAGGGGTGGCCGCCAATTATAGACCGGTGGCCAACATCCCATTCTTGGAAAAGGTGCTAGAGTTGGTGGTGGCGGGACAACTCCAGGCACTCTTGGATGAAACTGATTATCTGGACCCATTTCAGTCCGGCTTCAGACCTGGGTACGGTACTGAATCTGCCTTGGTCGCCCTGTATGATGACCTGTGCAGGGAGAAAGATAGGGGGAGTGCGTCTCTGTTAGTTCTCCTGGACCTCTCAGCGGCTTTCGATACCATCGACCATGGTATCCTTCTGGATAGGCTAGCGGGATTGGGAATTGGAGGCACCGCGTTGCGGTGGTTCCACTCCTATCTCAACGGCCGATTCCAGAAGGTGGTGCTGGGGGACTATGGCTCTGCGCCATGGCAGTTATGCCATGGAGTTCCGCAGGGGTCCATTTTGTCCCCTTTGCTATTTTTAACATCTACATGAAACCTCTGGGAGAGGTCATCAGGAGGTATGGACTGCGGAATCATCAGTACGCTGATGATAGCCAGCTCTACCTCTCGATTTCCACCAATCCAGGTGAGGCAGTGGCTGTACTGAACAGGTGCCTGGCCGAGGTAATGGGCTGGATGAGGGCCAATAAACTGAAGCTCAATCCAGACAAGACAGAGGTCCTGTTGGTGTGTGGATTGGGCTTCGGGATGGGGGACTTGGGCCTTGTCCTAAATGGGGTAGCACTCCCTCTGAAGGACAGGGTTCGCAGCTTGGGAGTGCTCCTCGATCCTGAGCTGTCTCGAGAAGCTCAGGTGACGGTGGTGGCGAGGAGCGCCTTCCTTCAGCTTCGGCTGATCCATCAGCTGCGTCCCTTCCTGGAGAACGACTGCCTGGCGACAGTGACACACGCATTGGTAACTTCCCAATTAGATTTCTGTAACGCACTCTACGTGGGGCTACCCTTGAAGACGGTCCAGATACTTCAATTGGTGCAGAATAATGCTGCCAGGTTGCTGACAGGGACTGGGCATTGTTCTCATATAACCCCAGTTCTCCATCAGCTTCACTGGCTCCCGAATGAAGTCCAGACCCAATTCAAGGTGTTGGTTAGCACCTATAAAGCCCTCAACGGCTTGGGACCTGGTTATCTAAAGGAACGCTTGCGTCTATATATGCCCTCCCGCCCCTTGAGATCGGCAACAGATGCCCTTCTCCGGGAACCCTCCATGAATGAGATTAGGAGGGTGAGTACCCGGAGGAGAGCTTTCTTTGCGGTGGCGCCCCACCTATGGAATGCGCTCCCCAGAGAGGTCCACCTCGCGCCGTTGTTATTTGTTTTTCGGCGCCAGGCTAAGACCTTTTTATTTAAATCTTATTTTAATTGTTAATTTATTATGTATTTATAGGATTTTAAATTTTTAGCCGAGATGTTACTGGGCTTTTAAATCTTTATTGTATTTAGTGTTATTTATGTGTTTTCAATTATGTTGTGAGCTGCCCCGAGGCTTTGTTGCGATGGGGGCGGCATAGAAATGTTTTAAATAAATAAAGAGAGAGAGAGAGAGAGAGAGAGAGAGAGAGAGAGAGAGAGAGAGAGAGAGAGAGAGAGAGAGATTGAGGAGGGAGTGAGGGGATGGTGAGCAGAGCTTCAAAAGCCATTTCCTGGAGTTGGACTATGAAGCACATGCAAGAGGGATGCATGGACTGTCCTGCAAGAGGACGCACACCTGTGGCTCAGCATATTTAGGAGGCAATAAGATTTCTCACTGCAGTCTTTCTGCTCATGCAGGACCTGAGATCACAGATGAGCTAGTGAAGGTTCTGCGCAGGCGCCTGGATGAGGCTACCTTGGATATCATCACAGTTATGCTCGTAAGGAACTGCAAGCTCACCCCGGCTGATGTGGAGGTAACGGCTGTACTTTGCCCTTAGTCCAGTCTGTTCTTTTCCCCAGACAAACTTTTGATTTCTTGGCTTAGATCTCCTGGTTTCTGGGCTGTTGCATGCTCATGTTGTCAGAGAGTGACCTGCTTTTCTCCCTGCAGTTCATACAGCCTCCCGGCAGCCCACCCACTGAAGTGCTGCAGTTTGCTCTACCCAAAGCCTGCCTGCCCTGGCTCCCAGCTGTGGCCTGCTATCTCCGCCAGAACTTGTTGATCTTTCTGCACACACCGAAGTACACGGATAGCAATGTGGAGAACCACTTCAAGGTGAGTGGTTGCCTGTGCTCAGTGCTGTTCAGTTGTTGGAGCCACTTCAGCATTCATCCTTCTCGAGTACTGAGGGAATTTATCCAATGAATGAGGAGGTGAATATCTGGGAGTGTCATATTACTTTGATTCTAGCCATTGAAAGCCAATTATGTAGAGGATTTTTAAATGGTTAACAGCACATGCTTGCTCTACTGTTATGGCAGCCTTTTATTGGATTGGGAGAAAAGTCCAAGCCTAACTTTTTTTTCCAGAAATGCTCCAATTTCATATATTTATTACTCACTGTATTTTATGCCCCACAACCTTTGTTCTTAAAAGCCTCCTGAGGCTACTGTCCAGTTTGATGAGTGGACGTATCCCAACCTTAGTCTGATTAACAGTTTTTGCCCTGCTTTTCAGCACTATTTCCATCAGAGCAGTAGCAGCCCTGACCTGGATCTCTACCTGTACAACAAGCCCGGAGGCCAGGGCACTGGTGGCAAAGGTAACCAGCTTCACTGTGTTCTACTGCCTATTCCTAAGGATGGAGAGAGCCTTGGGCATCCTTTCTAGGGACAGGAGCAACCTGGGGCATGTGTATGGTTAAGTGGGGCACCCAGGAACCAGCAGATGCTGGATTGATGTGAGCCAAACCACTATGGCATGTGTGACTGGTAGTGCTGTGACCGGAGCAGTGTGTGAGTTTTCCCCCAGAAGACCTTACAAGTTGTGCGGTGATGATGGCTGCTGCCCAGTGCTGATCACACATTTATTGGAACTAATCCATAGTGGGGTGGGCTGGAATGGAATGACCTGTAGGTGGGGCACTTGGTGGTTGAACAGAGAGGCAGGGTTTGAACATGTTCTGTGTAGTCCATGGACTGATAGAAACTTGTCACCATCTGATACAACTGATTGTGGCTGTTTTGTGTTATTTCTTCGTGTGTGTTATCTCTGTGCATCCTGTCATCTACTTGCCTCCCTTTCCACCTGCACTGTGGTCTGGTTGTGTAGGTAGCACACCACCTCAAAGTATGTCTGAACCTTCTTCTATCATGTAGGTTCCATGCTGGATCTCGTGCAGCACCTGTTTCCACCTTCCCAGTTCCAAGGTAGTTTCCTGCAGATTCCAGTGATCCACTGACCTTTTCCAGTGCTGCTCCCATCCTCATCCTGATCTTGTGCCCGCTGTGGTTTTGGCTTCTGCTCTTGATGTCTACTGTATTGCCCACATTTCCTCTCCTTTTTCTGCCACCAGTGCTTTTCCGGAAAATCTTTCCCAGCCATCAGCCTTTGTCCTGGCCCCAAAGAAGGCCCCCACCAAAGTTGTTCGGGAATTGATTGTTGCTTAAGTTAAATAATTTGCAATCAGTATAGGAATTCATGGCTGTGTATTTGTTGTTAGATTTGGGATGGAGAGCAGAAGGTTTGTCAGACCTGTCTAAGTCATGAAGAAAAATGGTCATTTTTTGTTAATTTCTGAAATGATACATTTGCAAGTGATATATGTCCTTATTCATTTTTGACATCAGTATAAGGAACTAATCTCCTTTCTAGTTCTTTTATTTCTGTGTTTATAAAATTGCAGTGTGTGCAAACCTCTGTAGTTGTCTGCTTAGAAAAAATTGTGGGAACAAAGAATGTATGAAGCAATATGTTTTGATGCTTCATTTTGAGGATCAGGGTTGGTAAAGGTTTTGCTCTCATCCAATGCTGGAGTTTAGAAAAGAGTTACTGTCATTGCTGGTGACAGACTGAGATTTCTGGTCCTGTTGAACATTTGGGGATTTACACTGAATTTGCTTTTAGTACATTTGCTTTTAGTACATTTAGGGAACAGAACTTGCTTTTAGTAATTTGCTAAGTTTCTCAGCAGGCAGAGCTTGTTCCCTATGAAAATGGCCAAGTAAAGGCCATGTTTGGGATCAAGTAGGAATTTTTCTTGAGAGAAGGACAATTGCCTTTTTAGGGAGGTTCTCTGCTGGCTGAGGTAAAGCTGCCTGGAGTTATTTAGGCAGGTGAATGTTGTGATGACCTGGTCCCTTCCAGCCTTAGGATTCTACGACTGATAGCTGCCATTGGTAGCTATTCCCTCGCTCTCATCTGGCTGCTGAGTCAGAGTTCCTCAGGGTGCCTTCCAAAGTCTTTAGACTTCAACTTCCATCATACCCAGCCCTCAAGGCCAAAGGTCAGGAAAGCTGGAAGATGTCATCTGGAGCATCTGGAGGACATCAGGTTGGGGAACAAGGTAATGCTGGGCACACTTGAGCTCAGGCAGTGTCTGAAGTCAGAGTTTATGGACAGCAAAGGGGCTTGCTGAGGTTTGCACGTGCCTGGAGTAGGCTTCCTTTCTTTTCTCCAGGCTTAATCCGGCAAGTGTTCCCTTCCCTCCCATGCAACACCTGCATCAGCAGGAGAAGAGCAGATAGCAGCCTCGGACCATAACTTTGCTGATGCAATAGCCACCTGCTTAAGGGAAGAGTCTGACTAGCTTCATGTACACAACCCATTGTGGGTTGGTTCCATTATGGGTTGTTGTGCTTTGTGAATCAGGAACATTTTCCCCAGGGTGGTTTCTTCATGGGCAGCAAGTTGCCCCAGTAATCCATTGGCTGCTGTGGGACTCACCATGGATTTTCATGTTGTTTAAACCTAGATGACTGACCCTATTGTGGGTACAGGGAATTGACTACGAAGTATCTTTTCTGTCCTTTCCATGGAAGGTCCAGGTAATCCTCAGGGCCAGCTGATTGCAAAATACGCAGGTGGTACTTGGGGTCAGGTGGCACTGGCTTTTAGCGAGTGCCAGTGGCATATGTTTTTAAAAGTTATTTTGTGGCAATTTTAATTTTTTTTTTTTTTGGACCCAGAAAGTTATGCAAATACTTGTAGAAAAATATTTTAAAAACCATTTTACCCATACATGTAGTTGCAGAGGGGCAGGGATGGGGAGCCTTGGGTGGGTGAACTGCAGGGGAGGGTACCTGCTTGCACCATCCAGCAAGTACCCATGCTGCCCCTCAGAGGTAGAAGGTAAGTTCCCCCACAATCTGGTTACATTCAGAGTGTGAGCTGTCAGGTGTAACTAAAAGTGTGGATGATCTTTGCTCACATAAAGGGGGCAGCAGTTCATTCACTCCATTTGCAGCAAGATCCTTGGGTTTATAGTGAGCTGATGTGTTCCCAAGTGTGCCTTGGCTTTTGGCTTGTTCCCAAGATTCTAGCACCTCAAGAACATGTAAAAGTGCAAGCAGCCCCATTTGCAGGCTTAATGAACTTTGACAGCAGTTAAGGTTAAAGCTCATTTTCTTTAGTGGCATTTAGAAAAGGGTTTTGGTAGGAAAGATGCTTTGTCCCCAGGGATGTCCATGCAAGCAGGGAAGAGGTGGCCAGCAACCTGTAGTGAACCTCCTTGTCAAGTTCACATGACAGCCAACCCACCCTGGCCTACAGCCAGGGTGCGTTGGTGTGACATGCAAAGATGCCCACTCTCTACTTCTGTTTACAGCTGGTGTCTGTTCCTAATTAGATGCTAGAATTCTGTTAGAGGGCAGCTGATGCTGTTTTGAGTTGAATCCTTGCACATCTCCTTATCAGGGTTGCCATGAAGATGGCAACAAAAGTTTGTGCCTGCACAGTATGATCCTTGTTTCTTGCTATGCCAATGTGGCATACTGGCAGTCAGGAGAAACAGAAGAATGCAAGTGGTGTCTCCTCTTTAATTCAGATAATGTGATCCCCCCAATTCCAGAAGGACTCCTTGGACTTGTCTCTCTGCACTGCAGCACAAGCTGGAACCTGCGCTTGGCACAGTGCAGGCACTGAGCTGCTTACCTGCTTGCTGGTGTGCTACTCTTTTCTGGACTAGGGAATGATATCCAGAGAGAGGGGCAGTTTTCTGTCTCCTTGATGCTTTTGCTGGTTGGGCTTTGCTGACTCTGTGATGATGCCCCCCTTCCTGCAGGTGAAAGCTTGCCGCCCACTCCTAGTGGATAAAGGTCTCTTATTTCCCCATGTGCGTGCTGGCTTCCTTAGCTCTTGGTTTCCACTCCTTCCTGCCCTTGATCATATTTCTGCATAGATTTTTTTTCACCTCCCTGAGTTGCATCCCAAGGATGGCTGTGTGTATCTGTAACAAGCACCCAAGGCTGTGGTCTCCTTAGCAGGTTGGCATTCATGGAGGACTGGGGTCTTTGAGATTAGAGCAAAGGTTTTTCGCTTCCCTTGCAGGCATTGCGTGCATTGCCCTGTCCTTTGTGGATGACTGTGGAAATCCTCTCTCATTGACTCGCTGGGTGAGGCCACCCACTGCCCTGATGAGCACATCATTTCTTCAGGAAGCAGATTTTGCGAGCTTGACTGCTGTCAGCAAGTACCAGGCTGAACCTGGCACATCACAGCCAGGTGGGAAGGCAGGACTTCTATCTGTTCTCCAGGACTGATGGCAAATTATGGGCAGAGAAAGGCTCTGCATATCTGGGCACTTAGGTGGCCGCTGGTGTTAACTTGGGAGTGGACGGTGTTGCCCCTGCCTTTTCAAAGGGACTTCCTCATGATGCTGACTTTTTCTTGCAGCCCTCTGCCCTCTGGTACGCCTTGATATCTGGGAGAAGGGGAACATCAGCCTGCTGCAGCTTTCTGAGAGGCTGCACAGTGCTCTGCGCCATGCCCTCTGTGATGCCCTCATGGAATTCCATGTGCTGCCCAATCCATTGTGTCTTGAGCCATCATCCACCGAGCTAGAGGATCCCGGGAATATTGGTAAGAGGCTGTTATGGCTTTGGCACAATTCCAGCTTCTGAGCCTCTAGTCATAGAATCGGTGGAAGTCTGTGATGGCCTGCAGGTGATTGCTTCATAGGAACAGCCTCCTACCAAGACAAATCGTTAATCCATTTGGTTCAGTACTGTCTACACATGGACCAGGAATACCCTTTCCCCCCCATGCCTACTTAAATATGTCAGGGATGGAACCTGGGACCTTCTCCATGGGAAGCACATGCTTTGCTGCTGAGCTGAGGCCCCTTGCCAAAAGCACAGAGGCATTGTTGCCTTTTGTGAAGTCCCAACTTGACACATGAAGCAAAAAATATCCCACTGGGGTCAGTGCAGCCTCCAATACAGCAAGAACCATGTTGCTTCAGATTTGTGTAAGCAAGGAGGCAGAAGGCAGCTGCAGCAATGGAAGGGCCCATACTCATCACAGTGTCTTTTCTGGGCTTGGGAAAAAGGATCAATAGCTGATGAATTAGATTGTCCTCGAGCAGTGTGGATCTCAGCAGTGGTTCTGATGGGCACTGTGTTTTCAGGAACTCTCCGCCGGACCATGTCTGAAACAAAGGGGCTGACGCGGCCTGCTGCAGGCAGAGTCTGTCCAGCCTCCCTTCATTTCACGGGATCTAGTGTGGCTGCTGGTGAGCCAATCACGCCTACCAGCAAGATGGGGCGACGCAGCTTTTGGGACATGCTGGTAATGACTTTGTGGAAAGATGGTAGTGGGACTTGGGGTGGGTGTCGTGTGAAAAAGGAAAGGAGAGCCACAGAAAATAACTTTGAATTAAAGCACCAGTGTAATAAAACACAGGCCAGCACTAAATTGGGACACCCGAGTCCATGCTAGTCATCTTTTGTGCCATGGCATGCCAGGTACTTATTGTACCCTTATTGTCGTCTTAGGTGTTTTTCCAGGTTGGTGATTGCAAGTTCTGCAGACCTGGCACAGCATTTAAAAAATGCTCTCTCATGGTCTCCATGAGGGAGCTCTTGCCTGAAGGTGTAATCCTTAGCCACAAAATCTATTCCATGTGAATCATATGTTGGGATAAATTCAAACCTGTTTGCAAGGTTGCACTCATGGATTACTGTGGCAGTATATGTAGGTCTTTGAACATAGTGAAAGTGCTGTATAAATACTCAGCGTAGCAAAAGTGCTATATAAAGGCTAACTGTAGCAAAAACCTGTGTAATGCAAAATTGCTAGACCAGAAGGAGTCAGGGCCTGAAGCTGTCTGAGCCAGAGACCATGGGGAGTAAACACATTGGCCTAGGCTTTTCTCTTTAGTACATTGCCTTGATTCCCAGAGCAAACCAGAGATGGTCGAGCAAGGAAGCCCCAAGACCACAGATGACATTGTTCTGGAGCGGCCTGAGGAGAGTCGCACCCGCCGCCGCCACAAGACCGAAAGTGTCAAGCAGCCGCCTTCGAGCCAGGAGCGCATGGCTTCAGCAGTGGAGCAGGGCCAAAGCCAGAGGCAAGCACAGCAGCCCAGCTCTTTCCTCACCTCTCTTTCCAGGGAAACAGGGAAGGGGGTAATTTCTCCATGCAAAATCCAGCCTTTTCATTGGCTGGAGTGGACAACTTCTGCACATAAAGCTCCTGTCCTCCCCCCCCACCCTAGAAAGGGTCTGCCACGCATACAGCAAGGAAAAACTTGGTACTGCCATGTGCAGATCACACAGGATTTCTGATGGGAAACTGGTTCCCCCTTTCTGGGGCCCCCCATATTCTCTCTCCCTCCCCTGAGTGACAGATATCTTCTTCACAGACGTCGAGCCTGCCAACTAGAGGAGGGAGATATTGGAATCCTACACCCTATTTTCAGTCAGACGTGCCATTCCTGGATGGCATTCATGAACCGCCTAGGTAAGTAGCTAAGTCTGTACCGCCTTCTGCTACTGCCTCAGTTGCTCCCAGTTTATCTCAGTGTCAAAAGATTCTGCCTGAACTTTGGTCTTCATGAAGAATGTTAAAATCTTGACAGAAAAAGACCTTCCCATGCTGTCTCTCAAATAAGACAGGAAAAGTTGCAAACATACTTAAAATAAAGGCTCAGAAACTAGAATAAATCCAGATAGATATGGCCAAGGTATTTGAGTTTTGTTGAGTGAACTCTTCAATGTTCTTTTCTTCCAGCCATTTGCTTGCCTGCTGGCTCCTTTTCCCCTCCACTGCCCCTATTCTTCAAAAATACCTTAAAGGTTTATAACTTGAGTACTGTGGTCAGAGCAAAACTTTTTATATTAGGTGTTTACCTCTGACGACCAAATTTGCAGCTTTTTGACCCAGAATATAGGAAAAGGAAAATGTCTTGGTAGAGCTATGCAATGCTTTGCCAAGCTCCATGGCTCCCATTTCCTCTTTGCCAGATGTGCATGCACACAGCTTGCACTCAGTACTGATTTTTCAGGGAGGTTTTGTCTCCATTCCTTGTTTCTGTGTTGGATATTTTGATTCAGAGCAGCAAGCAGCCCTTACTATCTCTCCAAATGACTGGCTCTTACAGATGCTGCTACAAAACATCAGATTTCGCTCCCAGCCTTTGAAAAAAGTGTTTGGCAGGCAGGGAAGATGGTATTCTATTTGTTCATGCCACATCCAAGAACCGTTCTTGGGACAGTTCACACAAATCCTCCCCGCTTGGTATTTCCTCTCCTTCACAGGGTGTCCCTCCGTGCAACAATGTGCCACAGAGAGCGTTTCTCGCTTCCTCCTCTCCTCCATCATGCATGAGTTCGTCAACCTAGTCACTAGTTTGGCAAGTGACACCTCTGTGAAAGTGTTTGAAAAAGTCAGGTAGGTGCTGAAGCTGGACGGCCTCCTTAGTTGGCTCGGTGGATGGGAGGAATTCTTGTGGGGCTTAGCAGAGTTAGGCAACTTCTTCATGCCTGAGGACAAATTCCAGTTTTGGAGAAGTTTTCAGGGGTCATGTCCCAGTTGTGAGTGAGGCTGAAGACAAGGTGGGTGGAGCTAAAAATGCAAATAAACACAAATGATACCAGCATATTGCAGTTTCAACCTCTTTTGTCCAGCAACTAAGACTTAACAGAAGCATGTCAGGCTTTTAGAGTGGTGGTGGTGTGGGGGGAGACTGCAGAAAAGCTGGAAGGCCACCAGAAAAGGATGACAGAAAGACTGGGGAAAGGAGCTTGGGGCCAGGGAAGGGGACACAAGCCATCTGAAGAATTTCAGAGAGCCTGGTTTGGCCGCTGAGCCTCAAGTTCTCCACCCTGATCAGTGGATATTAAAGCACCTTTATGTAACTTTTCCTCCTTTGCTCCAGCGGTCCTCAAGGGGTGTCCTTTGTGCCATATTCTCTGACGCCAGGCACCAGCGCTCGGCCAGCTGCCATTCGACACTTCACCCTGCTGGGACGAAGCTTCCACCAGTGGCGCTACAGCACAGGACAAGGTGACTCACAGGGAAAGCGGCAAATGTGTTACTGCCCCTGGGTCCAGGTGAGATCTCAGAAAACCTACTCTTTCCTGTCTCCTCTGTGCCTCTTTTAGCCCTCAAAGGATTCCAGCGGTTCGAAGCCACTGAGCTTGGCCCTGCAGAGAAGAATTGTGACGTGGCCCCCCGGCAAAGATTCCTTTTCATGGAGATCATTGACAAAAAGGTATGTGTCCGGCTGGGTTCGTGCTGGACCCCTGCAAACTCCCTGGGCCCAGCTGGAACGTGGGAGTGCTCACAGCCTGGGTCAGAGACTGGGTTGACTGAGCCGCCTTTCCCTTCCAGCTGGAGCTTTATACCTATAACTGGTCCGTGGACCTGGGCAGTGCGCTGAATAGCTCCCTCACCCGGTTGCTGCAGTGGCAGAATGCCCGTGCCCACGTAGTGCACTGCCTGCTCAGCCAGAAGCTCGGCCTCTTCCATCACAACTGCTACACGGACATGCCTTGGCACGAGGACAGCAAACAGGTACACCTGCGCCCACATTCCTGGGTCTACCCTTTTCTGACTGTGTGCCCCTGACCACCTCTTGCTGCCTCCCTCTGAGTCTAGGAACCAAACCCTTTCCTGAACTCCACACTGGAGGTGGACACCCTGATCCGGAGCTCCAGCGTTCCTCCAAGCAAAGAGCAGGGGCGGTTCAGCAGCTCTGCACGCACCTTGCAGCCTCTGCACTTTCCTCCTGACATGGTACCCTTTGATGAGGCCCTTCGGGATGTCTCGGTCCACCGACCCATCCTTCACACCCCAGAAATGGCTGCCCTCGACCGTGTGGCCCAGCATGGAACTCAGTTCCTGGAAATCAAAAGCATTGAGAGGAAAGGTAAGTGGAAGGGTGGGATTATGAGAAAGTGTTCCCATCGCTGCGGCAAGGAGGGGTGTCCTCGACTTACTGGGATGCCTGGAAATCTGTGCATGGGCACTGGCCAGGGAGGAGGGATTTAGCAGGACAATCAACAGTAAGGCTGGGGTTGGATGTAGGAGCATAAGGGGTGAGGGGTAGGAGGCCCAGTGTTGCATGGCATAAAACAGGACCGGCATGTGCTGCCCCTCTTGAAAGTATCCTGTTGCAGTGGTGTGTATCTGTGTGACAATCTGAGTGTTCAGCAAGACATGTGAGTCAGAAAAGGAGAGTCTAGGTGAGGAAGGACCTCAGGCTCTGCTCCTGCTCTCAGCTTCTGCTTCTCTTTCACAGAGCTGGAAAAACAGATGAAGATTGAGAACCTTTTTGTGACCTGGCAACAGCGGTCTGCACAGTCCAACATGCCCATCAGTGTGAGTTCAGGCAGGGACCTGGGATGTGGGCAGTGCTGAGGTATGAGGTACTCAGTGTCCCTTCTTTAAGATGTGGAGTGACCTTGTTCTTGGGTGCCAGCAAGAGGGAAAACTGGGAGGGAGGTTCTTTCAGAAGCATAGTCATATTTTTGCACTTAAGCTGTGTGACTGGAAGACCTGTGGGATCTTGGATCATTCCCATCTGGAAATAATTTCTGTTTCTACTGCCTTTGCACCCACTGAAAAGCTCTCTCAAGTTAAGAATTCTATTAGGGATAGTTCACATGGTGTGAATGTTTCCTATATATTTCCTCCCACTCCACTCCCCTGCAGCTCTTCTCAGGCAGCAGGTGCTGTGCATTGCATTTTGCTGTGAAATCTGTGACCACTGCAATTATGAAAACGTGGAACATGCCTGAGACAGTTGGTTCACAATGCTCTAGTTAACACGGAGAGGCTTCACCCTTAAAAGCAGCCTAGGAATAATTTTTGATTTACTCAATGTATCATAGTGCTCTGTGAATAACATGATAGCCATTCATGTATGAATCGATCCTGGTCATGGCCTACTCTGCTAATGGCTGTGTATCCCATTTCATTAAAAAGGTGACTGGAATAAGAGAAGAACAAGAGGTGCAGTGCTTTCACTGCTTGTCTGGTACCTATATTAACGGGATAAGACTATCTAGAGCAGGGGCAGGGAAAAGAGAGATATCATTTTGCATTGGATATACTATGAGAAGAAACTTCAAGGCAGTCTACAATAAACCATGATGTCTGGGCATTGTGGCCTTCCTGCCCAAGAAAAACCATACACCTAATCATGTTTTCACCAGGTATTTTTTCTTGAACCATACAGTTGCTTCAGTCTTCACCTGCTCCAGATACAATCCCTGATTAGGGCTCTGCTGCCTGGTTTAGAGTGGAAGAAATTAGTATCTCATGAAATAATGGAGAGGCATTAAGTTTGATGCAAAGTTTTCTTGCTATGTCTGAGCAGAAAGGATAATGAACCTAGTTACTTTGCTTGAGGTGGCAGTCTGAAGTCCCTATCCTTGAGCAAACCTATTTGTTATGAGGTGTATTTGCCTGCTGTTTTATACTTACCTCTTATTTCTGTTTGATCTTTGAATTAACATGTTGCTATAGAAATGCAAAGTGGGTCAGTGAAGAGTGAAGTACACTGGAGCAGGCATGCCCCCCTCACTCTGACACAGTACCAGGTTGACATCATTGTGCTTAAAATGACAAGCCCTTGACACAGTCTAAGCATGAATGCAAGCCTTGAATTGCAATAATGGAGAGGGGGAGGGGGGCCAACGCTTAATTCCTCATTATGAGAAATAACAAGATAAGCACGTGTGCTGGAAACCTCAAGCTCAGTTCTCTGAGCTCTGTAGATAGGTTGCCAATGCCATACCTGTGCCCAGGAGCTCAGCTCTTGGGAGCTCAGCTCATGATGAGGGGGCTGTGGCAGCTCCCCTTCTATTCTCCAGATGTTCTCTGAGGTTGGGGGTGATTCGGGTAAGCAGTTTAGCCATATGGAATAAGCCTGGCTGTATGTGTGCAGCTTGCAGATCTGGAGACCCTCAAGCAGTCATCACGCTTGGTCCATTACTGTGCTACTCCGCTACTCTTTGATCCCACCTTCCGGCAGCAAATTCAGGCGGATCAACAGAGCAAGCCCGAAGGAAAGGTGAAGTGTGGGGAGAGGGACATGACTTCTTTCTCCCATTTTCTGTTTTCCTAGGCTTTACAGAGGCGGCCCAGGGCTCACATAAGAATCCTCACTCTGCTTGGGAAGTTAGGCCTTTCCACCAGTGGGTTTGAACTGGTGGGCTGAAGGAGGTGGCAGAGTTGGGGCTCTTATTGGAGAAAGCCTCTCACAACCAGTGGGGACTAGCTAGAAGTACTTGCCTCCTGGTTATCATAGCTGTCCCCTGAGCTTTGGCCCAAGCCCAGACACCCCTCTAAATCTATTTCTCATGGCTTCTTTGACAAAACGTCATTTTTGCCATTCAGAAGCGGCACCGTTCGAATGACTCCACAGCCTCCAGTAGGGACCGCAGCCACAGCTGTGACTCTGCAGAAGGGTTGCCATGCCGAGCCAAGGATGAAGCCTGGTTGCTGGAGCTGTGCCACACCTTCCTGCAGCAATACATCCAGTACCTGCAGAGCATGGGCTTCATCCTGGTGCAGGTGCGCCCAGCTTCACCCACCCGCAGGTTAGTGTGAATTAGCTGGAGGAGCTAAAATTGGTAGCAAGGCGAATCCCTGCTTTGGGGACCAGCTGAGTGCATAGCATAGACATGCTTGCTTTGCCTGCAGAATGCGGCTTGGAAGAAGGCTGATGAAAAATGCTTGGAACGTCAGCTTCTCAAAGGGTTCATTCAGAGAGCTTGAAGACTGTTGATTCTCTCTTGCCTCAAGAAGTATAGATAATAGTTGTTTGATCTTCCTTTTTGGCCTTCAGCAACACCAACAGGATCAGAGCTGTGGCAGCAATGAGCAACGAGGGCCGAGGCTCCTTCTTGTACACCAGGCCGAAGGCTGATGGGAGCCCAAAGGTGAGGGGGAATTTGCTGGCATGGCAATTTCAGCCTTGATGGTTTACTCTTTGAAGATGGACAGTTTCAGAGGGCTGGAGTATATTTTCTAGCCATCAGCAAATGAGCCCTTCCATACCTGAGAGCTGTTCCTGCACCAAAATAGTGCATTTTTTTCCCCTAGAGCACCAGCCCTCCAGTCACCACATATCATTTGCAAAGAGCTCTGCCTGGAGGCATCGTGTTAATGGAGCTTGCTTTCCAGGTGAGTGAAACCTGCCCTCCTCCCATGCTAGCAGAGAAGATCATTGTGCATAAGTGGGAAGGGTCACTGTAAGTGTTCATAGATGCACAGGAGTGGAAGAACATAATATGAATGAACTGATGCACACCGCAGGGAGAAATACCAGTGGAGACAGCCCAGCCTGGATAGAAATAGTGATTCCTCCATTTGACTAGCTACTGGTTAAGTGGTTAAGCAGTGGTTTAGGCTGGCATCTGCAAAAGGTAGCTGTTGAGATTTTGCCTTTCATCTGCCCTCATTTGTTCTTAGGGCTGCTATTTCTGTGTGAAGCAATATGCGCTGGAGTGCTCCCGAATCCCCATGGGCCAGACAGTCAATTCACAGGTAATATTGCTGTGTTCTGGCTTGCTTTGGGAGCCAAGATTGGTTATGTGTAAAAGATGATATGAAGGGCATGTGCAAGACTTGGTTTGAGGGATGCAGTGACTGAGTTGAAGACTCAGTAGGGCCAGGTGTTCCTTTAGCTGTGGCTCAGGCTAGGGTCTGAATCTGGCTCCTTATGTTTGCTTCCTTTTGCTATACCTTGACAGGCAGAAATGCTGGTCCCCAGCACCTGTTTGGTCCTCATAAGACCCTTCACCCATTCAGGGCTTAGACCTTGTCTCCATGGCCTTCTCCCAAAGATCTAAATCTGCTTCATAGTAGGCATGTCATGAGCGCAGCCGGCTGGAGCCAGGAGTCAGACTAGATGGCCCGGGAGGCCCCTTCTGACTCGCTCTGTTTCTGGGTTTCCCATTTCTTCTTTGATTATCAAGTACCAGCCTGTACCTTTCTTGGGAGGTAGGACTCAGAAGCCTCTCAACAGTATTTTTGCTGCTGGCTTTGGTTTCTGAAACAGGTCCCTGCTTTCAATCAACAAACTTCCAGGAAAACTTTTGGGAAGTGTCCAGCTACAGCCACCTTCTATCTCACTAGGTGGAGTGGAGGACCAAGTGTGAGAAAATACCCTCCCCTTCTGTTTGGGCATGCCTACTGGTCTATATGGGTCTCCTACTGCACTGTGGAACTGTTTATGGCACTGGACACATGCGATAGGGCCACAGAAAACTAAACCTTTTGAGTACTGTTCCTTCTCTCCAGTCCATGAAACAATTCACTTTTCCTTATCCTGGAAAGGCTTTCCTTATCTTGAAGGCTTCCATGTATACCAAAAACAGTGAAGTGTGTTGGTGATATAGACCAGCTTTCCCCAACCTTGTGCCTTCCAGACACATTTGGAATGTAACACTCAGAATTTCCAGTCAGTGGCAGCCCAAGGGCCTCAGAAGGCCACCGGGTTGGGGAAGGCTGATACATAATGAACACATTATACTGTAAGAACTGCATGTTCCAATGTTAGTAGCATCTGTGTATTGCAAAGCATTTAAAGGAGTCTTGAGACAGGTACATATCTACATTATACAACCACTGCCTGAACTATGCCAAAATGGCCAACAGGTTTTTGTTCATGTAAAGGGAAGAAGATAGGCTAAGAGGCTATACCTGTTGCAAGAAGAATCCATGTAGGAAAAGGCTTTTTAGTGGCCTGCATGCAGGAATGGAAAACTTACACGGTCCTCCCTCTGTTCTTGGGTTCCAACTCCTATCAGTCCAAGGCAGCATGGCAATATAGTCAGGAATGTTGGATTAAAATTTTAATAAACATGTGGATGGCCACAAGTTCCATACTCCAGAGGGTAGAGGGTGCTATTTTTAAATCAGCCTTTAATCACCTGTAAGTCCAAATCTAAAATCCTGCAATTGCAAATGCTAAATGCCACAGTTTCATTGGAGAATGAACAAATCATGTAATGTTAGGATTATTTGATTGGATCAGTTTTCATCCTTGAGGAAATCCATCAGCAGACATTAATTCTGTTAAGAGCCATGCTCATTGCTCTATTCTATCTTAATTGCAAGAGTAAATGTTTACTATTGAAAGAGGAGGAATGGGGCCAAGAGGATATTTGTGGATGGTAGAAGATTTGGGATTGGGATGCATGGGGATTAATGGAGAACTTTTGAAGAATCTGAACATATAATTAAATACTGAACACTCAGTGGAAATTTTCAAAAATCTCTTATTTTCTGAGAATATAGGAATTGCTGCCTTTTCAAGCTCACCCATCTAGTCTAGACAGCTAAAAGCTTTCTTCTTTAAAAAAGCTTGCTGCTTAAAATTTGCAATTCTTATGAATAGGGTAGAAGCAGTAGTAGGAAAAAAAACCAATGAAAATGTTTACAGTTGGCAGTACCAGTTGGATTGTGTGAAATGTGCAAGCCCCATCTGATAGTGTGGGAACTCTATTCATTGAATTGACACCACTATTGACACTACATCCTGTGTTTTTCATAGCTTAACCACATTGTCAAAGCAAGTTCCTGTTGCTTATCTCCACTTTGGCATTTGCCACCATTGATAACATATTCTTTCCAAAGTGCTTAAAGCCAGCATCTCCTAAATTTCTTTTCCTCAAAGAGCCCACTCATATAATTTACATATTCTGTGAACTCTTTTGAAGAAGAGATATAGTCAATAACGAAATTTGGGGGTTTTTTTTACTATTTTAAGTACTTTCTAACACAGGGGTGGGCAGATTGTGTCCCTGCAGTCATCATCTTTCAATATTGACTGTGTTGGCCAGGGCTGGGAGTTTTCAGCCAAAATATCTGGATGGTCACCAAATCCACTGTGACAGGTTAAATTTTTCATGCTTGTGTGTTGAGTTGTGTTGCGTATCTTAAGATCATGATCCAGTTGTTTTGATAGATTGCTAAAGATGTGTATGTACAGTCTTTATCCTATTTAGCACAGCCAGAGTTTTCTTCTTCAAAAGATACTGGGTTAAACTACATGGGTGCAGAGGACTCATATCCCACTTGTACGGGCTTGTTACCTAATCCTCTGGACTACAGAAGCTCTGCCTACACTGCCCTTGAGTTTGCCTTTTATGGCACGGCCTAGGTTTTGGTTCATCTTGTTTAAGTTTATATCCTACTCTTTGTCCCCTAAAATTGGCCCTGCTCCCTTCCTGTGTCTACTTTGCTCGTGCCTGCGATTGGCACAACAGGTAATTTAGTAGCCAGGTAAGAGAACTAGTAGGATGAGGGATGTTGCTTCTTACTGGAAGCTACACAAAAGAGCCTGCTACACCAAGTACCCTGGTGTCCAGTTTAGGAATTATGCTGTCTAGATTGGATAATCTCAGTACCAAGTGATTATCTAGTTAGCCTGTTTCCTTGCCATTGTATGTTCTTTGTTCAAGGATAGGCTGGACATGCACATGGTAGGCATGTCATGAGCAGAGCTGGCTTGAGCTGGGGGTCAGACTAGATGGCCCAGGAGGACCCTTCTGACCTGCTTTGTATCTGTTTCTTGATATCTGGCTGACTCCATCCAATGATGTACAATATTTTTAGCCTTGCAACACGGTCACTCCAGTTCTTCTCTCTTCCTTAGCTTTCTATGCTCTTCACAGAAGAGTGTGACAAGGTCCGTGATCTCATGCACGTGCACTCATTCAGCTATGATTTCCACCTGCGCATTGTGCACCAGTACCTGCTTGGATCTCACATGGCACTGCGACAAGGCTATCACCTCACCAGTTTCCTGGAAGACTTTATTGCCCAGCACCCTGATATCCCCAAGTTTGGACGCAATCACATCTTTCAAGGTAAGGGCTCCTGGCAGCATTGGGAGAAATCTTTTAGCAGCTAGAATATTTGGAGCCATCTCAGTTTGTCCTAATGAAGAGTGAGGAACCCAATTTGGAAGCGGGAATCTGTCAGGTTTTTCTGGCTCGGCTCTCCAGTCTCTGGCTCACTTTCCCTTTGTCCCTAAGCCTGATTCACACTGAACATCCAGCAGGGAGCAACCAGCAGGACGTGAGTCCATAAACCATCCACTGCCCACACTCCTGCTGTGCAAATGGAGTTGAACTTCCACATATGTGACCTGTGGCCTTTGTGTACATTCAGCACAAAGAAGGGCTCCACTATCACCATGAGCATTCACAGACTTGATCTTGCTTGGCTCACTTCTTAAGCCAGGGCCAAGTGAGGAAAAGAGCCAGATTTTGGCAGGATCTTTGCATTCCTACAGTTCCAAGGAAATCATAAGGATTCTATCCATATTGTTAGCTCTTTCTCTGTGTGTGTATGTGTTTATACAGCACCACTGGTGCATATGGCACTTCAGAGTTTAAGGAGAAAAACAAAAATCAGACAGGTGCCTATCCTGAAAGAGTTTATAGACAGAAAACAACAGCAAGAAATGTGGTTTGATTCTGGGTTCTGATTTGAGGGTACTTTGCCACACATATTTGAGATCAGCAAAGGTATCTATTTAGACAAACATAGGAGTATGCCAGAGTCATTTAAAAACTCTATATCCCTTCCCATTTAACACAAAAACATTTCAATCTTATCACCCATTCCTTATAAAAGACTATATCTCATTAGCTAAGAACCAGCTGAGGGGAGACTATGGGCAGAATGTCAGAGCTAATTAAAAAACCCCAGGGTAAAGCAAGTGATTCTCAAAATGGGAAAAAAATTTAAGGGAAAACATAAACATAAAATCAAGCATAAAAGAAAATAAATGAAAAATAATATGCTTGTGTTAATTAGTCAACCATTAAAGCTAGAGCAGTGATTAAAGGAACAAAGCAGTATATATTCATGAAACAAAAATAGTAAATTCATTTTGCATACGAAGCAAATAGACCTCTGGGTCCTCCGCATGGACACCCAGAAGAACCAAGCTGTCCAGGGGCTTTCAGGAAGGAAAATAAAACAGGACCTTAGCATGATGTTTGCCTCTTTCCCAACAGGTACCCTCGCCTTGCCCACCAACACCATCACAGCCCATCAGCTGTACAACTATATAACTGACCATGCTAGTACGTATCATATGAAGCCACTGCGCATGGCCAGGCCAGGGACTAGTGCTGAGGGCAAAAAGGGGACACCTGGGCCAGAACAAAATGAGTATGCTCTAGTCTCCATATGGAACAGGTGAGTGCTTGCTAGGTTGCTGTAAGGAACTGCTATAGTTTCAGCACCCCTATAGGAGCTCCCAGAATCTATGTGCTGTTGCTAGTCAGTGATCTTTCCACTTCACTCACACAAAAAGGGATTCAAATATAGTGTTTCTTACACCGAGCTAGTAGTATTTATTTTTTTATACATCTGATATTGCTATGTATTACACAAAAATTAAAAATAATACAAATCCTGCCAATAGGCTTACAATCTAAAGTCTTACGTTTTCTTGGAATGCTTGCTCTTTTGAGAATCCCATTTGATCAACTTTTCGGACTACCCACAATTACTTTTTTCCCTCTCCATATTCTGCTGAGTAGTGATATCATTGAAATGTGTCACATTTCTTTATTGCTTCTCCCAGATCAATCTTTCCAATAGATGATTTATCCCCATCAGAATAAGTCCAGCTTGTCAATTTCCCTTGCAATGCAGCCCACTAATTCCATCGTTAGGGACACAAGTAAGCCCAGCCTTGGTCTGTGTGCATCTTAACTCTTAGTTCAAAGCACCAAGCACTTCCTTCAAAGAGCATGTTGGCCTTTGTATCATATGTAGGCTCCAGGCCTTTGCTGCCCAGAACCCTGCTTCTTACCAGGCTAGCTGAAAAGCACCACAGGGAAATGTTAGTATTTTAGCCCAGTTGCACTGAACAAATCAATAGTAATTCATTAAAAGGAGATGTGAGCATTTGGGGTGAATAGGGAAATTTCAAATGCAGGCAACTCGTATTACATGAAGAATATTGGCACTGTGCACCATTTCTGGCATAAGAGGGAGAGCATTACAAATAATAGTTTTTCTCATAACTAGGTATAGTTACCATTATTCAAAAACACACACATGATTACATGAGAATGCAAATACAGTTTTACTACATGGATGGTATTATAGGATGAAGATGACAGTTCCGGGCATGCACTTCTGGGTTGAACAATTGGCATAGTATAGCCCCAGCATGCAGCTCAGCTAGGGGTACTTTGATCTATATTATTTCTTGCAACTCCAAGGTGATTGGTTCCTGATTTGTTTTTCTATCTTATTTTGATTTTTTTAAATCTGAACTGTGCAATGTGGTAATGATGCAAGTGGTCACATACATCTGTGACCTAGTGACATGTCAGAAGTACACCACAGTCCTGCAGTTAATGGGGAGTCAAGCCATAAGTGTAACATCACTGTTTTTGGATGTACTCACAAGAAATATTATTATTACATTGCATTTATATCCCACCTTTTTCCCTCTTGTGAGGAACTCAGGGTCCCTTATATAGTTCCAGTTTATCCTCACAACAACCCTGTGAGGTAGATTGGGTTGTGAGTCTGTGACTGGCCCAAAGACTGGCCTAGTAAGCTGCGTGACTAGAACTAGACTAGCCGGGAACTAGAACCTGACTCTCCTGGATTCCCAGTCCAACACTCTTAATGATCACACCTCCCTGACTCTCAGTGGTGTCTTTCTGTGTCTAGTTCCACTGAACTCCCTCCTGATACGAATCCTGCTGGTTGCAATCTGTGTTGGTGCCAAATAGACCATAGCTATATTTTTCCATTAGTGTCCTCTCACCCCATGCAGAATCCCTCTCATCCTTTCTCTGCTTACAGCTCAGGTTCCTACAAAGATTCAGAGGGGCTCCGTCACCATGACGACTTTGATGTGTCCATGCTTGTGTGTCACAGTGCTGCACCCTTTGAGGAGCAGAGTGAGGCAGAGCGACATATGCTACGGTAAAAGTAAAGCCAGGAAGGAGTGATGTGAGGATGGAAGCCTTGAGGGTTTGGATATGATTCGCTGTAGTAACTAAATGTGTGTGCAACTGTTGAGGGACTGGCAGGAATGCAGCCGTCTGAGCTGCTGGCTGATACTGCATGGACTAACTGTGAGAGAGATAAAGGCACTTCATCATAAAGCAGCTAGGCCCTAACTGGGCTGTTTGGGTGGAGTTATCGTGAGTGCATTACAGCAAGTGTTAGTTTAATTGAAGTTGCATTCATTTCAGTGGGTCTACTCTAAGCACTAACTGTGGATGCTCTTATGAGCTCTAATGATAACAGCTTCCCTTCTCCCAGGCTGCACTTTTATGTGATCATGACAAGCCAACGGGAGCTGTTTCCACGACTAACTGCTGATATGAGGCGTTTCAAAAAGCTGCCACGCCTACAGAGGGAGGCTCTGGAGCCAGTTCTGGGGCGTGCAGCATTGGAGATGGCAGAAGGCAACTGGCAGCGGAAGGAAGTCTCAGAACCCTGGGAGGAGATGGAGGACAGTGGGGAGTTCTATGCTGGAGGTCCTCAGGTCAAGGTGGGCCCCGGTCTCTTCTATACATCCCCACTGTTCCCACTGCTTGCCTCAGAGGTAGCTGCCACCCAAAAGCAGCTCAGCAGCATCGTGCAGCTCGCCAAGTGTCACTGTCGCCGTGACAACCTCTGGAAGCGCCTCTTCCTCCTCGAGCCCCTTGCCTCTGACAAGCTGAAGCTGGGCAAGCTCTCCCTCAGTGAGCTGGAAGAACTGCTGGATGCTGTGCACAGGAAATCCATTGCTGACATTGATCCCCAGTTGGTGAGTAGGCTGGGGTTTGTATGGGTGTATCTCTGTGCACACAGATAGACACTTGTGTTATTCATCAGATCCTGCAACAGCCCATGAAGGGCAGAAAACACTCAGCTTAGCTGAAAACAGCACCCATGTTAACCAAGCTGCAGGACGCTTGGCTTCCGAGAGTTCACCAACATGGTGAACAAGCGGTGTCAAGGAAGCTATTAGAGAAAGGGCTTCATTTTTTTTCCAAGAGGAGGTCTTGCCTAAGTGAGAACATAAAGCAACCCAACGTGCATGAAGAAAATGTAAGCTGACAATAAAAGGTGCAAGAAAGCATTTTGAGGAACATATTGCTGATAACATCCAGGCCAATAATAACCAATTCTTTTCTTCACAGCCATGAAGTAAGGGAGGTCCTCTTACAGAACAATAACTGGTTAATGAACCAAAGTATAGAGTAAGAATAAACGGTGCCTTTAGTGGAGGGATGGAAACAGTAGGATCTCATAGGGGACTGCACTGGAACAAGTACTTGTTAACTTCTTTATAAATGGTTTGGAATTAGGAGGAGCTGGGCAAGTTTGCTGATAGTATGAAATTATTCAGGATGATTAAAGCAAAAAAGGGATTGTAAAATGCTCCAAAAAGAAGTGGATACGGAGACACTTCCTCCCTCCCCTATAATACTAGAACCTGAGGTCATCCCATGAAGTTGATTGGTGGGAAAATCAGGACAGATAAAAGGAAGTACTTTACACAGGACATAGTTTAACTAACTGTGGAATTCACTTCCACAAGATGTAGTGATGGCAACCAATTTGAAAGACTAAAAGGGCATTAGCCAAATTCACAAGGATAAGGCTGTTGCTGGCTGCTTCCACTTTCGAAGCAGTGATAGTACAGCAGTTGCTGAGGGGTACAAGTGGCAGGGTGCTATTACGCGCATGTCCTCTTCAGTTTCTGACAGGCGGCTCTTTGGCAGCTGGGTGAATGGAATGCTGGGCAGATGGACTCTGGCCTGATTCCGCATGGCTCTGCTTGTGCTCATTTCACATTGCAAGGACTTCTGTTTTCCTGAGCACACCCTTTTCATTTTCTCTCCCTGACAGAGCTGCTTCCTCACCATGACAGTCTCCTGGTACCAAAGCCTTATCAAAGTGCTACTGAGTCGTTTCCCACAGAGCTGCCGCCATTTCCAGAATGCAGATGCTGGTACCCAGTATCTGGTAAAACTCTTCTAGCACAATTATGTTCTTCTTTCTAATCACCTTGACATAAGTTAAGCAAGAGTAATCCGGGCTCACCCAGCCTCAATAAATCTGGTATTTTCTCTGGTTGGTGCCAGCCTTCCTTTCCTCCTTACTTGAAAGAAATCCTGACATGGTACTTCTCTTAAGGAAGGAGAGTTCTTCTTTCACTTAAGAGAATGCAATTTTAGTCTAGGTTTGTGTGTCCGCACATGTTTGTAGGCCTTCTGCTTGTCAACTCTCCTATAGCTTTCTGACTGTATATTATTCTCCACCCCACCTCCCACCTCCCCTGAGCTTTGCAATATCACTATAGTGTAAGGACTCCTTTTGATGCAGCACTGTTGTCCTATCCTTGCAGGTTGTTCTGAACCAGAAATTCACAGACTGTTTTGTTCTTGTATTCCTTGATTCCCATTCAGGAAAAACGGTAAGAACCTTTCCCTCTGTAAGCCAGCAGCAAAAGGGAGATTAAAGGGGAGCTTCTAGATGAAGCCATCAGGTTAAAGCTCCATTGACCACTATGAGGGAGGAAGCTTCTGCTGTCTAGGGCTGCTCAGCAAGAAAGATAATGGTGCTTCTCATGGTTCTGCCTTCTCTGCTGCTCCATCGGGGGTGGCACTGGGTTGCTTGTGCAAAGCAGGCTGACCTGCTTTCATCTCATCCTCACTGCTGTTAGAAAGCCATGTCCAGGGAAACCTGCGTCTTTGCTTATCACCTGGGCAGATTCCCAGCAACATAGTCCTGTAACTCAATGACAGCAGTGCTAAAACATGACTATTTTCTTTGCAGAGCCTGACAGTGGTTTTTCGCGAGCCCTTCCCAGTGCAGCCCCAGAACAGTGAAAGTCCCTTGCCACAGCTTGTGTCCACATACCACCATCTGGAATCAGTCATAAACACGGCTTGCTTCAATCTCTGGACGGGGCTGCTCTAATATTAGCTGGCCCCTCCCATGTGGGGCATGCTGCATCGCCCAGCTGTAGCGAGGCTGCTACAGAGACGCCCGTGTGGATGGCAGGCGCACCGACACACACTGGATGATGTGAAGCTACCGCTGGCTGGATAGCCACCCAGAATGCTTGGGAGGTTCTGACTCAACCGAACAGAATCACAGAGGGCGCCAGACTGCTCTGGAGCCAGGAGCCGCATACGGCCAGCCTGGATTAAATGGTGGTATATGCTTCCCCAAAGAAACTACCCATGAGGCACTGAGATGGACATGCTCTCTTCCCTTAGGCTCCTTGACGAGGCTGAAAGACTTACTGAAGTTGCCCACTTCATCAGGCCTTTGTGAGTGATGCACTGGATGGGTCTGAATAATGGGGAGGGTATTGCACAATAATGGAAATGTTTTATATGAAGTGAATGTACAGTAAATTAAATAAAAATGATCCTTTAATTGTAACAGAAGAATACCATGTCCCTGATTCCCACACAGGCAATTGTCCCTGGAGAGAAGCAGAGTAAGTTTCCTCTGTCTTCCCAAAACAGCATCTCTGCTGTGATGTGTTGTATGATGGCCAAATTCTTACCCTGGGTTTGTGGGATGAACTGATTTATTTTCTAAGACAATTGGCTTAGGCTCAGGTGAATCATGTCATTTATATCTGCCTAGGATTTATGCTTCAGCATAAGCTCTTAAGTGTTAAATTTTGCATCCTGGATCTGGCCGAGGTGGTGTTTGGTGGCATGCATGTGTGAATATAAGTAGTTTAAGCAGCAGTGTGCTATGGAAGGAGAATGCAGTTATAAACTGGAAGATAGGATATCTTTTGAAATCCCAGCTGGAACCACTGTGTGGTACTATGGAGCTAGACTGGAGACTCAGGGCTTTCTTTCCTCCCTTTGCACCAAATTGCTCCCCATTCTTTGATGACACGCCTTCTCCCTCCTGCTAAAATCGTTTAGTGTGGTCTAAGGGTGGAAGCCTAATCTTCCACTCTGTAATGTGTCAGCCCTTATAACTGCAAGGAGAGGGTGGGGGTGTGGACAAACTGCATTCTAAAAAGCAGAAAGATAGGGTGCATGTCTTACAGGGAGAACTGTGGGCAGGAATGCCATTGTCCAGCAATGAAAGGTGAAATAGAAATGTGATCCATTCCAGGGCTTGATCAGGGAAACAATAAGCACAGTTGTCACTTTATTAGGAGACAGCATCCGGCTAAAGGCATGTGCCCAGGGAGAGACATAACAAGGGGATATTTTAGCTGTTGTGCTCATATAAAAAGGTGTCTAACCTGACCTTTGTTCTCTGTTGGCATATTGTGCTGGGCAGCGTAGTTCAATCCATCTCCTGTGCGCCTTATTCCCATTTTCTGCTATTGTGCAGCTTCTGCCAGACTTCTCCCATGGTTCTCCCAGTAGGAGTACAGCCAGCCCAGCCCCTTCACTGTGTTTCCTGCAAAGGAAGCCATAAGCCAGGGGTCTTCAAACTTTTCCACCAGGGGGCCAGTTGAAAGCGGCCAGTGCTGGGTGCAGGCCGGAAAGGCAGAGCTGGCGGTGCGTGTGGGCCGGAAACATGCCGGCAGGGCACGTGGGCTGTCGCGGGGGTGGTGTATGCGGGTGCGCGTGCCGAGGCGGGGCGGGGTGCACAGCAAGGCGGGCGGGCACGCACCGAGAGGCGGGCGCACGAGGCAGCGACTTGCTCGCTTGGAGATAATTTTCTCTGCGCGAGCAACCGCTGCCTCCCCATGCGCGGGGCGAGGTGGGCGGCAGCGGGCGCACAAGGCAGCGGCAGGTCCAAATGGGTATGGCGGGCTGGATAAATGGGCATGGCAGACCAGATCTGGCCCCCCCGGCCCTTGTTTGAGGACTGACGCCATAAGCCATCAAACCAAAAGCTAGTCTTGACAGCCATCCTCGGCCGCTACAAGTGGGTACTGTTTTAGGATCTGTGAAGCTTCTGCTTAGCTAAGGGAGCAACAGAGCCTGGCTTATTGCTCTCTGAAATGAGTACTGGCAGGGGCTTTCATCTGCAAGAATCAGCTTCATGTAGCAAGATGCTTTCCCATTCCCCCTCACCAAAGGTGACCCAAACTTGCCTTCTGGTGTATACTCGCATCCTACATAGCCACTGTAACCCATAGACTCCAGCAGATCAAACAGGTACAGGTAGTTCAGTTCTCCGGGACTGTCAGGCTCATGCCGAGCTGGTACCTGGGCAATCTGAACGTGTCCTGCAGAGGAAGATCACAGGATAGAAATAATCAGAAATAAACAAGGGATAGGGCCCTGGCCAACCCATAACTATCCTCTTATGCTACGACTCTACTCAAGCTGTAGCCATGTCTAGCACTTGGCCTTGACGAATGTTCATAACATCAAGTTGCAGAAGATGCCACTTCTCAAGACTAAAGGCAAGAAAACCATGCAAACACATCAGAAATGTATATTCTGGTGAGTACCTTACCAATGATTGGGAAGTATGTCTCCAAGTTCTGAGTCAGGTTACCATCCATGATTTGGCAATGGAAAATATCCTGTGGAGCAAGCAATGTACAAAATATAGCCTATATGGAGAGGTATATGGAGAGACTGCTATCTCCTTCCTCTCCCTCTCTCAGTAGAGAGACCAACAGTTCTCCCTCTCCCCTGGTCTCTAGCTGGAGGCAAGCTGCTGCACCAACCAGCAAGAGAGCTCAGCCAAGGGACGGGACCAGAACTCCACCATGGAATAGATCCAATGAGACTCACCAGCTGCAGCTTCAGGCTAGGGCTTCCCACCTTCTTCAAAATGGTTGCAGCTGAAGGAATATAGGTTCACAGTATCACAAGTGCTTGACTGTGATTCTGGAAGAGTTGCTACCTAATTTCACTCCATTTGTATGTTCAAATCCAAGCACTCAATCTCCAGGGCTGGAACAATCGCTAGAACAGTGGTATGCAAACTTTTTGGGTTGTTGGCACATTGGCAATTTGAGAAATTCTCTTGGATACCACCACAAAATGGCTGCCATGGGAAATGTGGCCAAGGACAGGTAACTTGCCCAAAGTGCTTGAATACATGCTAGAAGTAGGGTTGGAACCCAAACATAGTAAATAGCTGCTCTGAACGCACTGTTTTCCATATCAGTAGAAGCTTATTTCACAGCAATCCCTGGTGCTGGTAAGAAAATACATTAATTAACAAAGTGGGAAGGAAAGGGCACCACGTTGGGCACCAAAACGCATGCACAGGGGCATGCTGGTTTCCATCAGCACTACAATGCCCATCCTTTCTCTAGAAGCAGAGCCCCTGACTATGAAGGAGAATCCTTGTGCTTTGGCTTACCTTGCTGTGGGGTGGTCAAAAAGTAGTGGGGATCACTAATCCGGCTATTTATTGGCTCTAGCAATCCAACCAGATTTTCCTGTATGGAGAGGTATATGGACACCACCAAAGAGAAAATGGAAGAATAGTAACTCAGAACCCTATGATGGTGATTTATTTATTTATCTATTTATTATCCAAAGCTTTTCTATCCCATCCCCTACAGAACGTCTTGGAATGGCTTACAATAAATAGAACAGAACAGCCCCACAGCATCTGACCATAATATACTAAAACCCCAATCTAAATCAATTAAACATTAAAATAACAGGAAAATAAAAAGGGTTTTGCCTGATGCCAAAAAGAACATAACGTCGGCGCTAGGCAAACCTGTCTGGGGATCATATTCCATAGTCGGGGCACCATCGCAGGGAAGGCCCTTCTCCGGGTACTCTCCCTCCTAATCTCCTTCAATTTATATCCCACTGTTTTGCCTTCCTTTGAAGAGGAAGACTGCTACCCTGTGAAGTAGGCTAGATTGAGAGTCAGTGACTGGCCCAGAGTTATTCCAAGAGCTGAGTGGGGACTAGAACTGAACTCCTCAGTCCCGGCCAACAATAACTACTGTACCACATTGGCTTGCACATGATAGAAAGTTATGGTAATTTTCCCCCTCCAGTGTGTCATCACTGGCTGAATATCGCAACTGTGATGCCAAATTCCCTTTCCCTCTTAACTGACATCTCTTTGAGTCTCCCGGGAACAGTTGCCCAGGCCTGAAAGCTACCCGGATTGGAATTTCTCTGAACAGATCTTGGTGTCCTTCTGTCTACTGGAACCCAGGAAAGTCTATTAGTATCCTATGGTATCTGTGTTGAGTGGGTGTCTGACCCTTCTGAAGAAGCAGTGCAATCTGCTAACTTATGAATATCCATTGAACCCATACCTGAGCCAAGATGTCAGCTGCATATCTGAGGTTCTCAATGAAAGTAGCTTCCATCTCAGCAGCCACTGCCTTCCTTTCAGCACCCACAGGAAGCCGCCCAGCCATAAGGTGAATCCTGCAATCACAGGGCTATATCAGGGCACAAAGGGGAGAGGACTGAAAAGAACAAAAGCAGGTATGTTGATGGAGGGATGTCCTCAGTTCAAGGTGTCTGGTGCGATGTGACCACAGGAAGGACTATCTCATTCCTGGTTTAATCATGCCTTGAGATACAGAGACCCATGCTGTGATCTTCAGCACTGAACAGTCAACACACATCACTGCACAAAGCTTTTCAATGGGGGCAGGCTACTACCTGCCATCTGGAGCAGCCATAAGAAAAACCACTAAATTCTCTAATTAAAACATTAAACAACAGTCAACCTACTCAATACAAGCTCTCTTAGCGTGACTTTGGTCATTAGCTCATGAGCACCCAAAGGCTCCATGTGCAAAATCACTGGAGGCAGATTAATAGATTCTTAGGGCACAATCCTATCCAAGTTTAGACAGAGAAGAGGCCTGTAGCGCCCAGCGTGCCCCAGCCGGCCATGCTGGCTTGTTGGCATTTTCTAAATGGTTTATAAATTTCTAGGATTGTTATCTTTCATATCCTTTCACTACCATGTTAGATACATGCAGCCACCTTGGTAGGAGGGATGGATTTTTACTTCATTTCCATATAAAATAAGGATTCCAACCAATGCTTATGCACATAATTACAGAAGCAATCTGGTGTTCATTTTTTCGGATTAACTGATGCCACTTAGCAGTGTAATCTTATGAATGCAACAATGACTTGCAGTTCTTAGTGATGGAAGCAGTCTAGTGAGGAGGTGCAAAACTGATACTGCTGGTGAGTTCTGGCACTGCCCTAAGCAAATGTCAGTGGTAAGCAGTAATTTCAGAAGTTCGGGAGATGATCACAACAGCCCTCACAGCCACACCTTCAGGGTGCGTGCATCTACAGTCACTGGCCATGGACAAATGAATCAATTGATTCTACTTGTCCATTATTTATATTCTGGCTAACACTTTAGTTAAGAACTTGGTCATAAAAAGCAAATCACTAATAAAACAGTTGACAGAGCATTATCACAATTCTATGCATAATCTGGGATGTTCCACTGAACTAAGTGATGATTAATTCTGACTTCATAGATTCAGTTTACAAAACACACCAGGTGCAGACCAATGCCCCCTGCCTGTGATTCATGTACACACCCAAATCCGAAGCATCAATGCATAGAGCAAGGCACGTTGGTGGTAATCTTTGCTGCCACCACAGCTTGTGCCTTGCCTTCCATCTAGGTGGAGGTGAAGCAGTGCAGAGCTGTCCCTGCTCCTGCTCTTAAAAGAGCATTGTCTCCTCCAACCTTCAGCCAGGCAATAGTAAATGATTCAATACTTCCATGCTGTCCATCTTTTAACACTGAGAAACATACTAGCTAAAACTTAATACCTTCCTAATAAAAGTGGTACAAAGATGCTTGAGCCTAAGCTGGCAAAGCATTAAACGTAGACTGGGGAGAATATCAATAGTTGGTCTCTGGATCTTCATGATCATTTCCAGCACTTTCCTAGGTGAAACCTTTAGTTTCCTTTGTATCTTTTTAGGGTACAAGCTTAGAGTCCTAGCATACCCATTGTATGTTTTCTGTAATTGCAGGCTTATCTGCTACTATTTTTCATTTCTTCTCCTACCTTCTTGTCTTCCTGCTCTTTGTGCCTGAATTGCCATTTCCTATCCTTCCTTCCTTCTCCTTTCAACTCCACTTAAAACTATTTTCCTTCAGAAATAATGCAGGACATTTTTGTACAACTTTCCCCCCTCTCTCATCCCTGTCCGTCCATCCATTCTTTTTTTTAATGATCCAAAGGCTATCCTCACCCAAACTGTACCATAGATTTAACATAGGAAGAAACTATCCTAAAGGAGTTTGCAGCAGCAGTGGCTACAATAAATTAGAAATATCTAATATGGGATGATCCTGTATTAACTTGTGCATGTAAGATTACAGCGCAAATATGCCCATACTTTCCTTGCATGTGGGTCTACACAACACAAGGAAAATATGGCTGCGCTAACCCAGCCCTCTCCAAACTGCTGTTCTCCAGGTATTTTAGACTTCAACTCGACTTCGACTTCAGTTGCAATCAGCATGTCTAATAGGCACACTGGGAGATGTATACAAACACATCTGGAAGATACCAGATTGGAGAAGCCTGAACTATAAGAAAAACTTCAAAGTGTCCCTTACTCATTTCCCAGGAACAACTACCAGCGTAATTGATTTTCTCACTTTTAATACAACTATCAAGGCTGCTGCCAGACATGTTAAGAAATAGGCAGACACATTCACTTACCCTTTGATACTTCACTAGGCAGAGGCTGTGCTTTTGCACGGATCTCTGAGAAGTAAGGCAACTACTTATTATACCCCTCATCTCCAATGTGCAGTAGTGAGGAAACTTGTTGAAGACCCCTTAATAACACAATGGTCACAGAAAAAAAGCTGTCTCATTATTCTTGCATGACATAACAACTCCTGAGCAGGGATGATATTGTGTTACATACAAAACTTATAGGTCAACATACAACATTAAAATACTACCTTGGACATTTCAGGGCCTTGGCATACTTCACAGCCAAATCCAAGGTCTCCCGGAATTCAGGTTGGCGGCCAGGTACTGCACCTAAGCCTTTGTCACCTTTGTCTTGGTTTCCTGAGAAAACAATAATTTCCTGTAATATAAATATGGGAATGGGGGAGGGGTGTTAAGTACAATAGCTTGGTTTAGGCCAGAAAAAGGTCTTCTGGAAATGAAGGAAACTGAGGTTGGAAAGGGGCATGTATCACATATGACACCTGTCATTGTGGTCAATGAGTAATCTATGTTTATTTGCTTTGTGATCACGAAAAAGTGAGAGGTGCAACCACCCTATTGTGACCCATACTGGGACAATATTAGTTTGGCACCTAAAATCAGTCAAGCTTTCCTCTCAACAGCTGTAGTTTTGTGTAACAGAGGAAAGACCATCTCAGAAGCCACTAAGAATTATAAATTGGAGCAGAGGTTAGTTTGCCAAAGTAGGAAGTGATATTATGCAATATCTTGCTTGTCTGGAGTGACACAGATGAGTGGGATATGAGATGATGGAGCTGATTTGTGCTCAGTAGCAACAGGAATAAGTAACACTGGATAGCAGTGAACATTTTAAATGATATTTGGAGAAGATTCCCCCTGCCTGGTGCCATGTTGTTAACTACAACTCTGTGCCTTCGCCACCGTTGCAGACTTCAATTTCCAGCAATGCCAGGAAGGAATGCTGGGAGTTGTAGTTAAAAACCTCGGGACGACAACAGGTTGCGATCAGCTGAATCGGCGGCTCTGTGCCCAACAGTTCGCTAAAAAGAAGCCAAAGAGAGGCGAAGTGGGGTTTTCTTCACAGTGGCACAAAAGCAGGAAAGCCTGAGCTACGCTTTTCTGTGTGATGGGCGAGCACGGGGTCTTCTCTCGGCCAAGCTGGTGCTCCTCTGCTAGGGAGCGCCCTCTTGAGTGTTCACTGAGGTGCTGGCCCCGGCTGCGCAACCCAGAAGGCGACGGGTGCGGCAGGGCCACTGCCCAGCGACGGGCAATTCGGTCGGGTACCTGGCGGGGTATTGAGCAGGACCACTTCCAGCCCGGTCCGTTCCGCCGCCGCCCGCAGCTCTGGAGCGCCGCAGGAGTAGGGGAAGCCCAGCTCGACCGCTCGGAATCCGGCGCGGGCAGCCGCCTCCATGCGCTGCGGCAGCGTCGGCTGCTCCTGGAAGAGCCAGTTCAAGTTGGCGGCAAAGCGCAGCGGAGCCATAACGGTGGCAAGCCGGGCAACCCACAGAGAGTCGGGCGGTGAAGGTGGCCCAGCTGAGGCTGCGCAGGCGCCGGCGACACCGCCTCCGCTCCGCCTCCAGGAGGGGAGGAATCGAGGTGAGGTCGCAAGTCTCTGGCCGCAGCTTGCAAGAGCCGGTTCTGCCGCGTCCAGAAAGGGCCTCCGCCACCGGAACCTTCCCGCACGGAAGAACCGGGGCAGCCACGAAGCGCGTGCGCTCACATGCTTGCCGCCAGGGGACTCATGGCAGCCCTGCGCCGCTCTTGCCCTTCTTCCCCCGCGCCGCGCCGCTCCCCCCCCCCCCCCCGGGGCAGGCTGGTGTCCCCTTAAAAGACCGTGAGCAAAGAACCCGTCCTCGTCTTGAACCCAGTGCCAAAACCATCTTTCTCTTTTATGCCAGACACCCATATATTTTACTCGCCTCTCCCCCCGCGCTGCGCCACATGGAGTACAACCCACTGCATAAACCTTGGCACTATGAAAAACGCTTGAGAAGTAAGCAGAACCCTCCCGAGAACAGCTGGATGTTAACATGGGCCCAAATAGAGGCTACGGCATTCTCTCCCCTGTTCCTCCTACCACATTCAGGGGGAGAAGAACCCTCCTGTAACCAACATATAACCTGCTGACCTTCAGGCTCTTCTTCCTACATCACACCTGGGGCCAGGTACACCTTTTCCTACTTTAACATTTTTCTGGAAGAAGATATTCAAGAATCCCAAAATCATGCACGTTTTTGGTGATATTTTGGATGGTGTTGCAGCAACGTGCAGTTTGGATTTTTATTTATGGTCAACAAGGCTACCTGTCTTTCTTTCTTTTGCCGGCTTACTCTTATAGTTCCCATCCATTTTTGGCCCTAGGACTCCTGTTCAGCATACACACATCTTTACTTGCTCCATGAGCACTGTTGTAGCAATCCCTTGAGGAAGGGTGCAGCTGTGCTTTCATTGTAGGGAAAACTAGTTGATCATTTCACTTTATAATCTTCGTAGTTACTGCTGTCTGGGTTCTGTGGAGGGTGTGAGGTGGTTGCCCAAGCATAGGCAACACCTGCTGTACCATAAAATAGGATAAACCAGTATTTCAAGCAATGTATTCCAGAGGGGAAAATTGTTTCCCTGTCTCTCATCTCTGTGTCTGTGTGCAATTTTTTTAAAAATGAGCTTCAATCCAGAGAGTCCTTGCTATTTACATATTATTATTGCTTCAGAAGTGAAAATATATAACTGCAGCAGAAAGTATAAGAAGATTTGATAATCCCTGCTTGTGTCATAGTTAGGCCAGCCACAAATTGTCCCTCATTGAATCATAAATCTGGAAAGGATCTGCCTAGTTTAATACTCAGTTCAACAGCCAGACCAATACAAGTCCTCTGAGGCCAGACTGTGCAGTACTGTCTGGTATGTATTCTCAGTAGGAAGGAAGCACATGGCAAGACCAGTAGATCCACCTAGGTAGGTCACGCAAGCCAAGACAAGCCAGGCACCCTAAGGAAAAGTGGATGTCCATTCCCTGCCAGAATTACCACTCCTCACCCCACCCAACCCAACCCACTCCCCCTATGGCTTTTCCTATGTAATTATTTAAAGCCAAGAACATCTTACAGGTATATAGCTGGAGACTGAACTTCAGGCTTTTTGCTCAGTGCCCTGAAAAATTATACACCCTCCTAATCCTGCACTTTGCGATTCTTAGCTGCTCTGCGGCACTGCTGTGCCCAGCCTCTGCTTTGCATTTTGCACACGGCTCCTCTGTGGCCTGATGCATGCTGTTTGTTTGCTTTGAAGTGATGTATAATCTGCACTGATAATTAAAGAACGTCATTCCAGGGTTAGTATTTATTGATACCAATTTAACTCGCCTCATACATCAAATACCAACCATCCATCGAAATCCCTGGTGAATTTCTGTATCCTAGAGTCCTTGTTTTCATTACCCAGAACTGACAGGAATGGCTTTGGGGGCACCAGCTCTTTGCTTTTCCAGAGGCTTTGTACCGCCACCTTTTTCCCTTCAGCACAGACAGAGGCATTGCTGCCATTCTGGCAAAATGGGGCCTGCTCTGTGATGATGTATTCAGATTTCCAGTTACTACGTCATATAAACTATAGCAAGGCATCAGGAGTGAAGTTCAGGACCTCTGAAGGTCTGGGAGGAGATCAAGCTAGGGATGAGGTTGCTTCTAAAGTAGAAGATTTTTCAAGTGAAATGTTTGCTCAGGAGTGACAATCCAGTCAAGGAATTGCCTTCAATCTGTGTACATGCCTCCATCCCATCCCATGGTATTTACAGTTCATTGTTCCATGATTGTAACTGAATGATTAACTGGGGCAGATAGTAGTACTGGAATCTGCCATCAGCTAAGGTGGCTGTATGGTGTAGTGGTTAGAGGACTGGACTTGTAATATTCTCCACTCAGCTACCTCACAGGGTTGTTGTGAGGATTAAATGGAGAGGCGGAGGACCATTTGAGCCTCCTCAAGTTCCTTGCAAAAGGAAAAAAGATGGGATATATCATCAACAACTTCTTCAAAGATAATGATAATGTTACTATTTGCACCAATGCAAGTATAGTGGATCTATATAATAAGGGTGCACCCTGTTGGGACTGTTTACATAAATACATCTGTTTTCATAAATATGACAGTGACCATTTAACTTAAAAGAACAAAAGAAGAGTCTCCTATATCAGATCCAGCGTCCATCCAGTCCACCATCCTGTTCCTTGTAGTGTCTAGCTAGATGTTTCAGGAAAGCTCATCAGAGAGTGATCAATGGAAGGCAACCAACCATCTCCTCATTGTCCTCTGCATCTGGGACTCAGAAGTACATAGACTCTAAACATGCAATTAAAACCAGATTTATTTCTGAGTTGCCCCTTGCTCTTCTCTCCTCAAGTTGCAATAGAAGATATTGGAAATCATAAATGTTTTTCAACAGTTTAGCCTTTCTCATCTCCAGATATCATGTGGAACCTCTGTTTGTGTATTTGATTAGGGCACTTGGGTTTAACAGCTTTTTCTGCCTGTTTAACAACTTTCTCAGTTACGAGTTCTATGCATGAGCACACTAGCGTTCCTCAAAACATTTATGTGTTTTTATTAATATTCCCTCTATCTTGTGGCTTTTGGGGTTCGATGATTGAATCTGGTGGTGTGAGACTTGTCATTAAGTGATTTTCCATTCCAGAGACACTATTTCACGGTTTTATACATTCATTTCATACATCAAGTCAGAGAAAGCAAAGAAAGTTCCTGAAATTCCATAGGCACAACAGAAACTTTCCATAACCTGAAACAAGGCATGAATTGTAGATGTTGCTTCAAGGTGATCTCTCACATTTTGGTCTGACTATTTCCATTGCTGTTCTAGGACCATCAGCAAAAAGGGTTCTTAAAGAGGAATGAGTACAGTTTATTTAGACTTTAACACGGCCTTCCTCAACCTGGCACCTTCCAGGAATGTTGTACTACAAAACCCATTGTCCATGCTGGATAGAGATGATGGGAGTTGCAATTCAGCACATATACAGGGCACTAGGTTGGAGGAGGCTAGATCTTTCAGAGGAAACTATTGAGGCAACTGGTTTGCCAGTGAAGATTATCCAGCAGTTCTGCATTAGCTGCAGACAGCCCATACAAACGCCCGATTGTGTGTAAATCAACTCTCCATTGTTGGGTCAATTAACTATACAGAGAGCTCTACAGCTGCAGTTGGCAACAGGCAGCTCCTGAGCTTAGTTCTGCTCACTAATGACCGCCAGCTAGCCCACAGACCAATTTCCCTCTCTTTGCTCTTCCTTTCTTCTCCCTGAACAGTCTACTGGCTTGCCAGTACAGCAGCTAGAAAGGCAGCTGAGCTTAAAAGTCCTCTCCCACCATGCAGCTAGGAAAAAGCTGGGGAAACAGCAGAAAATAGGAAATATTCATAAATTTCCCTATTTATTTTGGATTATTCAGAGAGAATTGCAATGTGTGCATGTGTATATGTGAACACATAGATAATTGCTAAAATTCATCCATGCAGTTTCCTCAGTTTCTGCCTTCACCATCATGGAGTAAGTCCTTAGGACAACATGGAGTTTGTATGTCAGCCAAACGAGAAAGGCTGAGTCCATGCATGTGAGCTGCAAGGATGGGCACCGCTTCCATGAGAAGGATGCTGTATGTTGTTGGCAGGTGACTGTTTCCTTAATAACAGTGGCTCCTCCACCCAATGCTTGGCTCTAGGGCTGCCCTATCAGCCCATTAACGTTCCAACTTCTGCCATATGGCAAGCCACTGTTTTCTGTTTGTCTGATGCCCTTGGGAAAAGGGACCTATGAACATGCCCTCTTTTTTGGACTTTGTTTTCTCTTAGCCCAAGCTGAGTAAGCACTGGCAAATGTGTAATCAGCCATTCTTTTTATGTGTTGCCCTCAGAGAGGTTAAAGCAATTTCCTTCTTGACTTAGGGAGGTTCATTACAGCATTGTATGAGAACCCCTGCAGTGATGGGATAACTGCTGTATAATTATGTAACTAGCATAAAAGCTTGCTGAGATTTGAGTGCATGGTTTGTACTGATTTATTCAAACTGGTATGTTGCTTTCAACCCCACAAAAGGTTGCAGTATTGTTCTCTGATATTGGGGGACAGCTTGAGAGCATGTCAGTTCAATGCCAATGAAATAACACAGAGGATGTAAAAAGAACACATTCCTTAAAATACACTCTAAGGGGGGAATGCAACAGCAAAGGAGAAAGTTTAGTAAAAGTATAGTTAAAAGATGTGAAAAGACAGCTGGTGGCCACAGGGTGAAGGACAGCAATTTGGAGGGAATACACAATGAAAGGATGCAGAAACCCAGGGAGGAAGATCTAAATACAATTGGGTGGAATAGGAAACCTTGACTGTAGAGAAGCAAGAAGCTTATTTCCATTGAAAGGATGCATGAAGTGATTCCTTGGTTGTTGGCTCCCAAGGGCCAGGTAGGGGAAAAGGTAGGAGGTAGGGGAAAAGGCACCTTGACTCCTTAAGTGGTTTC